AAAAAAAAAAAGGCCAAAGGAACCGTCAGTATAAGGGAGGCCTGAGTTAGAAATTTGAGTTGGCTGCGCGACTTTGCGGCGCAATGAGCTCGCTAGTGCCGGTATTATAACTTTCGTCTTCGCGAACAGTGAATGGGCTTCAAATTCTTCGCAACCAGAAGATACATTACTTCAGCGTACCGTGTTGATGGAATAACAGCAGCTACGCAGTGGTACGCTTTGTAGGTCATATTCCTCCCGCCACTTGCAGTTCTATCGGCCATTCGCTTCGGTAGACAATGAACTTGACTGCCCTCCAGATCAGCATTGGCGTGCGACTCCATCTGATTCCGACGCGAACAGCGCAAAATCTCGACACTCGACCGCCAAATCGTGCGGCTTTGCCCCTTATCAGATGGTATGCGTACAAATCGGTGGAGATGGAACGACTAGCGGAAAAGCAGTGGTGCGATTTTTTCTTTTGCGTGCATGTGCTGGTATGCAAAGTACTTGACAATTTATAATAGTATTATTGAAAAGTGCTTTTCTTTTGCGCTGCGAATTTCTGTGACAGTCGCGAGTTGATTCACATTCTGGCAGAATATAATGCACGTCGCTACTTGTTATTCCGACTGTCCGTGATATTTTTTTGTTATCGAGCTCCATCGTATTGTTTTGTGTACGAGGTACGAAGTATTAAGAAACGTGAGAGGCAGCCCGTACATGTACACGTACTACATACCTGAACTAGAGGCATCACACGAAAGGTAATTAGCATGCACAGTATTTCTTACGGATATTTAGCAAACACATTACTTTAGTCCAATATCATAAATTGAACATTTGTGCGATCGAGGCAACGTACGCCCATTTCACATAATACTGCAATATCATGGATCTCAGCGAAGCACGCGGAGTTTGATGTCAGATTGCACAGGTAAGCTCCGCGTTTCCATCGGGTTTGAGGTATCATTGAATCGTATCGCCCCCAACACTTGCCTCAAGGATTTCAAAAACCTCGTGGTATCACCCGGCAACCCTTTCACAACGTAACGTCAAAGAAGCTACCAGCAGTAGGCGTGCCCCTCCCCTTGACTCACCGATGTCCTGACTCAAGCTGGCAGCGAAACTCGCACTAGTAGGCCCCACCTCACACTGAAGGCCACCGCACTCATTGCTCATTGTCGATTTTGCCTCGCACAGCACAAGTCCCAGCACCCTGCACACAAACACCATGCAGATCTTCCGATTCGTCATTGTCGCCATCGCTGCATTCGCAATGCAAGGCACGCAAGCTCTCTCCACGGGTACTGCCCCCGGTCTCGCTGCTGGCACCACGGGTGGAGGCAATGCCAACCCCGTATACCCCACCTCGCTTGCAGAGCTCAGGAACTACCTCAAGGACTCACAGCCACGGGTCATCGTGCTCAAAACGACCTTCGACTTCCGTGGCACTGAAGGTACTACAACCGAGAATGGTTGCCGTCCCAAGAGCAACCGCGATTGCCTCGCCAAGAACAACGGATACAAGGGCCAGGATGTTATCCTGCAAAGTGGTGGCATGGCCAACACGGGCGGTTGTGTCGAGGGCACCTCCGTCAAGGTCACCTACGACCTTGCTGCTACCAAGAACCCGCTCGTGATCACGAGCAACAAGACTCTCCGCGGTGTCGGAACTAGTGGTGTGATCAAGGGCAAGGGCCTCTGGATCCAGGGCGACAATGTTATCATCCAGAACGTTCACATCACGCAGCTGAACCCGCACCTTATCTGGGGAGGTGATGCCATCTACATCCAGGGTCTCAACAGCGGCAAGACGGCCATGCAGCGCGTGTGGATCGACCACGTCAAGATCTCCAACATCGGTCGCCAGATGATCGCCACCAATACTGCCAGCGTCAAGAGCCTGACCATCAGCAACTCCGAGTTCGACGGTAAAACGCAGTACTCAGCTACTTGTGATGGCAACCACTACTGGACCTTCCTCTTCCTCGGCACACAGACGCAGGCCAGTCTTGTCAACAACTTCGTGCACCACACGTCGGGTCGCTCCCCCAAGGTCGGTGGCAACTCCGTCATCCACGCTGCCAACAACTACTGGTACAGCAACTCGGGTTTCTCGTACGACGTCGTCGAGAACGGTAACGTGCTGCTGGAGGGCAACTACTTCGAGTCCACCGCTGTGCCGAACAAGCACGACGCCGAGACCGTCGGTGCTATCATCGTGCCGTCGTCGTCGACGCAGTCGACGTGCAAGTCGACACTGGGTCGCAACTGCGTCGAGAATAAACTGGTGAAGTGTGGCACGCTGTCGGGCAACCGTGACTCGGCGGCACTAGCCAACTCCAAGAAGGTGGCTAGCTACTACCAGCCGACGTCGGCCCAGAAGCTCAGCACCAACAACCAGAACTACGGTGTGGGCATCCTGTCCTCAAAGTAAATCGCTAAGATGCGATTATCTCGTGGTGGGGATCTACATTCACTTTGATTGCCGATGAGAAGGCAGCTAAGGTGTCCGCTTAGCCCATTCGAAACGAGCGTGACCGTCTTGACTGGATTGGTCAAGTGGTTGCTGATAGAACATATTTGATGTGAGTGTAGTGTAGGCTCGATCCTATTGCGTTTAAATAGAAAGTGTGATTCAAGAATGGTTTCAGTTGTCAGGTCTGTATCGTATCATATTGGTATTGACCGCTAGTAGAAATAGAACAGAAACTAAATAATCGTTTATCAATATTTCCTGAAAAACAATTATGATATATTTAGAAAAGCGTCAAATTCATATTTAGAAAACGACTAAATAGGACTGCTTTTTTGTGATCGTGGTAACCCAGTGCTCAAATCGAACCAAATATAAAGCAGATTTTTTTTCATTTTCATGCATATTAGGTCAATTTAAAATTGCTTCGTTAAATCCAGGAATAACAAATGACTTCATGACTAAAACCCCCGAACACCGGTGAACATAAAAGGGGTGTCACTCTTTGAAATCGAGACGCATGCTCCTCGAGCAGGTCTTCCATTACTCCACGCGAGCTAGCGGAGGTATTTACAAAAGCACTTTACCATAGACAACGACGGTGAAATCCGCCACCGTCTGAGCATCATCTTCCATAGTAGCCCCCTGTTTTGTTCCCACGACAGGAGAATCCGCGGCATCTAAAGAAGGAAAGTGATATGCCATATTTAAAAACGGAGCAAGTCCATATCTAGAAAATTATTATTTACCAAATAGGATTCGTAATCTTATATAATGATCAAATCGGATCAATTCTGAGTTCAGAGCCAATTTTGCTTTCTTTTTCATGCAGATTACTCAATTTAAAGCTAGCCTATGCAGGAATGATGTACGTCTGCACATGCGAAAGCTGGTAAAACCCATCCGAGACAAGCGTGACTGCCTTGTCTGAGTGGTTGCTGATAGAATATATTTGATGTGAAGTAGTGTAGCACCGAGTAGGGACAAATGGCCTTTGTGCTTTTTAATGGAAAGTGAGATCAATTAATTGACGAGAGGGTATTACATGAAGTGAAAAGGAATTTTCTATTAGTTTTATTAACTTAGTGGGGGGGGGGGTAACAAGATTGGAAACTTTTGCTATTACATCATGAAGCTTTAGATATTAGGATATTTCTAACGATATAGAGCTTCATGACAGGATTAGCAAAAAATTTCAATCTTGTTACGGAAGCATAACCACTGTTTGAACTACGTGTTCTCAATGCAATTGGTAACACAAACAAATAGTTACTAAATTTATGACTAAACTTCTGCAATACTCTGTAGACGGTTGCTCTCTCGCAACAACGTTATTGATGGGAACAATAACACTGCGAGTACATCTCACACAAGTCACAAGTTGAGCTTTAACTTTGTGACTTACAGCGTTAAAGCAGTACTGACGAAGCAATTTGTTATCGGTGAGATGTGAGGATCATCTTGTCAGCAGTTCGACCCTGCTACTCAGTCGTTATCTTGTTGCGAAAACAAGTTGACGTTGCATCTACATTGACACACTACCCAAGACTAACTGTGTTTCACAAGTTGTGGTTGTGGTGCTTGCTCCCGTGAAGCATACGAGATGGCATTGCCATCGACCGTCGTTACATACCCGCTAATGATTTTGCGATCTACAGGATCGTTCGCGAAGCTTGCGTCCGTGAAGAGTAGCAGCTCCACCGTAGATACTTGACCAATGTCCATATTTAAGATTTATTACTAATCTCTCCAGATCTATGTAAATAGAACTGGTATAGATCTCATCTAAACCTATCCGAAACCGGTTTTGAATAGATCTCTTCATTCTAGAATGCTCGTTTGAAATACAAACCTGGAGTCTTGTCAGTTTAATGAGAACTTTAATTAGGGTTATGGAAGGCATCGTTTTATCACTTTACTCGGTAAATTATAATAAAAAAATCCGATTGAACTGATAACCGTTTTATTATGACGTTTGCGCGCTGCAAAGTAGATTGCGAAGTGAGTTCCATTAGAGAAGCAGTAGTTACTCCTGTTCCTACTTCTACTCTTGCTTGTAAGGGTGCGTGCCCTGCGGCAGCAGACCCCCAGCCTCGCAGCACCAACCATCGGTGCTTGTTGACGAGCTCCGCAGTTTACGCGGCGCTTGTTTACGAACGTGTAGTATGACGGGGCTTCTCGGATGTCGGTAGGCGCTGGTAGTGTCGGTCGTCGGCGCGGTGTTGTCCGGCCCTGTCATCCACGCCGTCGGCGAGTCGTCTGGACAATACTCCACATTTATATGGGTTTTGTTGTGGAAGGCGCCTTATATTGGGTGGACAACTGAATTTCGAAATTTTGGGCTCCGTGTTGATTAGATAGCTAAAACGTATAGTCGAAACCTCAGAATGTGGGCTACAACAGTAGCGACAGAGGGCACGAACGTGTTGACGAAGCATTCAGATCGCCATTTCTCCTCAACTCAATATACACAAATGCAATTCTAAGCACGGGCGGAGAGGATTATGTATTGCATCACGAGCGTGACCAACTCAGCTTGGAGTTGGTGTGTATCATGAACCGATGAACGTTTTTTTTTCTCTCTTTCGATTTTCTGGTGGGTGTTCCACTACCTGGACGAGGGCGGGCTTGTAGCAACCATAAAGTACAAGGTCATCTGGATCTGATCCAGTTCCATGGCGCCGGGGACTCGTGGTGCCACGAAGCCGTGTCTCTCAGTACGTGATGAATGAGCAACAATTGAGCAAAACCAATGCCATATAAATTATCGCCACAAGAGGAGCCGAATTCAGCGGAAATAATAGCCTGGAATCCAGACTCTGGATGCACCAAGTAGCATGAAGAAAACTGAGCTTTGATATCGTGCGTAGAACTTGACACGGACAACGTAACGTAGAATTGGTAAGAACACATCGTGGACCTTGAGCGAGTTTACTCGACGAAAGCGGCCCGAAGTTGGCTCGCTTAGCGGATAACATTGCCGACGCTTTTCGATCCATACTTTGGCTGGTGAGTTAATTTCGAAGACTCTTCACTCTTATACCAGTTACTCACCATCTCTCATGCCAATTTGTTTGTCGTGCCTCGTTCAGTGATGTGGTGTTATCGCCCTATCAAGACCAATCTATTGGTGACAGACACCGTCATCTGTGGCTGCAAACTTGATCGTGGGGGCAGCATCTACTTGTGTCGGACGACAAGCGCGCACTTGAGGCCAGAAGATTGACGCCAGCGTCATTGCGCGCGATTTGGCCGTCAAATTGATCCTTGCAAAGGTCCACAACCAGAAATGCACTTGTGCACGATGTGCATTGGTATAAAACTACTTGAGGGATTAGCGGCTGTATGATGCTAACAGGCGTGAGTGACGGCTGAGAGTAAGGAGCACCCCAGGTGATTCTGCCGAAATATCAATGCCGAAATGAGGTACCTTAGAACAATACATAATTCTGCTTTAAATCCAGCGGAACGAATTGACTACTGGTGTGCAATTGCCTCGTACAAGCACGATTAACTTGAACAAGGTATAATTAAAAAAAATACCAAGATTTCTCCTCTGGCCGTCGACTTCCATGCTATTACACGGGGTTTGTTTGCCGCCGTTATGAGAAAAAGAATCAAGTCTGCTTAGAATTTTGTTACTTTAGTAGCGCAATTGAAAAAAGCGTAGTTCTTCAAGTTTTACGAAGTAATCTATACTGTAGCGCGCACATCCCCTAGCTTTCATTGCGTGGCTATGATTCCATCCCAGTGTCGTCGGTTGTATGTACTGTAGCAAGAGGCATTATAAACTTGCAACCTCAGAGATATCTAACTAAAGGTAATGAACCTTTTGAGACGTGGAGTGCAGGACTCATCTTCATCGAAGTTTACGTTGTGAGCCAGGTCACGAACAGCGAGCAGCATGCAAGTTCGCTGCGACCAGAAGGTAAAAAGTTACAAGATTTGACGGCTGGGTTTCATAACGTTAACTTGAGCAACCAGAAGATTGCAAATCTTCTGAGCGATTTGGTGGGTACCACACCCATGAGGGACTAGTAAGAAATTTTAACAAAATACTCCATACGACAGTAGTAGAAGATTGCGTGGAGCACGGTGCTCGCAAAACCTAAGAAGGACCTTTGCCAACGAAATATTATATAGATATCATCCCGTGAGGATAAGACTTGAATTGAACGAGAACTTCTGCATGTAAGTCCTACAGTACGACTAGCATTTGAACTTAACCTTCAAATCTGATAGAATATGTCGACTACCGCATTTTGCGTTTTGACCATCTGGATTTCGTGCCGTCGATTGTCAAGGCATCAGAATTCATGCACCCGCTTCTATTTACTTGCCGGTTAACTTTGTTCAATCTAAAAACGTTTCCATTAGGTTGCGCTCACTCGCAGCAAATGTATAAAACGCAAAGTGGGCCTTGCAGGTGTCTGCGACTTGAATCCAAACCATTAACATTCAAGTTTTAAAGGGGCATAATGCATGTGTTACATCAGCAAATGCAGCAATTTGCTTACATTTTTTTTCATCTAGCGCCATGGCGACTTCAGATTCTGGCGTTCGCTTCAACGAACTACCCATTTAGTCAGTGACGTACCTGCAAATTGTCAAATTATTCACGTTGCAGCTCTGCAATCCCAACAGACGTGATAAAATTGACGTAGCGTAATGGTTCCTAGCCACCACTTGGTCCGCTTCGCTGATCGTTTTTGGTCAACAGGGTAATTACCCAGCAGCTCTCTCTGTCAACGATTCAGACGCGCGACACCACATGTTCTGTCCCTGGCTGGGTCACGGTTGCCCCTGACATTGGTGAAATGAGTCGGGGCACTAGAATAGGGCCCCAGCTCACAGCTCATTGTCGATTTTGCCTTCCACTGCACAAGTCTCCGGTACAACCATGCAGATTCTCCGTTTTGTCGTCGTTGCAGTCGCTGCGCTTGCCATGCAGGGCACACAGGCCGCTCCCATGGGCTCCGGCAACACAGTGCAGCAATCCCCTGTCGAGCAGACTCAGCAGCAATCGTCCACCAAACAGGGCAAGACATCGTCCTCCACCAAGATCTCCACTGGCAAGGCACCGGGTCTCGCGGCGGGCACCACCGGCGGTGGCAACGCTACCCCCGTGTATCCCAACTCACTTGCTGATCTCAAGAACTACCTGCAGGACTCGCAACCGCGTGTCATTGTACTCACAAAGACCTTCGACTTCCGCGGCACGGAAGGAACGAAAACTGAGACTGGCTGTCGCCCTAAGAGCAACCGTGACTGCCTTGCTAAGAACAACGGCTACAAGGGCCAAGACGTCATCCTACAGAGTGGCGGCATGGAAAACACCGGTGGTTGTGTGCAGGGTACCGCCGTCAAGGTCACCTACGACCTCGCCGCTACCAAGAACCCCCTCTTGGTGACGGACAACAAGACTCTTCGTGGCGTTGGAACCAGCGGTGTGATCAAGGGCAAGGGCCTCTGGATCCGTGGCAACAATGTTATTATTCAAAATATCCACATCACTCAGCTGAACCCGCACCTTATCTGGGGTGGCGATGCCATCTACATCCAGGGTCTCAATGGTGGCAAGACGCCTATGGAGCGTGTATGGCTCGACCACGTCAAGATCTCAAACCTTGGCCGTCAGATGATTGCCACCGGTTCGGCCAGTGTCAAGAGCATGACCATCAGCAACTCCGAGTTCGACGGTCAGACTCAGTACTCAGCTACTTGTGATGGCAACCACTACTGGACCTTCCTCTTCCTCGGCACGCAGACGCAGGTTACCCTCGCTAATAACTATGTGCACAACACTTCGGGTCGCTCCCCCAAGGTCGGTGGCAACTCCGTCATCCACGCTGCCAATAACTACTGGTACAGCAACTCGGGTTTCTCGTACGACGTCGTCGAGAACGGTAACGTGCTGCTGGAGGGCAACTACTTCGAGTCCACGGCCATCCCCAACAAGAATGACACTGAGACAGTTGGTGCGATCATCGTGCCGTCGACGTCCACGCAGACGAAATGCAAGTCGACACTGGGCCGCAACTGCGTCGAGAACACCCTGGTGAAGTGCGGCAAGTTGTCGGGCAACCGCGAGTCGGCAGCCCTGACCAATTCGAAGAAGGTGGCTCCCTACTACCAGCCGATCGCTGCGAAGCGGTTCACTACGACCAGCCAGAACTTTGGTGTGGGTCCGATCTAAATTGATAGAGGCAACAACATTTAGAGCTACTGACGAGAAGGTAGCGAAATGTTCATACGAAGCGAACACCCAGTGGTGTTGGCTTATAGTGCGTGCAAGTTGTAGATAGGAGGGTGTGCTGGTATCTAAGGCAACCCAAGTTCATGTTGCGTTAAAATATAGACGTGGGTCGAAGCAGACCTGAATTTACTTCACAAACACTACTGCATCCTCGTTTTACAGTTCCACAACGATTCGCAATTTCGCAAGATGCGATGACGACAGACTACAGCGTACAACAAGAAGTCCCATATTCATTCAGAGTGTAAATGTGGGACTTCTTGTTGTACGATTCACGCTGCGAACTAGCAGATTAAAACAGCGTAGCAATCTCGTGCTTGGTGTCTAGCATCAGGCATCTCATATGTGCTTTTAATAGAAACCTGGCAATGCTGTCGTCGGGATCGTCGTTGATACAGCAGTCGGTGTCGTTTGATGCTCATTGGATGGGTTGGTTGGCGTTATCGTAGAAATGCTGTCAATTAAATTGACTCAAGTAGTGGACAGGACAGCTATCGTTTCATCTGGTTATTTAGACATATTGACATGTGAGTTAATAGCACTGTTATCTCTTAGCAGGGCTCGGGCCATAAAATATAAAATTGTCCTGGGATTCCGGGAAAATAATAAAATCCGTCATTCCATAAATTTCCATAAATTAGGAATCAAAATAATTTTTAATTTATTTTGAATATTGCTTGAAAGAATTCAGATTTGACGCGCTCTTATTGTGTATTTCATTCCGGCGAAACTCCAATATACTTATTATTATTGGAGGCAATATCATATTTTACGGAGAGCGTCAGATTCGAATAATCCGTTTTTCCATCAATACAATTCTAGAATTATTTTTATTTTATTTTTCCGAGCCCTGGTTGATAGGCAAGTGGTAAAGGTAGAGACAATAGGAACAGAGGCAAACACACTCTACCCATTGTGTCTTCGGTTTCTTTGCCGTGGATTCCGCCAAAACTTGCGTGGATGGCAAGCATGAATCAGGCCGGGTTCTAGTCCGCGTGCCATGGCGCCATGCGTGCCATAATACTAGGATCGATTTCTGTGCGATTTGTGTGCCATATCCGTTTAGGAATGAATTTCCTCGATACCTTGCCTTCCTGGAATGGTGATGTTGTCTACAACGGAGGGTGCTGGCATAGTAGCGGCCATTGCACTAGGCTTCTCAGGAGCATTGTGCAAGTATCTGTATAGTATCGTGTTTGTAAATGGCAAGAATTGTTGATTTACAACCATGGCACGACCATTTGTCATGGCGGTTCGGAGTGCCTGCCATCCGTGGCACTTTCATACACCTTATGAGCTTTCAGCCAATAAGGTTTGACATGGTTAGAACCTACACTGGACCCAATCAGATTTTACGTTGCTTGATTTGTGCAGACCCAAACTGCTTAATTTGTGCTGACCAAAAGAGAGTTTTCATTAGCAGTAAAGTTTTTTTTGGTCAGCACAATTAGGACGAAAAAATGGCCCATGTATGGGTCAAACGGAATAGTCTGCCCATTTTTTTGCGGACGTTGTAAAATGCTAAAGCATAGTGAAATCAAGATGTTAGTAGAATAGTCTTGACTGAATAGGGTCAAAGCAATTTGATCAGCCCAAATCGAGTACACACTTTCGTCAACACAAACGGGACCTAGAATTGTGCGGCTCCCAACGAAAGCTCAGACTACGACAACAAGGCAGACATGAGCTGGCGCGCACAGATCTCCCGCAGCATCCAGGAGCTTCGTTTCGTGGCATGCGACACCTCGCAGAGCAGCGCGGGCTTGCGGTGCGTGTCGTACTCCTTGTTTGAACCAACTCGCTCTATGAGCCCCGTAACCTCCACCTAAAGTCTGACGTTCCGGTGGTTTTGTGTCACTTGCAGCACCTTCTTCCGTAAGAACTACGAGGAGCTTAAGATGCTGAACCCGCGCACTCCTTTCGTGTACCGTGAAGCTGAAGAGATGGAGCCGTTCGTGTACGCGCGGTTTGACTGGGGCGTGGAGAAGAAGGTGCCGGTTCCTGGTAAGAGCGACAAGGAGATCCTTACAGTGCTCAAGGGCCTTGTAGACCACGGCCTTACGCTCCCCAAGTCGCCCGAGAGCGACATCTACGTGGCCGCCCCCATCATTGAGGCTTCCAAGGGCGAGGGCGCTTACGAGCCCATTAACCTCACGTGGGACGGCAAGTCGATCCGTCGCAACCCGGCCTTTGACATCCCGCTGGAGGAGGCACTCAAGCCTTAAGATGTGACTACAGAGAAGGATATGGGAGTGCCAGCATGTAGTTTGCTGAATAATTTACAGCCGCAGATGGCGCCTTCCTCGATGTGGAAAATGAAAAAAAACAACAGGATGAAACAGTATGTATACTGTATACGTTTTCAGATGGACATCCGTGCTTTCATTTAGCACATCACATTTGTCTACGATGCGCTAGGATTCCGGTATTCCACACAGTCGCTCCGTACAGAACAGGAAGCCTAGGATGAAGGAGGCACTGAGCCCACCACTGCTGGCCCTGGGGATGTGTGCAGTTGCTGCTCAATCAACTGCGCTTCGAGTTGAGGCGGCAGCTCCTCGCCCTCCTGAATGTCCCCCCGATCACCGCGAATCGCACGCATCACACGCTCTTGCTCGTCGTAGTGGTGCTCGAGGTCTTCCAAATGGAGACTGTACGTCTCGATCAGACCCTGACGAATTCGGAAAGGCAGGTAACTTGCGATGGGCTCGGTCAGCAACATCGCATCCAACTCGAGAGGCACACTCTCCTGTAGACGAATCGATAGTTAGACAGGGTATTGCAAAGGGAAGATGGTCGCGAGACGTACCAGGAAGGAGGCAATAGCGGTCAGCCAAATGGCTAAACCCCACGCCGCATGGGAAATCGTTCCGAAGACGCTTGCCCAGGACAGCTCCATGATGTGGCGGAAGCGGAAAATGTAATAAATATACTTTGCCGTGCCCACGCCAATGTATCCGAAGCCCAACAGCAGCAGACCTGCATATTAACAAGTGTTCGTGTAAGTCAGCTATCCCATAGGTGTGTAGTTCATGGATAATGCACTTGCCTGCGCCACTCAGCTGAGCTCCGCGGTGGTGTTCCTGTGCGTACATTGCAACTCCGACAGCTGAAGACAGCACGCCATTTCTCGCCCAGTTCAAATACGAATTCTCATTGCTAAAGCGCAGCGTCTGTCAATGCAATATGTCATCAGCACCATATCGTGAATACGATGCAGCACATCATCAAGCCCCAGCACCCAGCCATCCAGGACCTCACCAATGAGTTACGTAGTCGGTGGGCAGCGTCTGCTTCTGCTGCTGCAACGGCCTCCTTAGCCTCAGCTTCCGCCGCTTTCTTGGCCGCCTTCACAGCTGTAAATGGAACATTTAAGTCGTCAGCGAATCGACAATCCACCAATGCGTCCACCAGTCGTCCACTCACCATTGCTCTGTTTAATCTTCAGTAACCTATCTACCTGATACCTCCCGAGCAGCAAGTATGCACCTGAGCGGGGCTTCGTAATACGTCCACGCTTGCTCTTCAGGGCCGCCGCTGTAGCAGATCCAGAGGTGGACGCGTGAGTCGTATGTGGCACCGCCGCGCTCTTGACCGCATTGACAACACTTGGAGGCTGCAGACCCGCCTTGCAGCGCAGCCCCATGGCTCCGCGAGGTACTGCGGTCACTGGGGTGTTCCACGCAGCACGCAGCCCCCGCACCGCGACGCGGCTCCAGCACATCATGGTAAATGTGCCGGCCGAAGTCGAGAGTGCTCTGCAGGAGTATCATTGCACAACATGAGTCTCATTGGTCGAAACCTTTTACATTTGTCATTGGCTAAAAATAATTTGAAATTCAAATTTCAGTTAAATCCGAGTCGTTTTAGCTCGTTCCAAATTTCAAATAGCGTTTCGCAAGTCAAAGTGCAAGCGGAAAAGATGCCGCCACGGTCGAGCTTCGCGACCGAGTTCCTGCTGCGGGAATTGCTCTCAGCTTTAGGAGCACCCCTCATCGTTGAACCTGCACCCTCCGACAGCTTCTCTGAGAGTCTCAGCGAAGATACAGAGCCTCAGTCCGCTGCAAACGGCGTCCAGTCTCGTGTCATGCTTGTGCGGCGCACCAACAGTTCACAGCAGACTGCAACGCTCGTGGACCGAGAGTACGACGTCGAGGCCTTCATCCCGAGCCATGTGAGCGCTGCGCTACAGAAAGAGCGCGGCTGTCAGACGCTCGGAAGACTGCGCGGCAGCGTCGTGCGCGTCACCAAATACCACTTCGCCACTATGGCGCGCTGCCTGTCCGCAGACAAGCAGAACCGCCAGACGTCGGTGTCAGCGCCCAATGTGGGAAACGAGAACGCTCGAGTTTACCTGTGGATAGACGCACTAGCTATCGTAGAGGACAATGAACTGGCCGTCCAGCCACACCCAGAGGTGTACAGTCATCCGCTAGTGGAGGAGCGACTACAGACATTGAGTGACACTGAGCTGGAGAAGCAGCTGATGATCAACCAAGGACTCCCGCCACTTACAACCGCTGCAAGTGACAGATTCGATGACGACCGACCGCTGTTGGAGGAGGATTGTGTCATCCCGGAGGACCAGGAGCAGGAACTTGAAGAGCAGGATGAATGGGGACCACCACCAACCACTTCGAAACAGCAACCAACAGACTCACAACTGATTGAAGAGAACGGATCAGTGCCAATGCCAGAGTCGCAGGTTGCTCGTAGTCCAGTGTCGCAAGTTGTTCGTGGTCCAGTGTCGCAGGACTCGACGGCGTCGTCGGGGAATCTATCAATGACGTTGTCGGGGAATCCTTCGGTCTCGTTGAGTGGAGAGTCCGCACTAGACAGCCAAAGACTACTGTTTCAGCAAGAAAATATTCAAGAGACGTATGTGGTTGATAGTGACGTGGACGGCAACGATACAGAGGACGATGAAGAGCATGAAGAGACAAAGAACTCGACGCCTAGCAGAACACATTCATCTGCGGACTTTAACCCAACACCAGCACAGAATTCTTCTGCGATTGTTGATCTTACGGAAGATTCTCCTGAAAAGCCCACTCCGCAGCCAGCAAAGAAGCAAGCACCAGCAAAGCGATGGGGTGGATTATTTGCATCGTTTTTTGGCTCTGGATCTACTAAAGAAACAAATACCGATGAGGAAGAAGACTCTACTAAAAATGATGAGCAAGCTACGCAGATTCTGGATCCGCTGGATAAGGCGAAGGAAGAGGTGGAAAACGAAGACTTGGAAGACAAGTTTGCACCAGAGGAGTTCATGTCGTCTCAAGCGACCGTGGTGTTGCAATATGCCATCGATAATGACGAAGATGCTAACGCTTTCGAGTACGATGGCATGGCATCTCCCAGATCAGTCGTCCACGAGCACGATGGCCATACAAGCAACGGGGAGCAAACTGACTTGGCAGACGATCTGACTTTGCCTGAAGAGGGAATTGAAGTAGCAGCCACCCCACAGAAAAAATCGTTGTCACAGAAAGATAATGCGGGCTTCAAGACCCCTTCACCGTCCGCACATGCGTCAACACCAGGCACGGAAAAGAGAGCGGAGGAGACGCCAACCATATCGACGGGATCGCAAGAAACCCCGGCTCGTGATACGAATTGTCCTGTTTCCCCTCCAAGCTCCAAAGACCCTGTTTTACCAACAGATCCTGCAGGTCAACTGTCTCCCGTTAAAAGTCCATCGAAGCTCGTCATCTCGGTTGGATCTGCTGGTCGTAGTTCACACCGACCAAGTCATACTGGATTCTCCTCTGCTGGTTCTAAGCGACGTCACCTACAAACTAACTCCGAGGACCCATCGCCTGCGACTAGCTCTGAACAAGACAGTGCGTTGGATTCCAATGTACACAACGTTGCACAATCGCGCAGTACACAAAAGCGTCGTCGACGAGATATCCTCTCGACGCAAGAAGCTAACGAGGCTGGATCGCAATCTCCTCAATTCGAGCAACCTGCTGCGCCAGTGTTACCACGACGACGACTTCAAGCTGACTGCGGGACTGTCGTCACGGATAGCTATTCACTCGGTGCGCTGTGGCGTTCGCTGGGCTCAAATGCACGGGATCAGCCCAACGAAAACACTCAGATGCGATCAGGACAGCCTCGTCGCGCTTGGAAACGATACGAGAACCTTTTCCCACCACTGAACATGACCCGATTGAAGCAGATGATGGCAGAAGCCAACCACAAGTAAACGCTAGGTATGACATCAACAACTTAGCATCGTTCTGAATTACGGCTGTGGCTACAGTTAAAGCTCCCTAAATTACTCTCTCTCTCTCTCTCTCTTCAAGTCTCATTTTCAGTACTCTGCTCTGCCATCGAGAGCGTATTCACCATGCTAGGGTGCGCGAATCCCGCCGTATGAAAAGCTTGGAAAGATTCTCCGTAAGCGCGCTGGAACTGTTCGTAGACGTCGTCATCGATGCACACAAAGGCAATTCTGGTGTTCCAACGTGGACGCAGGCGAATCAAATCGCGAATAGCACTGAGCGCAATGTCTGCAGCGCGAGGCACGGGAAAACGATAGAGTCCCGTCGAGACGGAAGCCACAGCGGCACACCTGATGTCATGACTGTCCATTGCTAGTAACGCGTGCACATATGTCTTGTACAGCAGACTTTCCAAGCTGGCAACACCTCCTGTAGGCCCCACGCAATGCACTAGCAGTCGCATCCCAGAGTCACAGCCCACAGTGCACATGACGTCGCCGGCCTTTGCATGATTCCGTAGATTGAGGTTCATTACAGCTCGATCGAGATCGGGACCTGCACGCTCGTGGACGCGACCAGCAACACCCCTCCCTGGGTTTCGGTACGAAGGCGACGTTGGGAACACCAGACAATCAACTTGCTCGCCTCCAACTGTAGTGATAGTCCCCAGGTCGCCCTTTACGACGCAGACGCATCGCTCGAAGCACTCGAGTTGGCTGCGCAGGTTTAAATAGTCAACCAGCTCCATGCAGCCGTCAACTTGAGTGACACTGTGGTGCACGTTGATGACTTCCAGACTTACGTAACAATGAGCTTGCAGCAATTTGTACCACCAACCCCTATCGAAAAGGACGTCACAGGTGCTGTCGACCTCGCTCATAGCCTTGCACAGCGCCACCAGGGACCCGGTGTCCAAGTACAGCACGAAGTCGAGGAGAAGTTCCTTGCAGAGTAGTAGTGTTCCAGCCAACCCAGCTCTTGGAGCTGCAGCACTAGACGCCAAGGTAAACCGGCCGGTCTTCTCCGAGCGATACCGACTCGATATCTTGCGGCTACAATGCCTACCCGCCATATGTTCTTGTTCTTGCTTCGATGCCTATTGTCAAGTGAGCAAACGGTAGGATCGAATTCAATCAAATGTCAACTTCAACATGCAAAATGTATTTTTTTATTAAAAAAAAAAGTTTGTTGATGTTGGATTTCCTGGGGTACACAACAACTCTCCCTTGGCCGGGTAGTATTAGAACGTCTCCCAGTTGCTGCTGGCAGCAGAGTTGGAGAACCCCAGGAGATCTGCATCGCCAGTCGTACTGCTGCTGGCCTTCTTCGGCGAGCTAGTGGACCCAAACGGATCCATGTCGTCCTCTTCTTCAGCTTTCGCGGCGTCTTTCTTCTTGGTGTTGAGCTTGATTCGGATCGTTTGGCCTTCCTTTAGTGAGTAGTCAACGGGAGGAGCAGCAGTGGTGGTCTCCTGCTGCGTCTTCTCACGCTTGAGCTCTCTGTTGCATATACACATCACGTCAGCACTGCCAGGAAATAGATCGATGAATCGATAACTCACTTGTTGAAATCGTCGATGGCGACATTGAAATCGAATGCATCGCTGCGGTTGTTGAAGGCGATGCCAATAAATGCGTGTCGACCTGGCAAGAAGGACAATGGTGTAAGGAACTTAAGCAACAGCAAAAAGTGTTAAAATCGTACCAGATACGCGATCAACGGCGCGCAGGACGAAGTACCGACTGCTGTCAACCACTGCGGTATGAAGTTGGTTAGCCAGGCAAAATAGCATTAAATACGGTGATACCAGTCTACCTTTCTGAATGGCGGGCGGCCCACCAGCCTTAATCGGGCAGGCTGCGAAGAGGACACCCGTGTTGGGGTCCTTCAGCTCAATGACTGCATCTTCACCAACGGAAGAAACTTGCAGGCGACCAGTCCACGCGGGTGTGCTCGGCCACGAGTCCGCTCTAGACAACCGCAACACTACCATTTAGAGCCGACTCGTCGTGAAGACTGTGTTTGCAGATCTGTACCTGTGACCGGCAGCCGACGTCTGCGGAGGAATCTGGAACACGAACACCTGGTTGATAGTAGCGAGGACACGCTGCACTTCTGTCTCAGCGAATGTAAATAAACAATAAGCATAGATTAGAAACCACAACACCTTGGTTACGATTGCGGTCAAGGACTTACCGACTTCTGCCATGATGGTGCTGTTTCACGAGCGCGCAATGAAGAATGCAAGTGGGGGTGAGCCTGTGCTCAACCTACTACTTCTCGTCGAGGCTTTACTAAGGCAAGTGACGACTCCGAGATCAGGAACGGTCCGTTACGCGTCTTTTGGCGCTAAATGCAGCACACGGCAAGTCAACAATCATAAGTTCTGGTACAAAGTGACTTACCACCGCCTCTGTGTGTTCCCAGCGCATTTCATTCTAAGCATTTTAATCAGCCGGCAAATCTGCAAACTGATTATCTTAGTTTTCTTGGGCTCTTGCTTTTCACGAAAAGCTCCATGTTTGTGTCTTCTGACATACAAAATTCTGTAACTCGTAGGTTTGCTATCAACTGTCCATAAAGTACTTTTCTACAAAAAGCATTTCTGTTTTTGGTGAATGTTGCTTAACGGTGACGCAAAGTTGCTCTAACGATAGTCTTTTTTCTGCGAATCCTATCGATCTTTATACGACGTATCCACCAATCAGCGGAGAGACACATTATATCTCATTCGGATCATGGTGTTCCTCGCTGTGCTGCTTCTGGCGGCGCTGTTCGTGTCCGTCGAGGCCTCCACGTTCCCCTCGCAAGCCAAAAATGGTCGACTGTGGCAGCTAGTGCAGGAGGAAAATCAGTTGCTGTTTAAGACTGAGGCGCAGCAGCTTTGGTTTAACCAAACGGTGGATCACTTCGCTTCGGACAACACCTCCACGTTCCAGCAGCGTTACTACGAGGTGGACACGTTCTGGAGCAAGCCTCATGGCCCCGTGATCCTCTATATAGGGGGAGAAGGCGCAATGGAAAAGGCCCCGGCTGGATTCGTGCAAGTCATCGCCCAGACATTCGGCGCCAAGGTGAAGCGATGTGAAAGTTTGAAGAGAGGAAGCTGATCATTCTCACATTTACATTGTTTGTGGTATAAACCTTTAGATTCTGGCTCTCGAGCATCGTTTCTACGGCAAAAGTATTCCGAACGGGGACCTCTCGACGGAAAACTACCGGTACCTGACCGTGCAGCAGGCACTCGCGGATCTCAAGCACTTCAAGGAGAGTTATCAGAGCCAGCTTGGAGCGGAGAATGCCAACCAGTGGATTGCAATCGGAGGATCTTACCCCGGAGCATTATCGGCGTGGTTCCGTGTCGCTTACCCGAACACGACAGTCGCGTCGTTGTCGTCGTCGGGGGTGGTGCAACCCGTATACAAATTCCACCAATTCGACGAACAAGTGGCACTGGCTATGGGTCCGTCGTGTGCGGACGTTTTGCGGCTTACCACTGAAACTTTTGAGAGGGAGCTCAAGAGCACCAATGCTACCACAGTGAAAGGTCTATTTGGTGCTCAGGACCTTGCAGATGCCGACTTCTTCTACATGATCGCAGATGCTGCTGCAATGGCTGTCCAGTATGGCCACAAAGACATTGTGTGTAACAGTATGGTAGGCGCTTTCGAGCGCAACAACTCACTCGTCGATTCCTTCGCCAGCTTCACGATAGATATGTACGGATCTTCTTTTGGCAGTGAGTGCTTCTACGATACAAAATGCCTGGCCGAAGATCGTGCTCGCTGGGGGGACGGACGCTCGTGGCGCTGGCAGAAATGCTCCCAACTCGCATACTTCCAAGTCGCCCCCAAAGAGAAGAGTCTGCGCTCAGCGATGGTGGATCTGGAGTACCATCTAAAGCAGTGCCAAGCAGTATTCGGCGACGTAGTGCACCCGTCCAAGGGCGTAGATGAGATCACGAAGCTGTACGGAGGAGACCACCCGAACGGCCACAAGATCTTCTTCTCGAACGGTGGTGACGATCCCTGGCAACGTGCATCGGTGCTTGACACTCTATCGGATGACCAGATTGCCAATCTGGCGAAGTGTGAGTTATGTGGCCACTGCGGCGACTTGGGCGCCAACCCAAACGTACCGGAGCCATTGAAGAAGCAACGCGAGCAGATCCTCGAGTATCTAACCAAGTGGCTGGGTGAGTCTGATGAAATCGTGGAGAATATCGCACATGAATCAGTCGCTATTCCTCAAGAGGAGGACAATAACGAGCAGGAAATGGCGGGGCTGCAACTTGCTGGACTACACCGATCGTCGCCATTGGTCCTCATTCCTATCGTTGTCGCGTTCCTTGCGTTGGTGGGAATCTTGCATGCCGACGTTGTCCGTGACGCTCCGGGAGGGATGGAGATGATTCGATACAGACTTGCACACACGCACGAGTTTTAAACATTGAAACAGATTAAAAAAAAACGACATCGCCAGGAAGAGTAGAAGCCTTGACGTTAATGTATCTTGAACTTTTTTTTTCATTTTCTTGCAATGAACAAGCAAAAGTTCATTCTAAAAAGCCTGTTGTCTATCATACGCATCAATATTGAAGTCTGCAGCGATCGAGAGAGCATCAAGCTTTCTGCGCCTGCACCTTCGTCTTCGTAGCTGGTGCGGGGAGTGTGGATTGGCCCATGGTTTCCATTGTCGAGATGTAGGCGTACGTTGCGCCACCGATTGTTACGACGACGATACCGATGGCCTTCTGCACCGTGATGACGTCGTTGTTAATGAGGATAGACATGACGATCACAACCACTTGTTTCATGTTGCCACATACACACAGCGTCACAGGAGACGTGACTTTGTTGGCCATGAAGCTCGTGACGTTCAGCATGAAGCTAATAATTCCAGTCAAAATGAACCAGAAACTGGCCGAGGGCACCACTTCCCAGTTGTTCATGATCGTATCCACTTCTCCGGTGAAGAACATGGTGATTAGACACCAGCAGGCCGACAGAGGAGCCTGGTGTAGGATCAAGTCCACGGGGTGAAGCTTCAGGTCTCCGCTTAGGAACTTGTTCGAGAGAACTGCCTTTAAACCAGCGAATATAATGGCGACGACTGTGATGATGAAGCCCAATACTGTGCACGAGTTGTCTCCAGTGCATGCCAAGTAGACGCCGAAAGCCACAGGGATGAGCGAAAGTTTGCGCTTGAGCGAGTACGTCTTGCCGAGGATCAACATGCTGAGTACAACGACGACTGCTGGAACTAATGCACGCATGACCTGGTTAAAGGAGATGGATACGAGTCCCAAACTCCAGTTGCCTGTGATGATATTGCTCACGAAGATGAGCGAGAAATACACCATGAGCTGCTTCTGACCAGGCTTCAGTTGCTTGCGTTCGATGCCCTTGAACACGTGGATGTATAGGAACGCACCCAGCGTGTTGCACGTCATGTGTACAAATGTGAGTGTCACTGGCAGACGCAGAGCGCCCAACGCCTTCTTGTTCCAGAAGGTCACGCCAATGTTCTGCGTGAACCACATACTGAGCCAGAAGACCACGACAGAGGGAGCCACGTACGACGTCTTGGCCGTAGTGGTCGCAGCCTTCTCCTTCTTCTTGAGCTCCTGGTCGTCGGCCGTCTCCAAGTCTAGATGCGTCTGCTTAGCTTTCTTCTTATTGTTATCGTTATCTTCGTCTAGCAGCTGCGTCGTCTCGGTGGTGGTGTCCGCGTCGTCAGCTTCGGGACGCACATCGACGGACACGTGACCGCCCTGGATGAGACCAGCGCCACCCGATTGGGTACGCGGCCGTGCACTAAGCGTCTCCAGAGCCATGACGTCTACTGCTACTTGTGTGCTGTGAGGGGAATCCGGCTATGGCTTGAGCTGCTCAGCGTCGACGTCGAACTGACGATAAAAAGAGATAGTGCAGGAAGAGGACAGAAAAAGTGGACAAGAACGGGAACACGTGTTGAAAACCAGAAAAATGCCGTCGTTGTGACTATGTATTCTTTAAATATGGGACACATTTGAGTTAATTTGAAGGTTTAATTTGTAGCTTTTGACTAAAGCAGGGTGTCAACAAATCTGGCAGTTTGTTTGCTTCAGATTTTGAGCCGTTGAGAAACGACCGATACACTAAAAAAATCGTCAATGCGATGGTGCACCACTGAACACACGGCGTTGCCTTTGCATGGCTTTGAATTTTCAGCGCCACCTTCTGAGCGGGTTCTATTGGCATGGATGGCTGTGGTGGATCTTGGAGAGGCGTACTCGTGATGAATGCAACTGAAGTGGGATTTTGTTGACCTCGCTGCGTCATCTAGTTTTCAGTGCCTATAACTGTGACGTGGATACTGGTCGTCGCCCGCAGCCGCCTGATCGCGAGCTCCACCATGCGCTTGAGTCCCGCACCTGAGCAGGTGGCCATTTTCCGAAATGAGACGAATAGATTAAAACTAAAGCACAAAGCGTACCCGTGGTTGTGATCCCCGACGCGGTCCGGAAGTCTGAAAATAAGTCGCAGAGCGGTCCTACCACTACGAGTTCGGGCCCTGCTTCATTCTGGCCGTCCAGCTCAGCTCGATCAGTGAAATATCTGACACCAGATAATAAAAGTAATATACACACCTCCCAGTTTTGCTGCAAGTGATCCAGCTCACACAGCAGCTCGTAGACACACCGACATTGGCGGAAACGTACGCGGTGAAGACACTCGGCCGCTAACTCCGTCGTCATCGCTGCATTAGGACTTGACACAGCCACTGCCAGCCGCTTGGTCACACCCTTCGGGTCGCGCACCAAGAACAGCACTTGCTTTCCTTCCCTGGTAACCAGCAGGGCAGCGCCCACACATCGCTATCGTAGATGGAAAGAACATCGATTCGGTCAGTTAAGCGTCATATACCCACCCACCTGAACAGCTGCATACCTCAATGCTGCAACTTTCAAGCTTCTCCAGTTCATTTCCTAGTGCGGAACTATCAAACCACGTCAGTAGCGTACTCATTGCGTGTGGCTTTAGAATAGTGCTCCGCTTTGCCAAACACAACCTCGAGCCACTTCGCTTCGCCGCGAGGGTTGACATGGCAATAAGCGGGGCGCTACAAAACGCAGCTGCCTGCTGTCGCTGTGCGCGCATCTCCTGCGCATAAATACTCGACGCAAAAAGCTGCTCAGCCGTTGCATTCGCGGGTGTATCGCCCAGTTCCTCTGCGCTGAGCAATCTCTTGAGCAGTGGCATTATATCAACAGAATGATGGTCATACGTAAAAGTAAACGTCACTATCACGGGGAGCATAGTGACCTCGAAGCCGCACCCGTTATTTCCTCGGGTCGGTGATGTCGTCGACGTCTCCACTGAGTTCCCAGGGGCGTCTGGACGCGTCTTCTACCTCTGCAAGTCGAGAAGTCTCTCCTGATGGTGTGGACACTCTATTCTCCGTTTCTCGAGGCACTGGAGCCGCCTCACCCGCCTCCTCCACAAGCCCCGAGCAGTTCCGCCCTCCCATGTCGTTCCTGCGTCGCTTAACCTCCGCTCCGACGGCTAGTCGCGACGACCGAGCCAAACGCAAGGAAATGGAGCGCAAGGAGCTGCTGGAAATGATCCTCGAGTCCATCGCCAACGTGCCCAAAGCTGTAGAGCGGATCCACACGAACGAAAAGCTCCGACAGGCGCTACACCATGAAATGGGCGAGGAAAACTCGCTTTTGCATCGGTTCTTCGACTCCAGACAGCAACGAGAGGAAGTGACGCTAGGTGACACTCGTTGGGAGCTCAATCGACCTTCTGAGAGCGAAGATGAAGACGACGCAGACAACAGTGCACTGCCAGCAACGGCGCTGGGGGTATACGATAACTATGAGCACAGTCAAGAAGGCGACAAGGACGACGACAGTGATGAGAGTGAAGACAGCAGCAGTGACTATGGATCTGGGTACGAGAATGACCTGGCTGAAGCTGTGAACCAACTCTGCATGACGGATGAGACCTTGACAGCGATGGATAACATGGTATCGGATCCGATTGGAATTGTTCAGACGAATTTTACAGGTGGAAGCTCTGCGAGGGTCTCAAGCTCACCGCAGTCGTCGCTCGGGCTGGGAGCTTCACCTGGAAATGCGTCGATGGATGGAGAGCCTGTATCGGCGCTGTGGCCACGACAGCCGAATCAGTTTGCGTTTACCCAAGAAGAAGACAACAACGTTCGAGCGGAGGACGAGGTGTACAGCGAAATGATGAGCTCGGTCTGTGAAGACGAAACGTTCCAGGATGATGTGGATGGTGACGAAGAAGGTGAAGAGGAACATCTGAATGACGAGAGCGAGGAGAAGCTATTTAAAATGGATGACGATGATGGAGACGGCGATAAAGAAGAAGAATTGAGCAACGGTATGGCCAATTTTGGTGCTGATGATACAGTATCAGATCCGTTTGTGGTTGGCTCTCCCATTCAGGGTCAGGTGACTACTTTCCAACATGATCTCGATGGCAAATCAAAGCAGAAGGCAGACACAGTCCACACGGTCGATATTAAAGAAGGCGACGATGTTGGCAATGAAGAGAGCGAAAGTTCCGGTGACGATGACGACGACGAGCTCAAGGAATACGAGGCGTTTCAGCTCCGCATCATTCGCGAGAAAAATCGCACTGGATTCGAACCAAACCAGGACTGGCGTCCTCGTGCCGGAGCTTTGATTGGTGGTAGATACAAGGTTTGTAGCAGTATTGTCTTAGGCGGTTGGATTACTGCATGGTGTCAACATTGTGCGTGTTTTTGTAGGTGGAAATGGCTATTGGAGAAGCAGTGTTTAGTCGAACCTACAAGTGTATGGATACAACCACTGAGCAGTCCGTATGCCTCAAGATCATCAAGAACAACAAGGAGTACTTCGATCAGGGCGTCGACGAAGTCCGAGTACTCGAGTACATTGATCGCAACTGCAAGGTGGACGAAAGACATCTCATACGTCTCCTGGATGCCTTCTACTTCCGCGAACACCTGATAATCGTGACTGAGGTGCGTTTGTAGACGTCGAGTTGAATTTCTGTGCTTCCATGCTCACCTCTCTGTTGTGGCTACAGCTTCTTCGCGACAATCTGTACGAGTTCTCTCGTCTGCTTCTACAACGCGGTGTGATCAACTACTTCAGCATCCCTCGTCTGAAAAAGATTACTATTGAAGTGCTCGAGGCGTTGGATACACTGCACTCGCTGGGACTTGTTCACTGCGATCTCAAACCCGAAAACATCCTCATCCAAAACTTCAGCGCATGTACCGTTAAGGTGATCGACTTCGGATCAGCATGCTTCACTACAGACGAGCTCACGTCTTACGTGCAGTCGCGCTCGTATCGTGCTCCAGAGGTGCGTATTGACCTATATCCACAAAGAGCTGTAGCCATGCTTTAATCTATCTTGTTGCTTTTCCAGGTGATTCTCGGCCTCATGTACGACACAAAGATCGATCTATGGTCGCTAGGATGCGTCATCGCCGAGATGTTCACAGGCGAGGTGCTCTTCCGCAATGACTCGGAGCAGACCCTACTGGCACGAATCCTAGCAACAATCGGTGCGCATTCAGATTTATCACCAACGCAACGTATAATTCTAATGCTATATGTTGTCCCAGGTCCCATTCCTGCGTCTCTGCTGGCCGGCCGAGGGGAATTGCAGCATCAGCTGATTGACACGGGATTGTTCACAGTAGATCACTTGGGCAACGGCGTGTTGGCTGCGAGTCTGCACGTGCCTCCTCTAGAGCAAGCCGTACACACGAAAGACAACGAGTTCCTGGACTTCCTTCGAGCGCTGCTGCAGATCGACCCGGCGCGTCGACTCTCGGCGCGGGAGGCTTTGACACACCCATGGCTTCAACATGGCGTCTTCGCCGAGAACCGGATGTGATTGGTCGATGTCTGCCACACCAAATATTGATTATCCGGCGATAGTTATCCGGACATTTTAAAAAGGCGTCATTGATAAAGCGCGGGACTGATGGCGTCTTCAGGTGACGACGGCGTCTCGGCGGTGGGTGTCGCTCTGCATGTTCCGTTGTGTTTGAATAGTGCTGCTCTGCGTGTTGATCCTTAGAATTTATAGAGAAAAAGCGGCTGGAAGGGGCCTCTGGGCCTCCCGCCGCTCCGTTTTATCAGCAACTAAGTGTTCTGCTTGCTTTGTGCTTGTTGGTTACGCTGTGGGTCTTCTTAGAGCCAGGAAATGCAGAACCAAGTAGATGCTTTGAGGCTGAACGGGGATTGCCGGTCACCACGGCAGACAGTGGAAAAGGATACCAGACAACTCAATACCAACACCGTCTTATTGTCACCACGTGACGGAGACAACCACGAGCTCGTCAGAGGCGTCACGAGCGACGGGGTGGGTTTCTACACTAGCGATAAATGGGCCAAGTTCTACCCGAATCAGGAGGTGGCGGTGGTCACGAGCATCGGACAGCCACCGATCCCTCCAGAAGGTGGGGAATTGTTGTTGTTATTATTATTTGAAGAAAGAAGACGTGTGGACAACGGGTTAACGGGCCTGAAATTGTAGGGTACGCTCCACTGCGTCACGGTCACAGACGTGAAGAGCAGACACCAGAAGCTGCCATGATCTTCGAGGAAGACGTGCCGAACGGGTTAGTTGATGCTGCTTTTGTCATTTTGAAGGTCGATTTGACTGTACTTCTTGGGTTTTATGCTTTGTTTTCCTTTGCAGCTTCTCGGTGGACACGCTGCTGTGGAACGAAAAGTTGCTGGAGCAGCGTATCATGGAGCTGACTGCGTGGACTCGGCGGCCTCCTATGCCACGACGCCAGAAGCTCGACTGCATTAACCGCATGGTCAACCAATGTAACACTACAAATACCAAGATTTGCTGATGAATTAGATTCGATGCCAAGTGCTTACTACTGATTGATTTTCGAGCGTTTGATGTTGTATAGAAAACAGGGGCGCCTGCAACTCAGGAGTATTCACCCGTGCACTGCTGAACAAATGCAGTTAGGCACAATAGACAGGTGAGTGGGAGATATTCCTGTCCGGTCGTCGGTTGAGCCGAACTAGACGTTTGTACTCTTCGCTAGAGCATAGAGTTGCTGTAGGATGAGTGCGTTGTTGCTGCGCTGGCTGAATGACGAGCTCAAACTGCATCGCAAAGTGGAGGTACTGGAGCGTGATGCTAGCAACGGGTACATCATCGCCGAGGTGCTGCATCTCCAAGGTCTGGAGCCCCAGTTCGAGAGTTACGAGAACACGTCAACTACAGCAGCCAAGATCCATAACATGGAGCTTCTGGGCGAGAAACTCGAGGCTCTGGGCATTCCGTTCCCCGTGAACACTCGTCGCGCCATCATGATGGAGAATCGCGCTGCGGTGCTTCAGTTTCTGCTACAACTCAAAGATTTCCTTGGAAAACTATCAAAAAGAAGACCGGAGAGTGCAAAAGCCAAAGTGATTCCGTCAGAGCAATCTACAAAAGCCGCGCTAGCCAAGTCGAGTAGACCATCGCGTGATGTAGAAGAGCGTTTTTTGGTCGAGACGACGAAGAAATTCCACCCAAAAGAGATCCGCTTCAATAAGGACATCGACATGGCCGTGTACCTGCGTAAGTTCCAACAGACTCAATGGCAAGCGGAAAACGAGCGCGACAATGTAAGGATGAAAATGGCTAAGGTTTTAAACTGCTCTTGACTACTAAGTAACCATTGCTTTTCTGTCCTCTACAGTTCAATCAGCAGGCCACGATGGGTAAGAATGCAAATTCTGCGACTGGATACGCTGCTGCTCGTGCTCATCTGCAAGAAAAGGCTCAGTTCATGCGTGACTGGGATCATGAACATCATGAAAAGTGGAAGCACACACAAGTCAGTTACAGCGATAATACCAGTAGGGTATTGCTACTGACGATTGTTTTAGCGTCTCTTTTTGTCTACAGAGCGTGATGATCTGCGACTTGAATTAACTTTGGAAGCTAGAAGACAGATCTACAAGGAGTCGAAGCTGGCTGAGAGTCAACAAGATGGCGCTGTCGGTGTCGTGGAGTTCGAGAAGAATATGAACAGACTTGGACTTGCATCCGGTGGAGCAGAACAACCTCTCCGCGCCATTCCAGCTAGTGATACTGGTGCACTTGCACACTTTCACAGTCTCGAGAAACGAGTTGAGGGTCTTGATTTTCGACCTTCCAGCAATGTGAAAATGATGAAAGAACTGCGTAAACGACGCAAAGCGCAGTTGGCAGCAGAGAAAGATCGACGCATGAGGCGGCAGAAAGCGTTAGCAGACCAGAAAAAGGTAGGCGATTGACCTTGATGGTATTTTTAATGGTCTAACTGGTGGCCGTAGTCGATTGAAACTCACGAAACAGGGCGAGTACATGATAAGGATCAAGACAATAGTCAGAATCCGGACGGCACGCACCCAATACCGTTGTCAGAGGATACAAATAAAGCTGAAACAACTGTGAATCCTCGTGAGAAATATCTCGAAGACAAACGCGCAGAGCTGGAGGAGAATTATGCTCGGTTACGGGAGTGTGGGAGTATGAGGCGAGAAGAAGACAGGATAGTACTTGACGAGCTTCGCTCCACGAAACGGAATAAGGAACGACTCCGTGGGTGGGAAGTGTGCTCCGATGCAGTCGACGATTTGATCTCGTTAGCGTTCGAAATTGTCTCGTCCAGGTAAGTCTAATTGTTTCTTGATTACTCGACACGATGAGCCGTTAACGATCATAGTGCTTGGTGTTGCAGTGATAGAGACGTCTTGGATATAGAGCCGCTAACCTTTCTACAAGTGGCTCCACCACTGCCAACTCTGTCTGATCAAGGTGGTGAGGAAGTGCGTTATGAGTTGGATATGTCCATCCAAAACTTCTTGTCTTGCTCAGAAATATGGGCTACGCTTCCACTCCAGTCCACATTCTCTACGTACGACGTAAGAGCCGACATCCAAGCTCTGCGTGACAGTTGGGCTGATCCGACTATAGCATTGGACACGTCTTGGAATCGCCCTCCGTCCTTCATGCTACTGAGTGTATTCACTGAGGATGAAAGTGGAACTGAACTCGCCCAACGAATTGCAACTGAGCACCAATTGGCATTCCTGCAACTTGATCCTCTCGTGGACGAATGCGTCAAGATGAGTTACGAACCCCAAAAGCTCGGAGATCAAGCAGCTTCGCTTAGTGACCGTGAGGTAAGTACTCCATTCGAATGTTACAGATTGGGTGTTCTAACAAACAACATTGACGATGTTGATCGTAGCGGGAACTCGGCGTCTTTGGCCCAAAAATCACAGCTCTTCGCCAAAAGAATTTGCCAATACCCGATACTCTAGCTGTAGAGATCATTGCAAATGCAGTGTCACTGTGCCGAAGAGAAGCTGTAGCATATTCACTTGAAGATGCTGCAAGCACAGTACCGAACGGATGCATGTTACACAATTTTCCAAGGTACAAGTGGTGTTCTGCACAATTCTGAGAACTCCATTGTAACTTTCTATTACCACAGAACAGTGGACGAAGCTAAGATGCTGGAAAAAGCTATTCTGGCAGACCTTCCGACCGAAGAAAGTGACTCAAATACTGCAGTAAACAACAGCACAGCTCTTCCAGAGGAAGAAAGTATTCCTGCCATTATATCGGCTTGGGATTGCGTTATGTCAATATCTCCCGACAATACTGCAGTGGTTGAGCAACCAGATGCAAACAAAACTCTACAAGGTTCCGACTCATCATCAACTTTAGCTACCAAGCCCACGTCGTCGACGTCAAAGCTAATATCTGCCGGAAGTCAGCGGAGACTCGCACTTGAAGAGGAGCAACGCGTTCGTAACGAAGAGCAAAGAGCGAATCTACAGGCTTACTGGAGTCAAACGACTCGACATATTCAGATTAAGCAACCTGGACTGCATCGCGATGTGTTAGCAGAATTCGTTCACTTATCCATCAACGTGTTTACACAGCCATCGTACAAAATGATTCCAGGATTGATCGAGTGTGGAGCCAATTGTATACCAGAACAGCTGAAGGAGGAGCGTGACAAGAGATGCAAGTCAATGAACGTTGTTGACCGAGTCATGTGGTTGAGAGCCTCAAAAGAGATAGAGCTTGAGGACGATTTCTTTCAAAATCTTGCTGAAATGTTGCAAAAGGTATGTAGGAAGGCGACGGAAGGTACTTAGATGAGTGCTTATATTCCTGTTGCTGTTTTTCCGCAGTTAGAAAAAAATATGCAGCAGAAAATCTGCGAACCGATGGCGACAATTCGATCGATTATTCAAGCTATCTCGACGCTGGCAGTCGCTGCGGAGCTAGAACTCGAGAACGAGCTATTCGGTGGTACCACTCCATTCCAAGCTCTTTTGGATCAAGCAGCGACAAAGGTGAAGACTGCCACTGGTCCATCAAAACAAGAGGTAATGCAATTTATTATTATTATTCACTACGACGCTCTTACACCGGACTTCGTTGGTTCAGCGCATCTTGACAGATCTCGAAGTCTCTCTCGGCGATATGACAGACTCTCACCGCGTAGCAGGCAACGAATTCGTGGATGCTTTTGCACAAGATCCTTTTCCAGAAGTGATTCGAGCTGTGGATATCGTGTACAAGTGTCTGCCCTCGATCTGCTTTTATCTCAAAGATTTCGCCATGCAAAAACTGGAGCTATTACGCACTCAGCTGTACGATCGTATTCCGTTCCTTAGTGAAAATCTGGACGATTCTGGATGTAAAGTGGTTCTATCAAAGATAATACCTCGAGAGGCAATGACTGCAGCCTCTGAATTGGGTGGCGATAAAGCTGGAGGAGAATTCGCACAGGTTGCTAGCGATGAGGTGTTGAGTATCTTCAGTCAATTAGCGTCCGAGTATTCTATTCACTCGACTGATGAACTTCCAGCACACCAGTACGCTCTAAGTGAGACGAATGTGACTACAGAAGAGATCACGCGTCTGCTACAGCGTGTAACATTGCTCTGTCGATTCGCGGATCGATTGAGACAATCGACAGGGCAGCTCTATGCGAGTGACGTTCAGAATCTCCAGCAAACCGTTCGACAAGATATCCACACGAAAGACAAGGCAATCGCCGAGGTCATGGCGGAGATCAGAGCACATGGCTGTGCCACTTGGCCTATTCGAGATCTGGAGATCAGTTCAATGTCTGATATTGCAACACGTCTGTCACGAGCTCAAAAGGAGAACTTCCTCACTATTACTCAGCTTAGTGCTCTTGTACACGCTTGTGAGACGTGGGAACTCTCTGATCCCATCGCAGCAAGTGCATTTGGCGGTGCAGGTATAGCGAGTGACATGTTCGTCGCGTTGATCCTTGAAGTGGCTGCAAAAGAAGATTTTCCTGTACGCTGGAGAGATGCTAGCGCTGTTGCAGCCGTCACACTCCAACAGTGTTCTACTAGAGGGGCTGTGTCGTGGAGGAAGTTCGTTTGGTCATTATTGTGCATCCAGTTGACAGGGATTCCTTCACTAGAGGATATTTTGGCGTACCAACAACGAGCATTGACACTAATCAAGCGTCAGCGTCAAGAGGCAAAGGAAGAATCCAGCAACGCCTCCCTCTCTCGTGCAGATTTCTGGCAGCTCCCATTGTGGATTGAAGAACGCAGCAACACCAAAGGCAAACATAACCCGGAAAAGATTAAGGAATTAGTATTCCAGCTCTTCGCTGCGGCGGCAGATCAAGTAGATCTGCTACCGATGCTGCTATGCTGGTGTGTGCATCCGTCCTGCTCTTTCAACATCCGTCACGACCTGGAAGAGTTTACGCCTCGCTACCCTCGAGGCCTGCTCCGAGTCTTTCGACTGCTGCGTCAATACTCTGCTGTTCATGGGGCCACGCCTCAGTGTTTCTCGGCCTTATTTGCAGTCGCTGGAGCTGTAGAGCAGCCACCATCACTCGAGTCCTTCGATTCGTTCTACTGCAATTGTCCTGCTGATTTCCATCGCTTCTACGCGTTGCAGAACCCACTTGAGGCTCTGGCTCAGCTCTAGATACAAAGCAAAGCCGAGTGCACCAGTAGATATAATAATATTAGACCAGGCTTTAGCTGCTATCCGTGTCTGTCTCCTCGTTATCGTCCTGCCGCTTGCTGCGTCGTCGCCGCTTCTTGCGCAGAACGTCTGCGTACAGTGAATGTGCGAATAGTCCTGACAGTAGTCCCATCATACAAGCAGAGCGTAAGCTGCCAGCGTAGCGCAAGGCCAGCACCGCCGCCACAGCTCCACCCGAGAACTTGACGCTATCTTCCATGCTAGGCACGCGCGCCAATGCGCTGATCTTATTCGAGGCGGCAGCTGTCAGCGATGAGAAGGTCGAAGGAAGCGCCAACTCGCGGCCGCCCGACGTCGTTGACGCCTTGGGCTTTTCCTGCTCCATAATGTAACTGGAGACTGAAGAATTAGTGATGCATAGTTAGTTTGAGTGTAAATTGTGCTGGTGGATGTGATCTTGTAACAATTTACGACAATTTTTGGGTCAAATTGGTCATTCTTTTTACTGATAAGCGAGGATGGAGGTGACACCTTCGAGCGGGGATAAGTGCCCGCATTACGGACGGCGTTGCCACGTGCTGGCTGAGTGCTGCAAGAAATGGGTGGGCTGTCGTTTGTGCCACGACGCGCAGTTCGGCGAGGACCACGCGATCGACCGCTTCGCCATCAAGCAGATGCGCTGCGACTTGTGCCAGACTGAGCAGCCTGTACGACCCAGGACGACTTGTGAACCGCTGGTTCTGTAGCCTATATACTGACTGCTGTGGCTACTGCTAGTGCGCACAAGAGTGTATCAACTGTCACGAGAATATGGCCGCGTACTTCTGTTCCGTTTGCAATTTGTTTGACGACAAGGGGCTAGAGAAACAGGTTTTCCACTGCGCACAGTGCGGCATCTGCCGGTACGTTGCAACGCGAATTGGGAGACTTTATAGCTGCTAATGGTGACCTTTCCTCACAGAGTTGGCGGTCGCGAAAACTATTACCATTGCATCAAGTGCTGCGGGTGCTACCCACACTCACTCGAGGCCAAACACAAGTGTCTGGAAGGATCCATGCATCGCGAATGCCCCATTTGTCTTGATGTGAGTGGCAATCGGCGATGTCTTTACACTGTTGGAGGGGAAACTGAGCTGTCATGGATGTAGGTGACGTTCGACTCGCTGGAGAGTGTCAATGTGCTGCCGTGTGGTCATGTTATGCACTCGAGCTGCTTCAAGGCATACGTCAAGCACCAGTACGACCACAAATCTGCTGCTGATCGGCTTTGCTTGGTTCTAACATGCTCGATTTGTTGCCACAGTAACATTGTGTGTCCAACCTGTCGGACATTGATGTTCACGGAGGACGAAATCAACGGTGGGGAGCAGGAAAACGACGAGGAAGGCGAAGAAGATGGCGAAGAAAACGGCAGCGAGAGTGATGGAGATGACGACTCAGATAGTTCTAGCAGTAGTGAGAGCGAGGATGAAGACGGTGTTGTAGTCCAAGTCGTAGTAGAAGACGTGGACTCGGACAGTGACGTGGAAATGGACGCAGCGCACGATGCAGAACGCAACGTGTGGCCAGGTGTACACCGACCGTAAGATAGCTAGAAATACGACGGAATGATGTGAAGCAGAGACGCTACGGCGGCTTCATGTTGGCTTAATTTTTGTGGTTTAGAAGGCAGCCGAGCGAGAGCTCCACAACGACTACGACGACTACAGTACATAACATTCCGCTCTTGTTTCGACCGCGTTTCCTTCCACTTGCAAGTTAATAGTTTCCGCTCCTTGCTCTTGATGTTCTTATAGCTTATGCATTGCGATAGCGTCCTCGGTAGACACGCGCTGACTGGGTGTAGAGCGCTGCGGACTTGCAATCAAGCGAACAGAAGCCTGTATAGCGACTAGTGCCGGCCACGAAGCTACGCGTGCACATCCCACACTGTTCCCAGTCGGCGCTGCCCTCGCTCATGGCTTTCCGTCGCCCTTCAAGCTCTTCACGTGTCACGACAGTGGTGGCGAATGAGCTACAGAGCTCCGAGCGGTTCGTGGAGCGTTTGCTGGCACCCGCGAGCGCCACGGGCTGCAGCTGTTCGGCCTCTTCCTGTTTCTTGTCGCGTGAGCTGAGCTTGCGCAGGAGTTTGCGGGTTGAGTCGCGCAGTCCCATTGAAGGCGTCGACTTGAGGCTGGTGGGTCAAATTCGGAAGTGCTACTTGCACTTGAACTGGACTTGCAGTCGGTGGGGAAAAGTCGGGGCGGCCTTCTTGATGGCCGGACACGAAGGAAGATGCGGCCGAGGCTTTCCAGCTGGACGATGGCTCGCAGTCTGTTGGGATCAGTCAAGGATTGATGCACGGCGTCTATTGGGCCGAGAGCTTTCGATATTGGAAGCGCGTTGGATTCAAAGACAGCTTCCATTCCACAGATGCTGGAGTGGCGCTGAACAACAGCCTTCGTCTTGTATGACTTCACTGATGCCATGCATTATTCTAAGGGGTCAGTTAACTTGACGCAGTGACCGGCTGGCTACAGGTACAGTAGCATGCTCGTCATAAGAAGCGTTGTGCTTGGGAACAGTGATCGTCGCCACACGCGGCATCACACGGTAAACAGCCTTGCTTCGACAGGTAAAGATGCGGATCCATGAGGTCTCCTTAAGTCTCGTTCCGAGTAGCACTAGAGCATAGCATAACGAATCGATGTGTAAAAGGCGATGGATGGCGGTCGTAAGCTACATATCCGGATAGCTGCAATGAACCAACGCTTCAAAGAAGTTAGCAGCAATGAAGTCCGTATTTGCAACTACAACACCGAACTTCCATCGGAATCACATTTGCTTTAAGTTACAACGGCAATTGTCAAGACGTCTTGATAAATGTGTGCCGTTGTGTCACACCAACAGTGAAGAATTGCAATGTGACCATCACTTCGAGGAAAAAGGATCACTCACGGTTTTTCTTGCTGTGTCACGGAGTTCTCGTTCTTCTCCGTCACGAGATATTTCGGTGAACGCAAAACGGTATTCGCCGTTGACGCTACAGCCACCGCTGTACGTAATCGCGCACCTCATGGAACTTCATGCTGGCAACGAGACTGCAAACAAATACTACCAAGACCGCAACTTACGGGCGTTGTCATACATGTAGCAGCAATGCGTTTTACATGTGCCGATTCAAAGGCAACTTGCACAAAAGGTGACGCAAACAAACCAGGAGATCTTTCCTGATGTGTACCACAATTACGGTACAATTGTGCCCCACAGCTCAGCCAGCCGTCAATGACACCCCTCATATCGCATCCGTCCAAGCCAGGCACACGTCACCGTCCGCCCTGTAGACGACCGACACGATGGCGCAAGACTCGGCCGCATCGCGTTCGCTTCCCGAGCGTATCTCGTTCCCCGACGAGGAGCTTAAAATCTTGGAGCTCTGGGAGCAGCTGAACGCTTTCCACAAGTCTCTCGAGTTGTCCAAAGACCGCAAGCCTTTCACTTTCTACGACGGCCCTCCTTTCGCCACAGGTCTGCCACACCACGGACACATCCTGGCCGGCACTATCAAAGACACGGTCACGCGCTACGCCCACCAGACGGGCCACTACGTGGAGCGCCGCTTCGGTTGGGATTGCCACGGTCTCCCCGTTGAGAATGAGATCAACAAGAAGCTGGGCGTGACCACCAAGGAGCAGGTGCTTGAAATGGGCATTGACAAGTACAACTCCGAGTGCCGCGGCATCGTGCAGCGTTACACGAGCGAATGGGAGCGTGTAGTCAAGCGTATTGGTCGCTGGATCGACTGTAAGAACGACTACAAGACCATGGAGCCATGGTACATGGAGTCGGTCTGGAACGTCTTCCGCACCATCTTCGACAAGGACCTGGTGTACCGTGGCTACAAGATTCTGCCCTACTCTACCGCCTGCACCACGTCGCTCTCCAACTTTGAGGCCAACTTGGACTACCGTGACACGCCCGATCCGTCGGTGGTCGTCAACTTTCCCCTAGCGGACGAGCCTGACGTCGCTCTACTGGCCTGGACCACCACTCCGTGGACTTTACCGTCCAACTTGGCTCTGTGTGTTAACGAATCGTTCGACTATGTCAAAATTAAGGACATTAAGACCGAGAAGGTCTACATTCTGGACGAAGCACGTCTGTGCCAAGTGTACCCCAAAATGAGCAAGAAGGGGTACAAGGGAGGAGAGTTCGAGATCCTCGAGAAGTTCAAGGGATCCACACTTGTAGGCAAGAAGTACGTGCCTCTGTTTGACTGCTTCAAGGACTGGCCCAACGCCTTCCGTGTGCTCTCGGACAACTACGTGTCCGACTCTGGCGGTACCGGTATCGTGCACCAGGCCCCCACTTTTGGTGAAGACGATTACCGCGTCTGCGTGCGTGAAGGTGTGGCCGACAAGTTCACTCTACCGGATCCTCTGGACGACAACGGCGTGTTTACGGACGCTGTGCCGCTAGTTAAGGGACTGCACGTCAAGAAGGCGGACGACGTCATCTGTCAGGACCTCAAGAACCGTGGGCGTCTCGTATCGAAGGGCACAGAGGTGCATAGCTACCCTTTCTGCTACCGTTCGGGCACGCCGCTGATCTACCGCGCTATCCCCGGCTGGTTCGTCAACGTGGAGCGTATCCGTGACCGCATTGTGGCCAACAACAAACTCACGTACTGGGTGCCGAGCTTCGTGCAGGAGAAACGTTTCCACAACTGGCTGGTGGACGGTAAAGACTGGAACATTTCACGTGGCCGCTTCTGGGGAACGCCGCTGCCGCTGTGGGTGAGTGACGACTATGAAGAGGTGGTGTGTGTGGGTTCCATTGCGGAGCTGGAGGAGCTGGCGGGCGAGAAGGTGACGGATCTGCATCGCGAGTTCATCGACCACCTGACGATCCCGTCCAAGCAGGGCAAGGGCGTGCTTCGTCGTGTTCCGGAGGTGTTTGACTGCTGGTTCGAGAGTGGCTCCATGCCGTATGCTCAGCAGCACTATCCGTTCGAGAATAAGGATAAGTTTGAGGCCAATTTCCCCGCTGATTTCGTGGCTGAGGGTCTCGACCAGACTCGTGGTTGGTTCTACACTCTGATGGTGCTGTCGACTGCTCTGTTCGACAAGCCAGCGTTCAAGAACCTCATCGTGAATGGTCTGGTGCTGGCTGAGGACGGCCGTAAGATGAGCAAGAGTCTCAAGAACTTCACAGACCCAGAGGAGATCCTGCAGAAGTATGGCGCTGATGCTCTGCGTCTGTACCTCATCAACTCGCCTGTGGTGCGTGCTGAGCCCCTCAAGTTCCAGGCTCCGGGTGTACTTGGCGTCATCCGCGAGATCTTCCTGCCGTGGTTCAACTCTGCTCGTTTCTTCGCCCAGCAAGCCACTCGCCTGCAGCTTGAGACTGGCGTTGCCTTCGTGCCCAACCGTGAGGCTGCGCTGGCCTCGACGAACGTCATGGACTCGTGGATCATCGCTGCTATGCACAACCTCATCAAGTTCGTGCACGAGGAGATGAAGGCTTACCGTCTGTACACTGTGGTGCCGCGTCTTGTGAGCTTCATTGGCCAGCTAACGAACTGGTACGTGCGTCTCAACCGTCCTCGTCTTAAGGGCAGCGCTGGCAGTGCTGAGGCTGCCGTGGCTCTCTCGGCTCTGTACGAAGTCGAGTACAACCTGGCCAAGCTGATGGCTCCCTTCACGCCGTTCTTCACCGAGTACATGTACCAGTTCCTGCGTCAATTCCACCCGAACGTCGTGAATGGCGCTGGCAAGGACCTGGCTGAAGACGCCGATGGTGTGTCCCCCAGTGTCCACTTCCTCATGCTGCCGGACTTTGATGCCAGTCGCGTGGACGAAGAAGTGGAGGAGCTCATGAAGAACCTGCAGTCGGTGATCGAGATGGGGCGAGTTGTGCGTGAGCGTCGCACGATCTCGCTGAAGAACCCGGTGAAGAAGGTCATTGTGGTGTCCAACAACCAGAAGGCGCTGGACGGTCTCCGTCGTCTGGAGACGTATCTACACGACGAGCTGAACATGCGCGACCTCGAGTTCTCGACGGACGAGAAGGAGTGGTGTGTACTCAAGGCGGAGGCTAACAGTCGTGCACTTGGTCGTCGTCTGGGCAAGGCTCTGTCTGGAGTGAAGAAGCAGATCGCGCAGATGACACACGACGACGTGGCTGCGTATGTGTCCAGTGGAAGTGTGACTATCGATGGCCATGAACTGACGGGCGAGGATCTAGTGGTGAAGCGTGAGTTCAAGGGCGACTCGAAGATCTTTGAGGCTGATGTGTCGCCGGAAGGAAACCTGATGGTGATCATTGACACGCGGGAGGACGAGGAGCTCAAGATGCAGGGATGTGCGCGTGAGGTCATCACTCGAGTGCAGAAGCTCCGTAAGAAGGCTGGACTGGTGGTGCAGGACAAGATCCACGTCTACTTTGAAGAGAAGGGAGGCAAGGGCCCAATCTCGACGGCTATCCAGACGTTCCTGCCTATGATCTCGTCGACTCTGGGCACGGCACCTGCCCCGCTATCGCTGCAGCCTCAACACAGTGTACCGATTGTGTCGGAGGAGGCTCAGTTCGCCGACTCGAGTGTGAAGCTCGTGGTGGCTCGTCCTGCTGTGCTGTTCGCGTCTGCTGACGTGTTGAAGAAGCACGAGGAGACTGTGCCTGTGGAGCAGTTCACGGCGTATGTTGCTTCGATGAAGTATGCGGATGTGAAGGCTGCGCTAGAGTCTGCGGACGCTTCCGTCACTGTTCGTACGGCGACTGCACAGGTGACGCTCAAGGCCAACGTTGAAGTGTTCCTGGACGCGAAGACATTTGCGAAGGCATCAGGCAAGCCAGAGCTTGCGTGGCTGGCTAAGGAGGCCTAAGCTAACGATAAGAAGAGCTTCGTATCGTTCTTAGATAACTGCGCGTAAGAAAAAAAAAAAAAAAACTTTGATCTTGTCATGATGTAGTCATAAGAGTCTTGTTGTCTTGAGTAATGGATACTTCTTGTCTTGATGGGTACTCGTTGTTTCCACACGCGTTTGGTGTATTATTTTTCTCATAAGTTTAAAACATGGACTAATGTTCGTATGATATGCTGGTCTGTTGAGTGGCGGTCGTGACTGCGAGATGCTTAGTAGTCGGCGTAGGCGTCTGTGTCTGCAGGCTCAGGAAGGTGCTCAACAGTGGGGGTGAAACGGTGCGACAGCCAGTCGAAGGACACCAGCACGATGCCGAACTGCGGTGCAATGCGGCTCACACGAGGTCCCCATCCGGAGAAGAGCGCGCCGATGCCACCTTGAGCCGTCACCTGTCTGTACGTGTTCATGAAGCCCTGGACCGTAGCGTCACGCGACTGCATGCGCGTCTTAAGCAGATCCAACGGAGTCGACAGGAAGGCAGCGGGGATACCAGCCGTCGAGGCAGCAACCATCGACCAGCCCAGTGACGTGCCGTCCTGCACGCCAAGCTGCGTCTTAGCCATATCGTAGAGCGTGAAGTACGTGGAAGCAAACATGACGTCTCGAGAGAGACAGGCAGTGTATCCACGGTAAAGACCCTGCAATCCCAGCTCGCGGATGACTCCAAGTGGCTTCAAGGTGCTGTCCAGCTGCATGCGCACCTTCACGACCTCGACGGGGTTCATAACGATGGACTGCATGACACCCGAGACTGCAGCGGACGTGAGCGAGGCCTTGAACTCGTTGGGTTTGTCGAAGAAGCTCTTGACAAACTCACGCGTCGCAAGAGACACGGCCTTGTCCGGGATGGTGCCGCACAGCTGTGGGCCCAATCCCTTGTAGAAGGAGCCAACGCCCTCGTTACGGAAGATGGTGGTGAGCGTCTGCACAGCGCTGGTGGCTACGCGACTGTTCTGCATGCGCGTCTTGACCACGTCCACGGGGTACACGGCGATGATGCCGCCCATGCCGGCGGTGGCGCCGATCCACATACTTTGGAAGACGCTCTGTTGGTGACGCGCCACCTTGGGGGCAGCAGCGAGCAGCTCACGCGTCTTGTGCGGACGCAGCTGGGCCAGGTTGGACGAGGACTCCATTGAAGCTGACGAGGGCGTATGTGAGACTGAGACTCGGCGGGTGTCCGGGCGTTGCTTGCGCGCGAGGAGGCCAATTGCAGAGTGAAGCTCGTCCTCCGCGTCGGAGCTCTCGAGGTGGCGTGCACCCCATCTCCTGGTTCCGGAGCGTCATTAGCCTGCGCGGCGACGTCATTGCCATAAATCAGTACAACCAGTCTAATTTGCTCAAAGAATCCGTAAGATTTATCTAAGGGAATAGGTTTGGGAACGATGCACTGATTTATGAGCTGGATTATGAGATACGCAGTATCTGTTTAACATCTTTTACCCTAAAAGGTCGCAATTAAGTTAATTCGTCAGGGCTCAAAATGAAAGTGACGCGATTTGCATCGAGGTTCACTGCTGGCCATGCAATCGTCGTCGTCACGGATGTCGATGGACGCACTGCAATCTTTCCTGGCTCAACAGATCGTCACCGTCGAAAACAGCACCGCTCCAGTCGAGTCGAGGGCTCTACACAATGTGACCATTGAAGCACGAAAAGTGGTAAAGCCACGAGACAAACTACAGCTAGGTTTTGCTGCAAAAAGTGTTGCAAGGCATTGCCGGTTCCTGCAGCACGCCACCTGCCCCGACGGCTTTTGTGAGTGTCTGTCTGATGCCTCATTGAAGAGCTGTCGTGTTCACCGTGAACTAGGGACCTACCCGTGGCATTGAGCGAACCAAGAAAATGATGCTAGCCTTTATCGCGACGAGAAGGAAGGTCACTCGAGTCGAGATATTTTTTAGATTTCGCTGCGATTCGAGGGGGTAAGCGCAGGCAGCGCAATGTTTGGCAAAGACACTGCGAGAGTGGCCCTGGCGCGTGCACCGCGATTCAGCCATCCAAGCAACCGCGTCAAGCAAGCACAGCCAGTCGAGGATGCGCCGGTCCGCCGCCACCCGCGCGGTCGATGCTGATGTAGCTTTGGTTTGCGCATGTGTAGTTTGCCCAGCCCATTTCATCCACCACAGCGAAGGCCAGCGGTCAAGGCAAAGAGGTGTCAAGTCGTACAGTATGGCGGGGATACCTAGCGATTAATGCAAACGTGGGGTCCAAAACAAGCGGTTTTTAACGGCCTGATCTCTCGATATCATCTCTACCAAAAGCCTTCTAGCTCTGGTAGAAGGACGATGAAATGGAGAGTCCGGCGTGGGCACTTGTTGTGCCTCCGCGAAGCACGGTGGTGACGCTGGCGAATTGCCAAAGGGGATTGAAAGCCTTTGCAGAGCCCGACGTGTAACGGCGTTTCGTGGACGCTTGAAGGCGATTGCCATTTCCAGCGGTACATGATCATAGTCGAGAACTGATCTTTCGTGACGGAACTGTACTAAGTGTAGCAAATGTATCGAGCCTTCGATGTGGTTGACGGGCGAGGGAGTCCAGCGAAAAGATGAAGGTGGCGACGAATAAGTTGAGATGCATGGAACTGTGCCTCCACTTTCGTGCTGGCAGCAAATTAATCGCTGGTGACTCAGGAAGATGGCACCAACTAGGTTGGGGAGACTGCATAGTGCGCAGTAGAGCTGAAGCACTGGTCGGAAAGCTTTTGAACAGGAGCAGAAGGACAATATGGAGGTCATCATACCCTGCCACAAGAGAACGCAGGGCTGAATCTGGTTACTGCAACACGCTGGAAAACACCCACCCGACGCTCCGGGACCATTAACCGAGGAAGATCATCTCGTTCCATATCGACGACTTTCATGTTTTGTTCGCGGTGTTAACTGTCTTCTAGTGTGGGTTTCTCTAATCGAAGAAGTAGTTAAGCGCAACGAAGATACCAACACCCCACACCCATCGAGGAATACCGAGGCCATTGCCACCCTTTTGCACTTCTGGCTCCGGCGTTGCGACCTTGCGCAGTTCTTCAGCAGCAGCCTTGTCGTCCGTCACAGAGTCAGCAGTCTGCGGAACTGCAGAGTGTTTCTCCATTTTCAAGCGCTTCCTGGCGGCAGCGGGGATCGTGTCACTCTTCACGACCTCCGGACGGCGACGGGAGGACGACGCCACCTCGCCTTGCAGTTGACGCATGTTCAGAAGAATCGCCTGCATCAATTCAACGAAATGATTAGACACTTAATTATCAAGCGAACGTAGTGAAATTTACGCACCTGGTTGCTCTTCAACAACTCAACGCTCAGTGCAAAATTCTCGCGGGCCAAATCGTGGTGGAAGTATTCGCCAATGGCACGACATCCGTTCAGGAACGGCGGGAACGCCGAGTGCATGATCGCGATAAAGTCATGCACTGTCATCGTGGGGAAGAAATACGGAGGCAGACGTCCACCGCCGTAGATAAAGTTGAGCTCTAATACGAAGCACAACACACCAGCAGCTAACGACCACGCTCGCGCTTCCCGAGCCTGCTCGCTCAGCGTCAAAATGAACGTGAGTACGGCCCAGATCGCGTAGAATGTCAGCGATCCCACGAGAGTCTCGATCTGTAAAGACCAAAGGTCCTTATCCACGGCGCTTTCGCCGAACAGATCGTATAATGGACGCTTGTTGGCGTCTCCAAGAACCTGCAGCAGACCACTGACGTCAGTACCATCAACCAGCTACAAAACTACACTAAAAACTTACGTCAAAGGCCAATCGAAGACGGTTAAACTCCTCCGAGGCTGTTGGTGACGGATTCTTGTCCGGGTGGAGCTCTACAGAGCGCTGGCGGAAGGCGCGCTTGATGTCGGCATAGGAGGCATCACGGTCGACGTCCATGAGGTGGTAGAAGTTCTCCTCTTGTGCGTATAGATCCATGCCCTGCAAGAGCAATATTTGGCAGTTAAGTTAGATAATTATGCGCAATTACTTGGTACCTGGTAAGACGTACGATGGTGACAGCAGCGATGGCCACGAGGAAGGCGACAGCATAGATGAAACCACGGCGTTTGGAAAAGCGGCCAGGCTTGAGAATCCATGAAATGGCGGGTGAGATGATGAACATCTGCACCAGGATGCCCTGGGACGAGTCGGACTTGCCCATGGTTGACAAGGTGCTTTGGTGGCGGTCGAGGTGCCGCCTACGTGGACCTTGGTGAGTTGTTGACTTTGGACGTCGTCGGGCAGATGAGATAAACCTATGTGATGAGCAACCGCGTTTACATTATTGGTCAGAAAAAAAGTGTCTTTACATCGATGATTGGCTGATTTTACACCAACTGGGTTCCTTCTAAAATCCACATAAAAAGTCGCGCGTTAACAAAAATAAAACTATCTCGATGAACTGTTATGTAAGGCCATGTTTTGGTCTCATCAAACACTCTCCAATTTCCATACCCCACTATCAGAAAATATATGCCAGCGTAGCCAGATTTAGTTGTGATTTCACAGAATGTGTTTTGACAAGCGCCATATTGCAAGGCAATCAAGCAGCAGTACGCGTCAATGCTGTTTTTGGACGGGTAGTCTGAACTGGTAACGGTATTTATCATTCTTATTGGTTGAGAATTTTGGTATGCACGTTAATTTATCGTGAGAGCACCCCGAACAAGGACTAATGTTAACTAATGTCACTTGTCATTGCTGATTTCAAGAGTACTAGTTTTCCCTAAATATCAGTATTAGTTCTAAATTTCAAAAACAAACATGGTAGTATGAATGTTTACATGTTTAGTAATTATTAAAGAAACACTGATTTGACCTTAGTACTATTAATATGATACTGAAATCAACTGATTAGATAGGCCTTTCGCGTCAGAGATTGGTTTAAAAACACTTATCAGGAAAATAGTTCGAGGTATCATTCTATTCACGATGAAACGGGAAAACAATGCTTCCAGTCGCTAGATTACCGCTCGGCGTTGGTGCTTGTGCTGCATATAAAGAAAAATGTCGGACTGTCGGTCTTCAAGGAGTGTGGGTTATTGAAACCGTTTTCACTTTTTACTAGTTTTTGTTTCCTATAGCACCAGACCATGTTATTGTCCATTATTGGTAGTATCTTGGTGAAGCCTGCTGCATCAAGGGTTCAGTAGATTCAACTTCACATGTTACTGAATCTCTGGTATCTACTATTTCTGGTGCTTTGTTACGTGAAAAGAAGTGTATTTCCAGCTAAGTCGAAGACGATCTCGTGGTTAGCTCAAGAGAGGTCAACAATTCTTCGCTGTGCAATGGGTACCCCAGCGCAGGCCCACCTGGAAGTCGTCAAACTGCTAATGAAAACAAATTTCAATGGAGAGATACACATCCAGAGGACAGCACCAGTATACAGCCTTCAGACTTACTTGAAGCGGTTTAAGACCAACCCAGAAGTGTGCTACAACAGACGAACGGAGTCAAGTCGCGTCTTACTTCAGTTAATGTTTCTATAAGGAAAGCATAAAAATCAAATAGAAGGCCACTAAACTACTAAAAGTCGAGACGATCTAGTATTGTTTTTACCATGCACTGCTTGTTGCTCGGCCAGCTAGAAGAAAGCGATAGCACCTTGATTGCTACCATTCTGTGAGAGAATTCTTTCTTTTTTTTGTTGTGGAGTCCGCTCTAGAGATGCAACTTCTGAAATGAAACACGTGGCCCTTCTCGAAGCTTGTCAACACCCTGCAGATACTCGAGAAGATCCATGAAGTTGCAGCGTTGCACTCTCTCATAACATCAATTAAAGAAACTTCAGCATGGCCAATTGTATCGTGGAGACCTGTGATTTACGCCGGAATCCATGGTAGTTTCTCCAAGTCCACGTTACCACCGGAAAACACGACGCCGACGTTGGTGATCCCCGCCGGCAACTTGTGAGCGAGGACGGCAGCCGTCGCTACTGCTCCACTGGGCTCCACAACCTGCAGCGCACAAGTCGTCTTTTAATTGGGATCCCCAACTAAAGAGAGCAGTGACGATTCTTACCAGCTTCATGCGTTCCCAGATCAGCTTCATGGCTGACACGATCTCGTCGTCGGACACAAGTAAGATCTCGTCCACAAAGTCACGCACAACAGGCCAATTGTTGTTACCTAGTACCATTAAAACAACGTTAGTTGATGAAGAATTTGGCCACGTATAACATCTTACCCAGTGTCGTCCGAAGACCATCGGCCACGGTATTCACAGGACCGGTATGGCCCATCAGCTCACGCTTCTGGAAGGAATTGTAGGCATCGGCTGCACCCTTGGGCTCCACGGCAAAGACCTTGATACCCGGTTGAAGAGACTGTAATACAATTGTAAGATATTCATTCCAAGCTGCACAGCAAACACAAGCCTACCTTCGCAGCCATGGCAACACCCGAGCAGAGACCCGCGCCTCCAATTGGCACCAGGATAGCGTCCAGCTCCACGCCATATTCCTGTTTAGCCTGCTCCAGCAGCTCCAGGGCGACTGTACCCTGGCCGCTCATGACGTCCGGATCATTCGAAGGATGCACAAAGCGAGCACCGGTCGCCTCCACCACGTTGTTCGCAGCCTTCTCGCGGGCCTCATTGGTCGGTTCACACAGAATCACTTCAGCTTCGTAGCCACGAACGGCGTTCTGCTTGACACTCGGCGCGTTGTTGGGCTGCAATGTGTGAACAAGTTAGCAACCATTTACACGTACTCCATACATGCGCTCTCACCATAACAATCACCGCCTTACAGTTGGCATCCCTGGCCGCAAGACTCAAAGCTTGCGCGTGGTTACCACTCGAGTGCGTGACGAACGTCGTGTCTGTCTTGCCATTCTCTCCTTTCTCCTGCAGAAACTTCTTGACGGCGTTCAATGCACCGCGATACTTGAACGCCCCCACCTTTTGGAGGTTCTCACACTACGCACACAGTAAGGAGCTCAAAATTCGGCCTATCAGTCAACATATTGGATATATTTACCTTAAAAAACAAGCGCTTGGGAGCTCCGTTCTCTGACGCAATAGTCTCTAGCGCGTGACACGTGAGCACAGGCGTGCGGTGCGCAAAGCCATCGATCCGCTCCGCGGCGGCCTGCACACTGGCCAGCGAGATGGCGTAGTCAGTCGAGGACATGATGAAGGCACGGCTTTGTATGAAAAGCTAAAGTGTGTGGATAGACGAGCCTGGAGATGACAAGGAGGGTAGGAAGGCACGAGTTACTGTACTGTACTCACAGAGCTTTTACTGTAGCTCGTCTTCGAGGTAGCTGTACTCAAAGGTGAACTCCGTCTTGATCCGTTGGCACCAGCCGGTCTCGTAGTCGAAGTAGACGAAGGTGCCTTGCTCGTAGTCCTCCCCTGTGACCTGCGGCTCCTCGTGACGCTTGAACCACGTCTTGTACTTCTTGTGGTAGCCCCATGTCCGTCGCTTCAGCTCCCGTGCTGCCAGATACTGCTGGTAGGAGCCTTGCTGGTAGTAGAAGATGAAGAAGAGCGTGTCCACGTCCAGTTTCTCAAAGATCGGGGCGCTAGAGAACAGAGTGGACGGCGTGGCTGGGAACGACGCCGGCGTCGGGTACAGATTGCGAGGAACGTAGCGGTTGGCCTTCTCCGAGTCGCGGCTCTCGGGGATGAAGTGAAAGCTTTCGTCAATGAGCCGCAGCACCTGCTTCTGCTCTTCAGTGAGCTGTGGCGATTCCTCCAGAGGTCGAGGTTTCGATGCCGTTGCTGTGGGTGTAGGCGCTGCAGATCCTGAAGGTGCGGACGTAGATACAGGGGCAGGAGCTGAGGCACTTGCGGTGGGCGACGGAGCAGGCACTGGCGGTGGCAGTGACGCGTTAGATGGCACCGGTGACGGGACTGGAACCGGCGGTTTGGCTGCAGGCGACGTCGATGAAGACGACGAGCTGGTGCCTACGGGTTGTCCCTTACTGACACTAGGAGACGGCGTACGCTGCGGTGTAGGTGGCGACACCTTGCGGGCTGGTGTGCTGACTGCAGGAGAGGAAGGTACGGGGGTTGGAGTTTTGCTTGATCCCTTATCTGATGACGAAGACCCGCTCTTGGCACGCTGCGGAGTAGTGCGGCCTTTACCGATCTTGAGTTCGTCCGTCTTGGTGCCATTGGGTGGCGACGTATCGCTCTTGCTAGTGCTACTTGAACGACTAGGAGTCGACGTCTTGAGATCAATAGGCTTCACAGCACCAGCACGACCAATTCCAGTGATCACAGACGACGTGACGCTCTTCCGCGGCGTCTTGCCACGCCCAGAGGTGGTTGTAGCAGTAGACGTAACCGCAGTCGACGAAGTGGTATCGTCAATACCCACGTCCTGCTCTGTGGGTAACGCAACCTGTGCAGCAGCTCCAAGCGTGTCGAGATCCAGCAGCTCATAAATGTCGTCGTCTCCGTACGTCTCCATGAAGTCTGGCTCCTGATTGGCCTCGAGATAATACTCTACGTCCTCCTTGAGCTCGTCCACCTGTTCTGGCTCAAGTGCCGCATTGTCCAGTAGGCGGTTGATCTGCTCGAGCTTGAGAATGTGCCATTTGTGTCTAGACAGCAGCTTCTCCTTCTCCTCAATCTCGGCTTTGTTGCGATTTCGGCCTTTGGCCGAATGAAGACGCTCCACGTCGCTCTCGAGCGCCTCGATCTGCACGTTGAACTGGTTAAGGCAGTCCTGGATCCACGCGTGCGACTGCTGCCGTGCCTGCTGCTCTGGGTCCAAGCGTTCGACCTGTGCCAGGCCTTCCTTACTATAAGCCTTGGTTTTTGTCTCTTTCTCGCACACTTTGAACTCCTCCATCTTCTGCTCAATAAGTTTACGTGCATCCACTAACGGCCGCTTGTCCTTGATGTCCGAGTTGTTAATCCACGTCTTAATCTGGTCTCGGAAGCGCTGCAGCTTCTTGATCTCCTTCTTCAGGTCCGCCTCATGCTTCTCCTTCTGGTTCTGCGCAGTGGCAGCATACACCTTGTCCCAGATCTCGTTGAACACGTCCACGCCCTCGCTCACCTTCTTGAGCGTGCGGTCGATCTCACTCAGGAGCTTGCGTTGGCCGGCCATGGTCACGAACTAAGGTGCTGGTGCGTTACAGTCCGCCTATGCGCTTTGTAAAGGGGGCGACTATGGAGACTTGTTCTGATTGGATGAAAATGTTTGATGGTTTTACCCAATAATAACAAAATGTGGCCATCTCTCTATTCGAGCACAGGAAGCGACCATGGCGAACGTGATGCTAACGAGCGAGGCGGCGAAGGACCCAAACAAGCCCTTTGCACTGCGTGTGGAGGACGTGTGCGCCAAGTTTGATGTGCGTACTAGGTTATACAAGTTTGTGGGCAAGTTACGGTCGACTGACGGTGTTATGTGGCCTCAAAGGAGCTCGTGTCCGAGTGTCTGACGCTTGTGCAGTCAGAGGAACAATCCCCGTGCGTTGGCTTGGAGATGGCATTCAGTGGAGGTTAATTGGGTATGCTGACGGCTGTTGTTACTACTGCAGTGAAGGCGAGGACCAGACGAATGTTGAGGACCAAGTGGTCAAGAAGCTTGAGCAGTTCAACTCAGTCTGCGACGAGCTGTACAAGGAAATAGTATGACGCTTCTATATGTGTTTCTTTGGTGGAACCGCTGCTATACGTGTTTCTTTGGTGGAACTGAGACGTGCGAAGAGAAGACTAATGCGGTTTATTACTTCTTATGACTGCAGCTTCGACGAAAGGAAAAGCTTTTGTATCTCATGGAGAAGAGCCCCAAGAATGTGGATCTGCATCGCCAGATCCAGACAGCAGGCAATTTGGCCCAAGTGGTGGGCGACTTCCGCCACTTCCTGGAGACTGGCAAAGACCCGACGCAACAACAACAGCCCAAAGATTAATTTTACAAATGAAAAAGAGGCCGTCAAAGCGGGGGCCTCAATTGTATTTTCAAGCTAGCCGAGTAGTCGATCGGAAGCGAAAATGAGGCAGTACTTATCGCTCAGATGTCTCCGAATGGTAGTGAAGGTGTCGTTGTCTCGCTGGTTCGCGTGTCCGATGGAGTTGTAACTGTAGTCGAGGCCGGAGGGGGGATGAACGCTGGTGTGAGTTCTGCTTCCGAGCTATGGAACGACTCGTCCGCGACTTCAAAGTAGGGCATGACAGTGCTAGGGAGTATCTGCGGCTCGATCCCTGGCTTGGGCCATGGACCATCCTCGACAGTATTAGACCGAAGCAGCAATTCGAGTATCGAACTATCACTAGGTGGGCAGTGCATTATCGGAGGAGGAACAAGAGGCATGTGCTGCTGCTTGGCGAGAAGTTCATTCTGTAACAGACAAGACAACAGTTAATTCTTTACAACAAGAGGAAGTCCATACCAGTTTAGCCAAACCAACCTGCTTCTGCACGAGCTGGCTTAAGTGGTGAAGCTGGGTCGCGAGTCCATCAATCTTCCGGCTCAGTCTCACCTCTAGCATCGTCAAATCTGCAGCATGTCAAATTAGTCATGTTGATACATGACCGCAGTTTGATATGCAATAGTACCTCGTTTCAGCAACTTGGGAGGGGGCTCCTTCGCTCGCGTAGATGAGTCGGAGTTGTACGAACTCGGGTGTTTCCGCTTGGACAAAACGCAAATCGCATTCGTGAAGACTGGCGTGAGATCTGCAACGTTGGCGGTGCATTGCTCTTGGTCCACCTCGATGCGCAGCTTGAATCTTTGTCCGTCCTTTCGACGACTCACTTTCTCGAGACGGAACTGCACCGAAGCCTTGCGTGTTGCCTTTCGAATGACCACCGAGTCGTAGTCGTTGCCCACGAAGCGGAAGATTTCTTGATCTGTGTCATCTACGCGCCTTCCAGACTCGAAGAAGAGCAAGATGCGTAATGGTATGTCAGTGAAGTCATTGTCAGGGGTTCGAGCAGGCTCTCCTAGCTCGTTAAACTCCACCAGTGTCACTTCCACTTCAAGCGCATTAGCCTTGCCACCTTCGTCCTTGTAGAACTCCGATGCAGGCTGCTTGGTGATCACCAGTCGACGTGTCCAGTTGAGGCGCTTGGGCTGGAAGCCAGGTAGAGCTACCGCCTCTGGTGTTGACGTAACGCAGTTTACCACGGTTGCTGGTGAAGGACTTGATACTGTCGCTTGCGCAGACGACGTCGAGCCGAGAAGATTCGGAGGTGGGGCCAACGGCCAGCCGACGATCGTCGCTGCATCCGCTCCTGCGTGGTCGTTCAAAAGGTCCGGTAGGTGGAAGGTCGGCTCTGGTGATGGCTCGTGCTTGAGCATTGTGGTCCTCGGAGCGGCGGCAGTGATGTGCATCTCCACGCAGCGCAAGTTGCAAAGTGAAGTAAAGCAAGAAAGGCATCGGCTGCTTTTCCCCATCAAAAAGGTGTCGTCACTGGTTGGGACGAGCGGCGACGAGGCAACTGAGACCTCGCGGCCAGACGGGAAGCGACTGCCAACGCTCGCACGTCAAAAGCCCATCAAACCCCGTGACGATGGAGAACAAATGCGAGGAGCTTCAACTGGCAGGAGGTAGCAACAGTGAATGCATTGATGCACATCAAAAGTGTATCACAAGTGTAGCCATTTCTAAAGTTGAGGAAGATCCTTCGACAAGATTTTCAACCAATCGCATGCGTCGTTTGCCCGGCCAATGAAATGCACCTGCTTTTTTGTATGAGGGAAGACTCGATGGAGGTGCATGAGGCCGCGAGCCGCCTCCTGGCGTGTCCGCGCCTGAGCCGTGAGCGTGAAGCTGAACGCCAACGTGCCATCCAGCAGCCACTGGCCGTCAACTGGCGTGAGAAAATCGAGGCGAACGGACAGGTCTATATAAGCATCAGTAGCGACGACGAAGATGACGAAGAAGATGAACGAGAATTTGAGCAGATTCCGCCGGTTTCCGACGTGAAAACGGAGTTTGAGCCGGAAATTGTGACGATTGACAGCAGCAGCGAGGAGGAGGAGGAACCTGTGAGGGTTAAGAGGAAGGTGGACGAGCTGAGCGAGCTGGAAATAGACGACGAAGAGAAGGAAGAGGAGAAAGAAGAGGAACAGCCGGTGGTTATAGTTCCGCAAAAGAAGAAAAAGCATCAAAGACAGGTTGCTACCAAGAAGAACGTCTTCTGGGAGCAGCATCATGTGGCTGGAGTAAGAAAGCGCCGGTTAGGAGAAGAAGACGCAGCATTTTTGCTGTTTTACGGCGACCGAGAGTCTCCTAGTGCCAATATTTTGCGGCTAATCATCGGTACGTATAGTGTTGTACTTATAAGCACCAGTGTTTGATGATGACTGATAACTTATTGTATTATTGTGCCTTCTTGTGCCTGATTACAGAGTTGATTTCCACTGATATAGGCGAGTCGGACGAATTCTTGTCTCGGTATGTCAAATATTTGCTCTGGTGCAAGCTCAGCTCAGCTGTGGAGGCAGGACTGGCCAGTGAGCGTATCGTACAGTCCGAATGGACCAAGATCGTCTTCAGCTGTCCTGTGCCAGCGCATCGTCGTAGATCAGGCCCCATGCCTCGACCGGATCTGTTGCCGCGCCCCATCACGATTACAGTGCGGCCATTGCAGTTCGCCCGGAAACGGCCGCAACGTCGAAGTCTTTGCGTACTGGCCGGCAATAACGCTGAGGTTGCTACCAAACAGGAGCCAGTGTCCCCACGCGCGACGCCAGAAGAGAGAGCTGTGGCTCTAGCCAACAGATTAGCTGGTAAAGGAGCACAATCCAAGCCAAAGAGTCCAAAGAAGAGCACCAAGACGAATCAAACCAAGTCTCCTCGAGGAGAAGTACGCAAACGACCGCTTGCTGCAACACACAGTGACGCTATGCCGTCGAGCAATGGCTACGCTCAACTTGCAGGGTTTTCTCCACGGAAGCAACGACGACGCAACGGTGAAGTGGGCTTGCCAACTGTGACGCCGCGTCAGGTTGTACGTGCCAAGAGCTCTACCGGTCAGAGTATCAGTCAAAAACTTATGGAGCCTCTACCGTACGATTGCCGCACACTTGGAGACAATCGCAGTCTGCCGCTTGGATGGCACCCACCTGGCCAAGAACAGGGAAGACCGGCAGCTGTAGATCCCGTAGAAGTGAACCCGATGCTACAGATGACTGCGGATGAGATCGCACAGCACATCGCGTCAGTTCGTCGAGAAGGTCGCTTCACGAGCTTTGAGAAGGTGACGGATATTCTGTTGAAGCTCATGTCGGATCCAAGAAATCGTCACGGGGTATTCAACACGCCAGTGGACCCAGTGGCGCTGGAGCTGCCGACATACACAACGATCGTGCAGCACCCCATGGATCTTGGGACCATCAAGCGCAATCTGGCTGCGGGGGAGTATCTGGAACTGGAGGATTTCGTCGCTGACGTCCGATTGGTGTTTGAGAACGCGATGCTTTTCAACCCGGAGTCGCATTACATCCACGTTGATGCTGGGATCTTGCTGAATCGCTTCAACGAGTCGGTCAAAGCGGAGCAGAATCGACAGGCCAAGCGGCAACGCGTGCAACACGTGTGTCTTGTGTGTCGAGGCAACACGTGCATTGTGTGCAATCAGCAATGCCTGGATATTACTCCGCCTCACTTGCAATGCTCAGCTGGCTGCTCCTCTGAGATCCGCAAGGGTTCAATTTATTTTATAACGGAGGACGGCACTCGCGTTTGGTGTCAAAAGTGTAAAACTCGCTTGGCGAGGGACCGCAACTCCACAGACCGAGCGCCTGACGATGATACAGACGCGTTGCTGGACTCTCTCATTAAGAAGAAGTGCGAGGGTGGCGTGGAGCCTTGGGTCAAGTGTGGCGAATGCGATCGATGGCTTCACCAGGTCTGTGGACTCTACAATCCTGTAATTGGGACCTACGAGGCACAGAAAGTCCCGAACACGGGACCTGACGGCTTGTCCATTGAAACCAACCCATACGTGTGTCCCTTGTGTCGCTGTCGACGTAAGCGAGCGACGCCACCGCCCGAGTCGCCAATGCGTAAGATCCTGAACGCTGATCCTGATGAACACGTGCAGAACACTTCGTGTCTCAATATTCCGAGTTGTGAACTAAGCATATTTATCCAGAACTTTCTGCGTCGTGGACTAAACGATATTGGCGAGCACGAGGCAGCTCAGACGCTGTATGTACGGGCACTGTCCTTCCCAGGTGAACATTTGACTGTTCCTGAGGGCGTTGTGCGAGCATTTGATGAGAACGCGCAGCTTCTAGCGCAGATGCGGCCGGGCTTTGATACGAACTCACAGCGTATACCTGCTCGTATCAGTTATCTATCACGTGGTTTGTATCTGTTCCAGAAACACGAAGGGATGGAAGTTTGTCTCTTCACGATATATGCTCAAGAGTTTGGGGACGATTGCGAGTTGGAGGCCAATCGCCGAGCTGTGTACATCGCCTATCTGGACAGTGTTCGATATCTAAAGCCTACCAGCGCACGGACGGCAGCGTATCATCTGATTCTGCTGGCTTATTTTGACTACGTGCGACGCCATGGTTTCTCTCGCGTACATATTTGGTCTTGTCCGCCGCAAAAACGAATCAGTTATGTGTTTTGGTGTCGTCCGTCCTTCCAGAAGACCCCAAGTGCTGAGCATTTGCGTCGGTGGTATAATAATTTACTTACCAAAGCAAAGGAATATGGGATCGTCAAAGACTGGACTACACTCTACGATCGGTACTTCAGCGATAGCGTCTGTGGATCCACTGCTAATGTCGATGCAACACCATCATCCTCGTTCGTATCAGTAAAGGAGGAGAATGGCGTGGGGGTCTCAACACGCGGTACAACAGTGCTGTCTGTGAATCCTGATGAGCTCGTATGGCCAGCGCACCAACTCCCTCCTATCTTTGACGGCGACATTATCCCGTCTGAGCTAGAGAGAATTCTTGGGCGTATCATATCTAGGAACGAGAAGCAAAAGCGAGCCAGTGAGAACAAGAAACTCGCTACACGTGGCAAGAACAGCTCTGTTGCTCGAGCAGGCGGCAAGCTTTCTTTTGGTGGAGTTATTACGCGAATAAAGGAAGAAGTGACGACTAACTCTCCGCAACCAGCGCCGCCGTCGATGCAAGTGGACGTGAAAGTGCGCGAAGTGTTCTCCAAATGTCAGTTTGCGGTACAACGACTGAAGAACGACTTGTTAGTGGTGGATTTGGAGGTCGTGGACGACGAGAACAGCGAAGTCGAAGGCGCTGGATTCGCTGGAGAGAGACGAACAAAGGGCTGCCATCCTGAGACGCTAGTGCCGTCGTGGTACGAGCAGGTTCCTCGCTTCTTCAGCAGTCGATTCATGTTCCATCAACTGTGCTCTCTGGCCGGCTACCAGTTCGACTCGCTGCGTCGAGCCAAGCACTCAACTATGATGATGGTGCACCACTATTTCAACGAACAAGTGGCCCAGCTCAACGTTTTCTGTCGCGAGTGCAGCCTCCTCATCACTCGTGCAGACTTTTGGTCCTGTCGAACCTGTGTACGTTTCGCGTTGTGTGACACCTGCTATGGACGCCAAGGCAGCGAGCATCCGCATCTTCTCGTCTTTGGGCCCGCTCCATTGACGGTCCCGCCCCGAGTGCCGCAGATCTCGGAACGCCCAGCACCTCCACTACAGCAGACCGAGCAGCGTGTTGAGCCCCAAACAACGGAAACATCCATGCAACTGCCGCCAACCGTCAACGTTTGTGAACTGTATTGACCGTACTTCTTGAATGTAAGCACCGATAATAAAGATATTGCACTGTCAACTAGTACCTTCAACTAATAAAAACAACTTCAACTATCGTCAACTTTAACTTTGAGTATGATAGTACTTTCATTGTCCATTAATTGTCGTAGGTCAAGTACTACTGTAATCGTAGATTTGACATGGATCTGACGCTCGACGCCGTGGCTAAGGACGCCTTCCGCCGCGATTTCTTCCTGCGATGCTTTACGGAGCGAGAGGCGCAGGCGCTGGAGCTGCGCTTCGCCTTCCTGCACCGCGTCCGCCAGTACAAGCGGCTCGTGGGGCGGCGCGATCTTCTCCCTCGTGCCGTAAGTAGCCAAATAGCACTTTATGAATACTATACTACTCGAAAAGTTTAATACTTCAGGTGTTCCCCTGTATTACTTCTAAACGTACCAGGCCAAGGAAATCGTGGCCTCATACTTGCAGCAAGTGGAGTCAACCAACCAATTGCTGCTTCCTCCGTCGGCTGAACCTCTTCGAAGTCGTGTACTCAATGCAGTGGCTGCAGGTTACTGTCCATTAGATCTTTTCAACGGGTTGGAGACGCTCGTGCGGGACCACATGACTCGTGACGCTTTTCCACAGTTCCTTCGCAGCAGGGAGTACACAGAACTGTGTGACGAGCTGAGATCGAGACGAGAACTTCCACTTGCTGAGGTGCTGGTGGACTCAAGACGCACTCAATTCCTTATGAAATTCTTAACCAAGAATTTCCCGGGAGACGAAGGAAACATATACTTCTGGGTGCACGTACAGACGAGATTTCTACCGTTGATCCAGACGACACTATTTTCTGTAGCTCTCTTTGAAGAAGTGCAGCGTCACGTGCGTCATGTATTCAACCGGTACTTAGTAGGGGAGACGGATACAGGAGAAGGGGCTGGAAGTGCAGCCACTAGAGTCCCAGAAACTGTACGACGAGCCACGCTGCAACAGATCATGAAGCTGCAAAGTGAGCCATTTTCTCCACCTCGTTATGCGAATTTATTTCGTACTGCACAGGACTGTGTCTGGGAATGGCTACAGACTGAGGTTTACCCGAAGTTCCGAGCCTCTAGTTTGTATGTGATGCTGGTTGTGGAAACGGAGGATCTGGAGACTGATCAACAGCTACGGCGGCTTAGTGAACATGTGCAAGCGACTGCGAAGAAAAGTGCTACAGTACGACAAGAAAGACAGAGTGAAACGATACTCAGGGTATCGTCGAGGAAGAGTGAGGTGCAACTCAAAGCCAACGCCGTGCTCGTTCCTATCAAGCAGCCATCGACGCAGAATCTGTGGGGACAGGGAGCAGAAAGTAATCGTCACAGTTTCGACCGTGTGCTGACGGTACCACAGCTAGCACAAAACGGAATCCATAGTGTTTCTGTTGTCTCGATGGGGTCCAGTGAAATTGTTTTCGAGCTGTTTTGTACCGGGGATCAGTATGAAGCAGCTGCAGAGACACATCCGACGCACCTGGTAATGAGTGTGTAGTTGGTAAAATATGAGGGATTGCTCATGTTTGCTATGTTCGACAGCATTTCTGGCGGAAGAATACCGTGATAACACCAAATGGGAATGCTCTGTCTCCGTCTGGGCGTCCTCTTTCGCCAACTGGTACGCAAGTTTGTCGTGTTTGTTTGCTATCGATGGTTCATGCTTACCTTTTCCCCTCTTATACATATTTGTCAAAGTCCCGAAGCCTTCATTCCATTTCTTTGTTCTGCCGAAGGATGATATTCGTGATTGCAGCGAAGTGGTCACTACTCGGTATTTGTTCGGAGTCTGTCTTACGTTGTGGAGACAGAAGTCAGTACCTGAGAAGCCACACACTTCAACTGTTGATGATGGCACCACCAGTCCGACAAATGCCATCTCAAAAGGGCCTTGTACCGCTGCTCAATCTTACCCGCAATTCTTTACTGTTTTGACTACTGAGCCAATGCAGAAGAGCAGTCGCAGACTGCTATTCCAGTTAGCATCGATTGGCCTGGTACGATTCAAATTGCCAGTACGTGTGGAAAACTTATCGTTCTGACAAGGCTGTTTTTCTCCAACTACTATAGAAAGACTTAACAGTTGATACCGTGTCCCGGGTAGTGACTTCAAGTTTTGAGTCATCAAGCAACACTCCGCAACTTTTGAGTGCAAGATTCGGTGGTTTTAGCTTGCAGTCAAATCTACGCCAGGTCGACATACCCTTGAGTTCTGTCTTCAAGGAAATCTCTTCGCAGGTACATTCATCTTTTGAAAGGCTGATTCAAATGGCGTTGTTAACGTGTAGTTTTGGTTAGACTTTTATCAGTATTCTAGCTTCTATTCTTGTTGGCAAATCCATTATTCTTGTGTCAGAACGCTCTACAGCTCTCGTATCGGTCGCAGAAGCTGCTAGAGAACTACTCAAACCATTTGAATGGACGGTAAGCATTGAAAAAATGTTGTGGAATATGCTGGCTCATATCTCTAAGTGGATCTGGATATTTGTGCACATGTAGCATTTCTACTTACCATTTTGTCCGGTAGCAACATCCTCCGAGTTGCGTGACAATGGTCTTTTCTCCGAAGTCAACACGTCTCCATTTTTTCTTGGATGTGAAGGCGTGCTCTCTTACCAGAAGAAGGATTCTGCCACGGATCAGCGGTTCCGGATCCGTAAGTAAAATGCTGTTACAACTTGAAAACGATTTCGCTGTTAATTGTTTTTATTATACAGGGAACAGCTTGTATACCACCCACAAGGTCTCTCTCCATCTCCAAGCTCCATCTACTGCAGAACCAAATGAATATCCGCCAGAGCTTCTGCAGACAGCAGCAATCGTCATTGACATCGACTCGGATGATATTTACGTTCCCGAAAAAGTGGAAATTCCTGAACTCCCACGTAAGTTTTGCCTTGCTGTAAATCATGACGTGTTTTGCTAATATTTCGTGGTGTATGTGAACAGAATCGATTCTTCGATCGCTAGAAAACATGCTAAGCACAGCGCTTCACAGCTTTCGAATCACTCACGCAGATTCGCATCTCTTCGGCTCAAGTAAAACTCCCAGCTTTATTGAAGAAATGCTTGATCAGTCCAAGAAGTCCAGTCAGTCTGACGACCCAAGTGCACCAACCCAATTCGAATCGATCGAACTCTCTCTGGACGATAGAGCGCGACTCGCGCTGTTGTGGTTCCTAGAGGCTCTATTCGGCGACGTCGTGTACTACTTCTGCTCGCTCCACCAGAATTTCACAGTGGAAACTCAATCACCTTCAGCCGATATCGATGAATTCCTCCTGTTTGAAGTTGATTCATTTCTGGACGCCCACATCGAGCTCGGATGCCGCGATTTCTTCCGCCAGTGCTTCCACACCGAGGTAACTCTGCCCTTTCATGTACTATTATTTACTATTCCTAATATTTCGTATGCTTGCTGTTCCATGCAGCTCTTCCGGAACTTCATACTTGCCCAACACATGCAATTTGCGTTTACAAATGCCGGTGTAGCTCTTGAATCGAGCGAATCGTCGCTGGAACACGAAACACTGCGAGAGGCTTTGCCGGACGCGTTTATCTAAGCCGACCGTAATATACAGCGTCGTATGCTACTGTGGTTTGATATCGTCACTTGTTTCTGGGTTAGGTTTGTTGTACGCCACCAGCTCATCGAGACTCACGAACGTGAACTTGCGTGTGAGTACGGGCAATGCTGTCTTCAAGACACCGATCGTCCACGAGCGGTCGTGCACAATAATGACGGATCCACAGCTTGTGCGTGCGCGCAAGTACATTGAGTTCATCATCTCGGATCGGATCTGCGCGTCGTGTGGGTATACACTGCCCAGACAGATGCGGTAACCATGACGTGCTGTGATCTCTCTCATGGGCGTCGTGTACCAGCCTGACGCTGGGCGCATCCATTTGCCTCTAGGTCCACTAGTTTCCACTTTAACTGGTTCATTCACGCTCATAGCTGGAGGAATAGTATCGTCCTCCTTCTCCTCGAGTAGAAGCTGTTGCGTCTCAAGCGGCTCCGCCGGTGGCTCCTCAGTCGTCGGCGGTTGGTACTCGCTGATGGCGCGGTCACACTCCTGCAGCTTCTGCTCAAACACGTGCAGCTCGTCTAAGATGCTGGCACGGTCCTCTGTGAGATGGTTGGCCAATGTGTGGCCCTCGCGTACGATACGGCGAAGTACTTCCTCGTTGCCCGGAATGTGGCCCGAGATGATGAAGAACGTTGCCTTGACGCCGTGTTCGCGCAGGATATCGAGGATCGCGGGCGTGGAGGGCGATGGCGCGTCGTCTATCGTGAGTGAGCACACACGCAACGACGTGCGTACGCTCCAGAGTACGGAAGGGTGTGAGTTCCACTCAACAAGGCGCAGCAACCAGCGTGGTAAGAAATAAACGGACGCGAGCAACACGCTGGCGGTCATGAAGAGACACACGCCCGCTATCTGTAAGGCGGGTGAGACGGACGCTGTCTCGTACGAGTCCATTGTCGCAGCGACGGCGAACGAAGGCAGCGCCGCAGCCAAGTGGAGTGTAGATGATCCAAGGCCTAACACCATTTTTAGTGCTGGTTGAAGCTGAATGTGTCGGTTTTGTGTTTGCTTTGTGTGAATCGTATGTACGATTTGAGTGGTGGACGCAAAGCCACGCGGTACACCATGTTGTAGCGATAGTCTCAGCTACCGATACAATCTGCCAGCTGTGTGCATCGTTGTACCATTGTGAGGGGGAGCTCGGAGCTGTGTATCTTGGCTGCAATGGCTACGTGTTGTCTGCTGTGGCAATGCAGATGAAGACGGATGAAAGTTAGAAATGCAAATGCTGGGATTACTTGATCATCACTTCGCGCGACGGGGCGCAGGGCGAATTCAATCTACCAAAACGCATCCGAACTGACTGGCTCCAACTCTACAGGAACTTGGCCACGCCGTCCTCAATGGACTCGAGCGACAGCTCCGAAGCATCAGTGGCCGTGAGGTGGATGCCCACACCCATGAGGACGCGCTTGATGGCTTCCTTGGACGACGCGTACAGCATTTTCGACTTGATGCGAGCCGTGTCGGGAGACCTAAGCAGCAATAACAGCAATAAAATTAGACTAAAAAGCGTAAAATAACAGGTACACAAATCTGTCGTCCGTACCAGGACAGGAAGACAATCTTGCTGGTAGGGCGGCCATCCTTCGTGGTCAGGTCCAGGTCCACAAGAGCGTATCGGCAGTCGTTCGTGATCTGCGCGAGCTTGTCGGCCATGTCCTGGTACGACTCAGAGCTGGGGCCCGTGGACTCGATCACGATCTGCGAGTCATCCTCAATCTTGTAGATGAAGTAACGGAAGTCGTGCGGGGCGCGCTTAAGCTTGAAGTCGTTGAACTGCGTAATGACTTCGTCATCGACACCGACACCGGACGACTGCAATAGCCAGCGGAAAAGGGAGGAAGAGGAAGCAGAGGGGGCAAGTCAGCGCCTGCAACTATCTTATACACGGGGCTAATACAGGCACCAACGCACCATGATAGACTAATGGACTGGAGGAACTGAAGCTGGGAGGTGCTGAGCCTTGAGCTGAGTTTTGGTGAGTGGAAAGAGGCGGGAGAAAATCGATCCCCCCTCTGCGACGCAGTATAAGCTATTTTCACTGGATTAAAATAAGCAGATCAAGATGTCAACCGTTACTTTGGTAGGTCATCCCTCATTTATTGTGTAGAAAACACGAAAGTACCCATCCTATTGTTGAACCTCTGACGTCAGCAGGTCAACTTGACTTCATCATTAAGTCTCCGCTACGCTACGCCCGCCACTGCACAGCCGCCAACGCCACCTTGGCGCTCTTGGCCAGCAGCGCGTTCTCGTCCTGTGTGAGTGTCTTGAGTCGCAGCGTCGTGGCTGGTACGTCCAGTAGTCGCCTCGCCTCTGGCAGCGCTGTCACTACAGCCACAAGCTTTGTCGTGTGCAATTGCAGCGGCACTTTGTTGGTCTGCAGCAAATGGTTCACAGGCGCCAGTCCCTCATTAGCCACGATCTGTCGCTTGACCTCGTCATGTGCTGCCAGGCTCATGAGTGCCCCGGCGCTGGCAGACGCCACTTGCCACTGCGAGTCCGTCAGTAGCACACACAATCGCGGTACGACCCCTTCATGCTCCACTACCGCCTTGCGCGCTTTATCCGCGAATCCCAGCGCCGCCATAGCATCACAAGCTGCTGCTCGCACTTCGAAGTTCGGAGAGTGCAATCTCTTGACGCATTGAGCCACGACTCCCAACTCCAGCGCGCGGAATGTCGTGCCGGCAACGCCATCATTCAGCAGATTTTTCAGCAGCTTCAGCGCACGAATGCGAAGTGCGTCATTCAAGCGGTAACCTTTAAGATGGTCGAGTACTATTGGAAGGTATCCAGTGCTGGTTAGCTGACGAGCACCAGCGAAAGACCCAGTTAAACGCAAGAGCGCGTCGTAGAGATATTCACATGTGCGCTTGTTGGACATAACGGCGAAGACATGCTTGATGCGAGCGGTGGTTTCGCCCTTGAGTAGCTCCGCCTGTCCGCATGGGGACTCGGCCATTACACTGAGGACTCGTGCAGAGAGTTGCTGTAGTTCAATGTCACTTTCAGTTAACTCAGCGGGTGTTGAGTCCTCTTCTTCGTCAAGACCGACAGTGATCCCGCCTTCAATAAGCTCCAGAACCCCATGCTTCATGGACACGACGAGCTCCTGTGGTAGTTTTAGTACGGATGCCAATGCTTCAAGGACACGACGACGTAGTACTGGTTCGCCTTCTTCCAATGCATGCAGGATGTGAGGGTGGTTGTCACTCCCAAAGGCTTCACTGACGCGTTCATACGGGATCTCCTTGACGTCTCCTTTCACTGACACGAGCGTGAGATGTTGAGGTGTCGTGCGTTTATAGAGCAACGAGCCTTGAGCTCTCAGATGCTTCACAGTCTCCACCGATGCGTCTACCGCTGGAGTCTCTGCTCGTCGCTGCATATTTGGTCCGTTCCGACGCTTCAGTCGAAGGTTTCAAGGTTTGCCTTACTTAGGAATGCCAATTGGTCGTGGTGGAAGTGGCGGCACAGTCTTAGAAGCCGAAGGTTTGGTCGCTAGGATCCCTCCAGACCCAATCGGCGTCGGCGTGAAGGGAGTCGTGAGCTTTGGGAACATGGACGGTGAGGTGAAGTCAGTCTGTAATCGAACGTCGCTCTCCTCTGCACTATCTTCCAGCGTCTCAATTGGTGGCAACATCGGTTCAATTGTTCCCATCTCGATATAACTCGCACTTGGACTCACTTCGATAGCGTAACCAGGATACGAAATGCTCCGTGGAGTATGAACCACAACTGGTGCTGCAATGTGAGACAAGATGAGCTTTGAAAAAATTGCTGTAGGAGGGAGCGAGCCGCCTTGATCTCGAAGGAGAAAAGTGCGATCGTTTTGCCAGATTTCAGAGCCGGTCGGTCGAGTTTGGGGCTGTGATGACGCAGTGTTCGCGTCTTCCTTCTCCACAACTCGGTACAATAACGACGACAGGTGCTGCTCACGAGGGTCCTCTGCGTTTGCATACTGGGCGAGCTTCGAGAGTAGATCCACGCACATACTTTCAACAGAGGGATCTAATGCTCCATCCGTTCGGTTTAGATACTCCAAAAAAACCAGTACCGACGCCAGAACACCTTGCGACGCTAGTACCGGAGGAACGGTGGGCTTTTGAGCCAGAAGACAAAACGTGGCGACGCAGTTCATCTTGACGAACATCAAGGAGCTCTCACTCATGAGCATCACAAGATGGCGAACAGCGCCTCCACGTAGCAGTAACTTGCTGTTTCCTGGCGCGATTGCCAGCTTTCTCAACACGGCTGAGCACATGGCATGAGCTTCTGCAGAACTCACCAACACAGGCGAGCAGAGCGAGAGAACTAGCGGTAGGACACCTCGAGAGAGTAAAATATGAGAGTTGACCCGTCCAAACAACAAATTGCAAGTTGCCAGCGCCACATTCTCACGACAAACTTTCCCTCCAACCGCAAACAAGTCAGACAACAACATGGTCGCGGTTTCTGACCTCAATACGTCGTGGCAGTCACTGCAGGTTGAAGAATTGCGTAAAATACCCGCACTGAGAGCTAGTATCTCTGGCTCATCTTTCATGGTCTCAGCTGGAGTATCCTCAGTCTCTTGTTGAGTGGTTAGTGCTGTCTTCAATGCTGGAATGCAGACGTTCAGCGGGATGTAGGATAGTAGATCAGCATCGCACGTGAGGTTGTACAAGCACCTCAGTAGTAGTGTCTGTATTGCTCCCTTCGCTTGCAATAGGAGAGCAGGAAGTGCAGTGCCTAGCGGTGGGTGTGCCATCAGCAATGCTGGTCGTGTGAGCTCGTGCAATGATAACAAGTGCAATAGAACGGCACAGCTCTGAGCGCAGCTAGCAGCTCCACTAGTGCTCTTGTCACTGCGATGTAGTTCTTCCTGCTCTGCTACGTGTACGAGGTACGTGATAGCTCGCATCGTCGCGGTTTCCGCATACGCCATAGCTGCAATATCGTTTTCAGATGATGAATGCTGGAAGATCAGCGCTAGTAAGTCAACCACGATTTCACAAACTTCGGCTTGTTTCTCCGTCTCAATGAGCGCAACGAGACGGGGTAGTACTCCAGTTAGCATGAGCAACGCTGCACTAGCTGGGTCTGCTAGTAGATTGAGTAATCCCTTCAAAACCGTCACTTTCGTAGAGCATGCAACGTCGTAGCTTAGTATTTGAACAAGCGAGGCGACAGCACTTGGTTTGGCGATGAGACCAGCTCGTGCAGACGGATGTAAGGCCAACAGACAGAAAGCATCCGAGAGGATGGCATAGTCCCTCGGCTCCATTGTGTTTGTAAACGTTCCAAAGGCCCAAAGCAGACCATCGTCACACAAGCGCTGCATCGCTGCTGCCTTCGACAGTCGCAGTAGGTTCAGCACAGCTTTCAGGCATACGCGTCGTGTCTCCGGGTCGTTGGATTTGACACAAGCTAGAACGAGCAAGGCCCGAAGTGCGCTAAGCTTCACCAATGCTTCCACATGTGCGACTTCCGATGATAAATTGCAAAGAGTAACTGCGCATGCTCGACGCACAACCTCCTCAGGAGCGGCAGCCAACAGTGTCAACGCTTTAATAACCCCACCACGCAGCAGTGAGGCCCCTACTGCTTTATCCTGTGATAACAAGGCGTAGGTATGCACGCACAACCGCAGTGTTTCGTCATCGTCCGAGCCTGCTAACACTGCCAACGCATCCAGCAAACCACGTTCTACCATTGCCAGTCGATACTCTGCCACACTCGCGAAACGCGTAAGGCAAGCAGCACAAGCTGCTCTTAACGCCGCACGATCATCATCAACCGTATTGTCAGCGTGGTCTTTTCTAGTACAAACCTCGACCACAACAGGAAAAATGTGGTCGATGAGCTTCAACAACTCGTCTCGAGACAACGAGCGACCGTCGAACAGGATGCAAACAGTGTTGAGACACATACTCTGTGCCTCCACATCTCCATCACGCGCTAGGCGCTGCAACAAGAAGTCTCCTTTATCATCTGTAGCTGCGTAGGCTGCAGCGAGGAGTAAGCGGTGCACTTCGTATTCCATGCACAGACTGAAGAAGCTCCCGCCAAGTAAGTTGAGAATGTGACGATCCTTTGAATTGGCTCCAACTTGGCTCAATCGTTCGTTTGCCAGTCTTGCAACTTCAGCTTTCGGGTATCGGAACGACAAATTGTACAGAATGACCATCTGCAGTCGCACTTGAGCACTGTCTTGTGGGAATTCGGGGTACGCAACGTGTCGGTATATTTGCTCCAGAAGCTGTGGCGCGTCCAGTAATTCATCCAGTTCCAACGGGATCGATTGTATCGATAAGTCCGTACTGTGATTCCCCTGTGAAGAAATAGAGATGTTGGGATCCTCCGGTTGGTTCCATGACAAAATACTCGCCAAAGCAAACAGAACGTAGCGAGACTTGGCTGTGGATGAGGCACTTGCAGTGGGGTCTTCATGGTTAAAAGCTAGTAGGAATTGAACAACACTCTCGCTTACTGCTCGAATGTTCTCAGGTGCAGACAGCAAAATAGCAAGCAAGCGGTATATCAGTAGTAGAACCCCAGGACGGCGTTTAACGCCCGTGCCGAGAGCAGCCAAAGCGTCCAAAGCTCCAGCATTTCCCATAAGCTCTCGAGCGTTTGTTTCGCGTGTCAAGCAGATGAGTGTTGCTAAAGCACAGACGACATACTCGTCACTTGCAGCAAGACCCAGACGAGGAAGCTCCTCCACAGCAGCTCGCACACAATCCCCCGTTCGAACTAAAGCACGACGACAAGTTCCACTTTCCACGAGGTGCCACAAAGCAGCGAGGCCATTGAGACGTGCAGCTTCACTTTGTTCACAACTGATAAGCAACCGAAGTATCGACGTGACCTCGGGTTCTACCAACTTAACGTGGTTCATTCGTGTGCACGCCAAGTTGTAGACAGCACGACTCAATGTCTCGCGGTCTCGTGCATCTTTTCCGTGCTCTGCAAGGGCATGAACGGCATCATCGACCCGTGGATACGCATACTGCGGACACGACAGATTGAACATAGCGAACGTGCAGGCTCGCTCGGCCACAGCTGACGATCGTCTCTGCTTTACCAGACAGTCGAGAGCTTTCTCCTTGATAAAGCCACTTTCACTACCATCCTCAATTGTGAGGTTTGCCAAAGTGCCCACACAGTTAGGCAGAAGCAGCTTGTCATGGGTATGCGCTGACGAGAGCGCCAGAGCCGACAAAAGTGACAATGCGTTGTGGGACAGCAGGATGGATCGTCCTTCAGGTTCGCAAGATAAATGACCGAGCGTGGCCACACAAGCTCCTAATGTGGCCACATCCTTGGAACGACACAATGTCATGACACTGGGCACCACGTTGTCATTCAGTAGTGTTGCATGAAGAGCACGATTCGCCGCCATGGCTTCCACAGCCAACGCATACTGCTGCTTCCGGTTGCTCTTAGCTTTTGGCTTGTTATAGTTCACATCTACTGCCTTAAGAGCCGACAGTAGAGGGTTCTCTCGATCACTTTGCTGTTGGGATGCCTTGATTGGAGGCACAGGAGCCAATTTCATTGGGTGGAGCTTGTAGTTGACTCCAACACGTGCAGATAGAGGCTGTTTCTCCTTCCGAGATGCTGGTAACCGAGACATGTAGAGTCCTGCGTCAGTGTACTCGCCGTGCTGCGCAAATACGTCGCCATGGTACTGGAAGGGAAGTTTGCGCTGAAGGTGGGGCTTCACACGAGGAATTTGATCATCGCAGTCGTCAGTCACAAAGTAGTCGCGTCGTCGATGAGGTGAAGGCATCTCCAGCATAGGCTCAAGCGAGTGGCGAGAAGGCGACTTGAATGTAGAGTTAGTACTCGGAGATCGTGACCGCGAAAGCTCTGCCATTGCCGACCGAAGTGAAGTGATGACTTCAACAGACAAAAATAGTCAACGTCACAAAATTGGGTACCTGAGATCAGTGCGAGAGCAAAAACTGTAAAATGGGACTGTGTACAACATGCAACGGTGATTCATTTAGAACGTTACCTCCTATCTCGTCAAAGGAAAAGCTTCATCAGGCTTACAGATGGGCGAGATGAAGATTGAATAGACCGTCAAGCTTAATCGAAGACGTCATCCAGGGCTTCACCCAGCAGCATGCCACCGAGAACACCCGCACCGACACCCATAGCCATCTGTCCCGTGCTCATGCCGCCACCGCGGCTACCACCACCGCCAAATCCACCGAAGCCACCACCTCCGTAGCCACGAGGGGAACCGTGGTGGTGGTGGTGGCCGTAGTGCGATCCACCCTGCATAACCATGACGGGAGGGCCAGCAGCGTAAGCCACTGAGGCTGGGGGCGGAGGAGGGTAGCCGTAAGCAGGCTGCGGGGGAGGTGGCGGGTAGTATCCCGGTTGTTGTGCGTATTGCGGCGGGGGAGGCTGCGCGTAATGAGGCGGCGGGGGCTGTGAGTAGTGCGGGGGCGGCTGCTGGTAGTACGGCTGCGGAGGAGGAGCCGACGTGGCAGCAACGGCGGCTGCAGCCGCAACGGCAGCTGTAGTGGCCGTACTGGACGAAGCTGGATACGCACTAGACGCTGGGTAGGCGCTGGAGGCAGGATACTGCTGTGGGGCTGAGTAGCTGGGCTGCTGTGGGTACGGGTAGGCTTGAGCCGTGGCCTGCTTTGGGGCCTTCTCGGTGGAGGCCACAGGGGCCGCACTTGCGGGCTGTACTCCTGGGCCCTTGAATTGTACGCGGAGGTTGATCTCTCCAGCGCGCTTGGAGCCATTGTTGAGTGTGTACCACTGGTCCACGACGCTGCCATTGAGGAACATGCTAACAGGCAAGCGGCACTCACCGATCAACGTGCTCGAAGTAAAGTTCTTGTCCTTAACCTCGATGACGAGCTGGTCCAACTGTGGGTCCACGACAGAGAAGACGAAGACTTCATTCCACACGGGTGTCTTATCTAATAGGTAGAATGATGGTTAGAAGCGAGAAAAAACGAGGGGGGAGAGAATGCAGGGACTACTCACGTCCGTTGTCGTGCACTCGTGTCCTGAAGCTCTTGCCACGTAACTGTAGCTTGCAGTACGGGTCCTGCTTGCCGAAGGTCTGTTTGTCCAGCAGGTTACGCGCCGAGCACGCGCGAACGTGGAGCTCCATGCCCATGGTCGTCGGTCAAGTTGGAGGGAACGAAGGCGTTGATTCTCGTTCTTTCTTGGAGTGGTTTTGTTCTTGAAAATCCCGAACTTGACCTTTGTAGGTACACGAGCGACGCAATCAAGGGATAGGCTTTAAAAAACTGCAATATCCCATAATTCTTTCATATTTAGTACATTTCAAAAGCAATTTCCTCATTTTTTCTTTTTTAGAAAAAACAAATTCCGACAGTATTTTCGAACTGTCCGAATTAATTCATGAAAAGCCAAACTGCACACTGATTAGTCGTTTTAAAAGCAGTTTTATTAATCTTTTTTTTTTTTTTTTTTGCATAATTGACGTGCATCCGCTGATGGAGGCAGAAGGTAGCTCACTGGCGACGGAGGAAGAGGTGTGTGCCATGCGCTGTGCATTGCGCCTACGTCTCAAGAACGAAGTCCTCCAAATCTCGCCTGCCCCCAGTGCTGATCACGGGTCCAAATCAGCATCAGACGCAGCATCAACGCAGCTGGAGCATCTTTTTGAGCGGACTGTTCAGTTTGGCGAGAACCAGTCGGGGTTGTTGCTCGGGGCTGTGGGTAGCGATCGACGAGCCATTGTGACTCGTGCAATGCGCAACTTGCGTAGCAGGTTCGGCAACTTTACGTACGTATACCTCAATGGTGTCATCCTGCAGAACGAGCTCGAAGCTTTTAAAGAGCTTACAGCGCAGCTAACTCGCGCCACAGCAGTCAAGCACCCGGTACGTCGTCGCTCTTCGGCTTCTCATATAGATGTGCAAATTAATGAGCTCTGTGATTGTTTTGGTATTTACTTTTGCTATTGATGTGGAAAAGGTTCTGTCCTACTGGAATATGTACGAATACCTGCGAGGCTTGCTAGTCACAAAAGCCAAGTCTGGAGACCATGTGATCGTCATCCTAGATGCGCTGGAGCAGTTTGTGCGCGAAAATAGTAACGCCAAGCAGTTGCTGCTGTACAACCTGCTCGATTGGCTGCAGGTATGATACAACGTCGTTGCTGTTCACACAAAACGATGGACATCTCATTATGTTTTGAGAATGCGTTGTAGGCAAAAGATATCAAGATGGGCGTGCTAGGCATCACAGATAACTACAATGTCGTTGACAATCTTGAAAAGCGGGTGCGCTCCAGGTAAAACGCTACTCATCGTGCTGACGAGTAATTGATATTTACTTCTGTTTGTTTACAGATTCTCCAATCTTCAGATTGTTATTGAAAGACCCTCCTTCACCCAGATACGGCAGCATCTTCTGCGTGTGCTTTCCCTCGACGCTTTTCAATGGGATCATCACAGTGAGCTGCGCCGCCCATCAAGTAAATACGCTATGGCCTTTTCCAAGAGTCTGAACGGGCTGCTATTCGAGCAAAGCAAGTTTCTCACGAGCCTCGAGTTTGACTACGACATTGGCAAACCACAAGCCTTTTTTGTAAGGCTCGCCTCTGCTGCAATTTGCTACCTGGATGTCGATGCTCCTCTATTGACACCTCAGCACTTTCGACGCGCCAGGCATTTGCTGGAGCAAGACCACCAACTCGCTGTACTAGAAACAGTGACGGAGCATGGTATCGCGTTGTTAATCGGCATGGGACACCTGGAGAAGGCTGATCAACGTGTGTTCACGCTGGAAATGGTGTACGCTCGGTGGGAGGGTTTCCTTCGCCAGCACGACATGCTGGCACAACTGCCCACACGAAGTGAAGCTCAGAAAGCGTTGGAGAATTTACTGCGACTAAAGCTTGTCAAGGACGCTGGAGATGCATTCAAGATTGGGCGTGGTGGAGATAGTTCTAAAAAGCAGGACTCCTCTGGCTCACTGCAACCCGAGTTTCGGGCAGTACACCTCAATTTTGCGCCGCGTACACTCGAAGGAATGCTGCGCAATGGAAGCATCAGATGTTCGACGCTGTTGAAAGAGTGGGCTATTAACGGCTGAATTGGTGCCTGTATAAATAGAAGATGGTGCTGTCTGGAAGTGTTTGAGGGAGTTCTGCTTCAAACCCTCTTTGCGCCACCCAAGTTGCACTATGGTGGTTGATGTGGATCCTTTCGCAGACTTCGAAAGCTCAAGTGGCTCTGTCCATTACCAAGTCAGCTCTCCAGCGGATAGCTGCCCCATATTCAACTATGTGTACGCGTGCCGGCTTTAAAGCTTTAGTTGTGAATATTGTACAACTAACGTTTATGTTGTGTTCCTGCTTAAAGACGCCAATCATCCACCGTTCTCCGTAAAGTTCGTCTCGGTCAGCGACTGGATACTGCGCTGAATTGTGTAAGCATTGTAGATTAAATCATTATTTCTCGGAAAGTAACCTGATCCTTGTTTGTTTCTACAGAAATCACTGCCAAGATTTCCTTTGAAGCAGTATCCCGATCCAGAATGTTCAGTGCGAAGAAAAAATGTAGAGCTTGTGGGCACTGCTCCAGCTGCTCCTATTTGTTTTCGCCGAGACCGACACCTTGACCCATTGCCGGTCAACCGTGTTCGACCGCTCCAAGTCGCAGATAGCTTGTCGACCTCGAAGAGTACTCCTCATAAACGATACTTGCTCCCATCCACCGACATACTGAAGAACTACGATGAGCTCGATCCCCTCCAAAATTCTTCGTCTGAGGACAACAATACAGGTTCTGAGGAAACTGCAAGGGCATCAAACTCGCCACCTGATCAACACAATGCGGCTCTGATTATTGCCCGATTTTTTCGTAGTGTTTGCCGACTGGATAGTGCAGTTGATCGAGCACGTGACGTTTTATGTCGGCGCTGGCGAGAGCAACACCCCGATAAGTATCGAACACCACTATTTGAGCTGACAAATAATGAACAACTTCGGGTTTTACAGCTCTACAATCCTCACCTTTATGGCTCCCAGCATCCTGCATCGCCGCTTGCGACGACCTCGACGTCAATGAGACTGGCACGGGTTCCTCAAATGGAACAACACAAGCGAACACGGCAACTGGAAATACTGGCGAGGATGAACAGAGAAACACAACTGCTGAACGAAACAAGTAGGCAGAAGACCCAAGCACCTATTAGTACAACGGCAATACTTCACAAAGCCTACCAGCGCCAGCCACTAGCATTCCAGGAGCGGCCGAAAACTGTGCTTGGTCGTGAAAGGCTGCAGCAAGCTCACGATTTGGTAATGTATTCACGAACTCCACCGAGTTTCCGCTATAAGACCACGCCACAATCCCGCCTCCAGGTGACCCATACCCTCAAAAGCGTGTCGACACTGAGGCCTTTGTGAACACGTCAAGCAACAATAAATAGGATACGACGAAGCAGTTCAACGACTCAATTTGCGCCGTCCCAATTGATCAGCTAGCGTCTCAAGTGTCTACCACTTCCGTTAACTGTGTGCTCAGCAGAAACCACTCGGGTTTGCGAGTTGATCCTGCTGCCACCTCTTCCTCGACAACGTGAACCGGTTCGTAAATCCGAAGCAACATTCCAGTGGATAGCTTGAGATGTTCGGCGGCTTGAGGATGAAAGAGTGCTTTTACTGTGTCCTTCTTCTCTTTCAACGCACTTGTAGTACTTTTCTCCAATTTTGATGCAACGTCGTGGATTTGACATTCGTACGAAACAGAATGGGACGTGACTGCGCAACGCCTCATGACTCGAACTGTGATGCACGCTCGGTCTTGAATTGACTCCATCGCACCTTGCAGGGATGAACGGATGCTTTGTTGAGGGAGCAAATGCTGACCGTGCGAACGCAGGAGCGTCAGGTCTCGGTTGCGCTTACGAATAGCTTTGCGGATAACATCGCCCATACTTCCGCGAATCTTGGAGATAACTGACTCGTCCTTAGATTTTCGACCGGATTTCGTAGGAGAAAAAATCTGCGGTGCAAACGGTTCGGCTCGCATCTGATGTTCAGTGTCAAGAATTGGGTCAGCTTCCGTGGGATTCTCGGCTGCGTGGGCCTGGATATTCAAGGCCATCATAACAAGCGAGTCAATACATATAGTAAGCACCAATAAACCACCAGCAGCGTGAATATACCTGTGAGAATGACGAGTCGTCGTTGGTCGAGTTTTGCTGTTGTGACAGCGTCGTGGCACGTTGCAGCACATCTGACAGCGATCTTCTTGTCGGAGCTGAATGACTAGTATCAAAACTACCGTCCATACTCGATCTGGTTTGTATGCTTTGTGATCCTGAGAAACCCCCTGGCATCGATTTTCGCCTATGTGTATCACCAACAGACAACAATCACGTTAACAACCATAACAGTTGACTATACACACAACATCCACACTCACCTTTTCGCAGCAGACGCTTCTAGTTGCGACCGTCGCTTCTGAATTGCACCCAGAGACTTGCGGCGATTTTTGGTATCAGCAGCTGAAGGTTTCCTCGTATTCCATCGATCGGGCCTCGAACCAGCCGCTTCAAAGTCGAGTTTCTTCTTCGTAACACCGGTACCGACTCTAGTAGCCAGCACACTGCGCTGCTGACTGTACTTCAAGATGGAGCGACGACTTCCTCCATTAATGTCCCTGCTTGTACCAGCGCGTCGACGTGCCTCCATCTTGGACGAGTCTCCAGTTGCTGCTACCGATACCAGCGAACTATCGTGGCATTCTCTTGCAGTTTCATTGCCACTCATAGCTTTGTCGGACTCAACTGCTAGCGTCGCTGTCTTGTGTGTTTGTTGCTGCTGCTGTAGCAGTGTCGCGAACGGGTTTTCCTCCTCTTCCTCCGCTTCGCCTCCGCTGTCATCTACGCACATGGGATCGCCAGTGTCAACTGACAGCCGCAATAACATGAACAGCAACAAACGGCAACGCACCGAGATTGAACAGCGCTTGCTGCTGGCGAGGGAAGATCTGACTGCCGTCTCCTGACGCTGTTATTGCTGTTTTTGTTGTCGCACGAGGCTGCGTGGAAGCAGACACAGCATCAGGAGACATGAGCAGGTCTCGACTATGTGAGTCCGCCTCCAGGTCATAGTAGACCACGCGTTCATCGTCCTCGCGAGGGGCCCGCCTTCGGCCGTGCATCATGGTAAAGTGATTAGCGCGGGAAACGGCAACTTAATTTATGTGATGCACATTTTTTGTGAAAAGGTAAATGGTCTCAATTGTTGACGTTGAAGGATCTGAACTCTGAAGCTCACAAAAAAGTCTAAGGCAAATAATTATATAAACTATGTTAGTTTGGCTTACTGCCTACTCCTACTGTAGTAGGCAAATAAAATAGCTTGTGTGGGCAGGCCTTACATTCGACTTCCCACAGATTATTAAATCTGAACAGGTCAATAAATCATCATGAACAATTTGCTCAGCTTCGTGATGAATACCATGGCATTGGATGTTACGTGCACCCAAGCCAAGCTTCCACTGTCACATTGCAAGGTTTTCCGACCTTCCGCTCGATCTGAAGCTTGCGCATCGTGATGTAAGCTGGCTGGGTGACGCAACTGATAACCATCATTCGCGTATTGTAGCAAATTCCTTGCACTCCGTCTAACGTACAGTTCTTGAACAGGACACTACCGCACAGATCGTCCGATGTGTACTTCGTGGGCGCTGCTGATTCCAAATCGTATGCAAATGAATTCGGACATATTTCACTTTCATCGTACATTTTGAAGATTGCCTTGTCTTCAGCTGACGCGCGCTCGGTGGTGCACGTCATGGGGTATTTTTCTCCATCTTTCGGCAAGCATTGAAACGAGGTGGTATCACACTTGCCCGTGACATATCCGTTACAGCATACCCCAGTACGATAGCGCAGACCAAGCGACTCCAGACTCACCAGCGGAGACAGTGAAGGCAACGTTTTGGCCCTTGTCGCTTCCACGATGTTCAAAGCGGCGAGTTTCGAGAGGCCCTCAAAGCTAGGGAATTCCTTAAGGGAGTTGACAATCGCCAATGTCAAGTAACGTAGTTTTCCCAGTGAAGAGAATGATGGGAGCTCCTCTACGTCCGGGATACCGCCAAAATGGATGAAGGTTAAGCGAGGCATGTGGTCAAAAATACCTGCAGGTACAATTTGGAGTCTCTTACTGGTGTAGTCACCTTCAAGATGACTACATTATTAAACAACACATATGTAGATGTTAATCACAACGCAAAATAAAAAAGGGGAAGCCGTAGGAACTCACAAGTATTCCAGCCGAGATAACTCGGACATCCACTCAGGTAACCGCAGTGTCTTTGTGTAGACCAGGATGAGTTGCTCGAGGTGGTGGCAATTGCGTAAGTTCTCCGGCAGCTCCGGCACAGCGCGATTGATAATCTGCACAATACGCAGCTCACCAGCATATGCAAGCTCTGCTAATTTCGAAGTGGTGTCTTCGGGGTTTGTCCACTCTGCATAAGTTCGAGGTGCAGTCTGTCGATCTGCGAAAACTAGACACGGGCAGTGCTCGACACCAAAACTCCATTGATAGCTTATCATGACGCAGTTTTCAAAGTTACTGCATATCGCGCGACTGGATCGTACAGAGCCGATGGAATATATGAAGATCGCTGTTCCTGCAACGAAGAAGACCAACGATAGCAGAAATTTCGGGATAAAGTGCTTTCCCAGCTTCGGCTTCCGCGTCGTCGCACCAATCGTCTTGACAATCGCCTCTCTAAAACTTCGAGCCCGAGGTTTGCTTTGGTCCGGCAGTGGCTGCACTTGAGCTGTCCTCTCTCGTTCAAGGCGACGCTCGTGATGATTATCAACTAGCGTTAGAATTATCTTGCGCCACTTATACAGCGAGAGAAGGTTGAGTGCAGACTTGAAGAAGAGAGAGTCACCTGAAGAGAACTGCAGATAGTGGAAAGCATTGCAGAAACTCGATATCTGTGACGGGTCTCCAAAGAGCCGAGCAATTGTGTCGTAGGACCCGCCCTGGATTGTTTCCGCCTTCGTGGCGAACTCAGCACGGTCGAATTGGAAAGATAGGACAAAGTAAATGAGCACTACCAGCGGTGCAAAGACTGCGAAAAACAAATCATATCTACAGAAAAAAAAATCATAAATAGCAAACAAGTTAATAATTTTGCTATCACCTTAACAACACGAGCCACGTACGTGTAGTAGAGACGAGCAATGATCAAATTGGGATCAGCCACGTATCGTTGGGAACGATAACAAGCTACGAGCCAGTTGCACAGAAGAAGAACGGAATATGAGTACACTATGGGAGTCGGAAATCCATGGCTTAGATATGTCGTCAAGGTTGTTGTCTGGAAAATCAACTTGGGGAGGTCCAATGCTGCAGTCTTCAATAACAACATCTTGTTAGCCATTTGCAATTGTAAAAATGCTGCTCCAACTTACCAAGTAGTTGTCTCGAATATGTTTTGGAATATTGCACTTGTGACTCAGCCATTTCATGGCAAAATGGAACGTGCTGGCTTTCGTCACCGTTGGTTCAACAACAGTTCCGACCTCAGTATCGATAGCGGCGTTGATGCTATTGCTCGGTGGCGTGTCAGTGACCGTATCAGCCTTTCGACTAAATCGAAGGGGATAAAGCATCATGACTATCAAACCAGTATAGCCAATTCCAAACAGTGAGAGTACTACTGCAGATGAAATCACGATGGCATCATCCGGATGAGGAAGCAACCAGAACTCGCCGTTGTCGAAATGTGTCGTGTTCATAATCGAATTCGCCATCTCGGTTGCATGCACTTGGATATAAGCCAGGGTAAAAGTCCACAGCGCAGAAAGCGCGAAGACAAGCATCATGGGCACGCCTAGAGCACCAAAAACTGCATGGAATGTAGTCACCTCAGCTATAACACGGCCACCCATAAAAGAACGGAGCTCAACCGACGTCCCGACTGCGGATGCTTTCGGCAACGACGAATTCTCCGGTGATTGCATCTCGTCACGTCCACTCCGGTGGTTCTCGCCAAGATCCGCATTTTCGAGCACAGTGACGTCGTCCGTTCCGAGCACGAGGTCTGCAACAGTCCTAGGTGTGCCACTGTCCGCTTCAGTGTCAGCTCGCTGGCATGCTGGCATCTCTGTTCACGTACCTCCGAGATATTTTAACTATACATACTTTCGTGTGGCGACTCGATTCAAAAGTGAAACTAACAGTAAACAATAGAAATTCAGTTTTTCGGCAATGCCAATCATACGCATCATGCATGATACGATCACACAAAGTTCTCATAGCTTAAAGGAGCCGCGCACCTTCGCCCTTCAATATAAACTTTAGCACTTGCTCCACAAATTTAGAGAGCACATGCAACTTCCAAGCGAGATTATTGCTTATAACCCACGGTGCCATATTAGTCGGTACTTGGAACGGGCGAGCCTAGCCAGTCGATTCGTGCATTGGGCCACTTTGTTTTCATGATTTCTTCAAGGGGAGGCGAGCCATGGCCACCACTCGTACCAGAGTTGTCAATGGGGACGGATCTACCGATGAACTCCGCCGATTCCTCGAGCGTCACACGACATTTTGTGAGCTGAGGACGCCGTTGTCCGTTGGTCGAATTACTGTTGCTTCCCAGCCCATTGTAATAAAACCAATCGAACGAAAGTAGTGGGTCCTGCTTCGGCTTGTCTGGCGGTGGTGCGTTCACAGGAGCTTGGACAGCAGAGCCACCTCTTTCTTCTGCGTCAAACTGTGCTTGGAGCTCCCGCGCAAGATCAGAATCGGAGCGTTGGAGGGGAGGCCGTGATTCCGTCGTGCCATTTGGGTCGTAGTCTCCAGACAATGCCAGCTCGAAGTCGTTGGTATGCAACAGCACTGAGATAACTTTCCAATACTCGTCCCAGAGCACGATGCCAGCACCACTTGAGATTTCCAGTCTAGCTAATAGTCGTGCCATCATGTACTCATTTGAGAGAATCTCAGGTGTGACACCAAGCTGCTTCAGCGAGTCGGCCAGGGACGCCATCTCCATGAAGCCGGTCTCCATAGGGTCAAAAGTCTTGAACACTCGCTGAATTTGTTGAAAAAGCTGCGCGGATGCCGATTCCTCGCAGACACGGACATCCAGAGCGAAGCCAACACTAAAGTGCGAAGAGCTGCCGAGCACCCACACGGGAAACTGGGGCGATTTGTAGTAACTACCCACTTGGCAGTATCGCAACGCCTCCAATTGCGTTAAATAGCCGATACGCGCTCGATATGGCACGCCGTGCAAGGACAGCCCTGTGTCGCCCATGGGGACGCTGCCATCAAACACGTTTGAGACAGCTTGGCCTGTAAGAAGCAAATTCACCAGCTCCTGTGTACAGTGTCCAAACGCTCCAGTCAACGTGTTGGCAGAGTCGTCCATTTCTCCGCGCACAGCAGCGACGCCCTTGGTCCGTAGCACGCTGAACGTAAAGTTAATAACTCCGTGAGAGCTGCAGAATGTCGGCATTTTGCGGTTTAAGAGTGCCACAAGGTCCTGGGGCGGGGTATCTGTCTGCATCGCGGGAACTGACACGGTGCTCTCTCTGTATGTCGCAGCTGTGTCGTTGCCGACGTCCTGCACCACCACGCGCACCACTCGATCGTCACCGACGCACTGCACCAACAGCGATGCCATGGCCTCCGCCAATAGCTGGCGTCTTGCCGCGTCATCCTCCGCCAATAGCTGGCGTCTTGCCGCGTCATCCTCCGCCAATCGTCCGCGCTCCAGTAGCTGCTGTAAATTAATATCGTTGCTTCTCAACGTATCACGGTGGTGCACAAACAAGAACAGTCGAAGCATTTCGGCTTGCACTGCGGCCAACACACCACAAGGGCCCCCGTGGCCCTGCACGAGCCCGATCGGGAAGCCCTGCAGCGTTTGGAACTCAAAGCCCTGTTGGTACCAGCGCTGAGTATCGTCGGAGGTGCCATCGCCTGTTGACGTCGCCGGCCACAGGAGACGGAGTAATTCCTCCACCTCTCTCCCCGTCAATGTACTCATTGTTCCGCTGCTTGAAGCAATCGATCACAAAATTGTAATTTGGTGTTCGTGTACACAATATTGTGTTTGATCGCATCTTTCATATGTCACACATGTCGGTGCGGTAGTGCGATGTCTGAATTTGATTGCAGCATCGCAGTGTACCAAAATAGAGCAACACGATTCACACTGCTCTATTTTGGCCATTTTTTAAATGGGATTTTAAACCGGAGAGGACTGCGAGATGCGAAGCAGTGGCACTGGCCAAGCACAGATTGAAATGGTTGCTTGCAGATGCAATCTATCTATGGATATCGTCTAAAAAAAGCTGTCAAAACCTGCTGCTGGGGCTTCTCACGAATTGGGCCATTTCAAATGGCACAGCCGTCTGTAGGCTATCCGAGCGCGATCTGACAAGCAAATTGAAGTCGACAGTTTAGACTGTTATCGTTTGTTTGAAAAAATGAAAGCGTTTTTCAATTGAATAAGATCATAGAGTGCAAGTGCTTATCAAAACAGTTTAGTGTTTTATTAATAACCTTCTGTTTATGATAATCATAACTGTATCAGCTTCACAATTATACTATTTCCTGAGATTGTGCTCTAAGGTGGGAAAGACAGAGCGATGACCAGCAGGAGGACATTCCGAAGCGTCATTGCGAGCGAGAGTCATTCACCCTATTTCCTTCAAGTGAGAGAGTGCCCGTGCAAAGGCAGCAAACACAAGGATGCAGTCACAACAGGAACTGAAGCGGGAGCAAGAGCTGCGGGCGGACGACGCACCACAGGAGCTGAGCCCAACCGCCGTGGTGGCAGAACACAAGGCAATTTCGAGCGACATTGCGACGCGTCCCGCGTGCGCTCAAGATGTGGCTGCGTTCTGCCAGAAGGAGGCCAACATAGTAGCGCTGCTGCGCGAGGCACCCGACATGGTGGAGCCTCGAAAGATAGTCGAAGCCGTGCGCAAGGTGCGCCTGTGCATGATCACGCATGTCGAAGTACTATCTACCGACTGCGTGAACACACTGTCTGCTGATGTTGCGGGCGCAGCTCCAACGATGGCCGCATCCGTGCCGGCAAAAAGTGTCGCGGCACTCGACAGCGAGGGTGTGGACGACGATTCGTCCATGGAGATCAACATCTACTACTCGAGACACCATAACGGCGCAGGGCACGCGCTACGCTCGGGTGGCGCGCTGGCTGCCAACCACGTTCAGACGGGAGGACCATCGTCCAACCTCGCCCAGGTGCTTGCACACCCTCTCACGTGGGCATTCGTGCTCCCATTCTTCGCCATCGGCATGTATGTGAGTATCACCCGGATGGCGACGTTCCTGCGCCGCCGGCGAGAGGAGCGCCGCATCGAGAGCAAGCAGTACATGCCTGTGAATTGAGAGTCGTAGTTGGACATGTGTAGTAGTAACGAAGCTCAACTGAGTAGTATATATATAAGGGAATCGAGCGCACTGCGCCGCCAAGAAACCAAATAACAACCGTAGATTAAGTTTTCTCCAACCTCATGCCTCTGTACCCCGACAGGCTGCAATCCGGCTGACCATTGCTTGGATCCAAAGACGGATCTAAGCTTCTGCCTGAATCTGCCTTCTTCTATCTTCGACCGACAGTTACATCACTTCGTTCGACATGCACTTTGATGGATGGCTACACATCGATTGTGTAACACACCATGTTGTGTACGCCACACTGTGCTTGAAACGTGGCGTCGCATGGTGGATCTAATTCAGCAAGCTCTCCCTTCCTTCCAAGTCGACGATGCAGCAGGGCGGCTACGGAGGCTACGACCAACAGCAAGGCGGCTACGGCCAGCAACAGCAGTACGGCCAGCAGCAATACGACCAGCAGCAATATGCGCAGCAGGGCGGCTACGATCAACAGCAGCAGTATGGCCAGCAGCAGCAGCAGCAGCAGGGAGCCTATGACCAACAATACGGTCAACAGGGCGGCTACGACCAGTATGGCCAGCAGCAGCAGGGAGGATACGACCAGTACGGCCAACAGGGCGGTTACCAGCCCGGCATGCAGCCCCAGGAGTGGGACTTTCACGCCATGGAGGCCAAGGACGGCGTGCGCTTCTCGTGGAACTCGTGGCCTTGCACCAAGCTGGAGCAGACGCGATGCGTCATGCCCACAGGCTGTCTGTACCAACCACTGAAGCCCATCGACGGCATGCCGCCCGCCGTCGAGTACGACCCTATCCACTGCAAGGCTTGTGCCGCCGTGCTCAACCCCTTTTGCCAAGTGGACTTCGTCTCGAAGCTTTGGGTGTGTCCGTTCTGCGTGACGCGCAACCACTTCCCGCCTCACTACGCCGAGAATATCACTCAGGAAAACCTTCCAGCTGAGCTCATTCCGCAGTACACGACGCTCGAGTACGAGCTGCAGAACCGCCAAGCAGGACCCCCTGTCTTTGTTTTCTGTATCGACACGTGCGTCCCCGAGGAGGAACTCGAGGAGCTCAAGGATTCGATCCAGCAGACGCTCAACCAACTCCCGCCTGATGCGCTCATCGGTCTCGTAACCTTCGGTACCATGGTGCACGTGCACGAGCTGGGATTTCCGGAGGTGCCCAAGTCGCACGTTTTCCGCGGCAACAAGGACTTCACAGCACAGCAAGTGTACGACATGCTGGGTCTGGCTGCGACGCGCAAGCAACAGCAGCAGCAAATGCCCGGCCAACCCCAGCAGCCTCAGCAGCAGACCAGCAACTCGGCTCGTTTCCTGCTCCCGGTATTCGAGTGCGGCTTCACGCTCGAGTCCATCCTGGAAGACCTCCAGCGTGACCCGTGGCCTGTGGCGGCCGACCAGCGTCCACAGCGATGCACGGGTGTGGCCATGTCGGTGTGTGTGGGCCTCTTGGAGGCAACGTTCCGTGGCCAGGGTGCTCGCATTATGATGTTCGTCGGTGGCCCGCCCACGGTCGGCCCGGGCGCTATCGTCAGCCGTGACCGTAAGGAGGATATTCGTTCGCACACGGATCTGCAGAAGGACAAGGCACCTCTTACCAAGAAGGCCCTGGTACACTACAACGACCTGGCGGCCCGCTGTGTGGCTTCGAGCCACGTGGTGGATATTTTTGCGTGTTCTCTCGATCAGAGTGGTGTGATGGAGATGGCTGCTTGTGTGCAGAAGACGGGTGGTGTAATCGTGCTCGCCGATTCCTTTGGTCAGTCTGTCTTCCGTGAGTCGTTCCGCCGCATGTTCAGCAAGTTCTCGGACGAAGCAGCAGATTGTGACAAGGATCAGCTCACGATGGCCTTTGCTGCCTCGGTGGAGGTTCTCACGAGCCGCGAGTTCAAGGTGGCAGGTGCGATTGGTCCTTGCGCTCCGCTAAAGCGCCAAGGTGCAGCCCCCAAGAACGTGTCCGAGGTGGAGATTGGTGTCGGTGGCACGAACGCTTGGTCGATGGGTGGTATCGACCCCAACACCACCGTCGCTATTTACTTTGACATTTCCAACCAGACTCCGCTGGCACCCGGCAAGGCGCGCTACATCCAGCTGATCACGCGCTATCAACATGCTAGCGGACGGTACCGCACTCGTGTGACCACGATCTGCGGTCCTTGGACTGTGGATCCGAACGACACCGCAACGCTCGGCCGTGGCTTTGATCAAGAGGCCGCCGCTGTGCTGCTGGCACGTATTGCTGTGCACCGCTCGGATCAGGGCGAGGAGCAGCTTGACATCATGCGCTGGATCGATCGTTCGCTCATCCGTCTGGCAGCTCGCTTTGCCGACTACCGCAAGGACGATCCTTCCTCATTCCGCCTGTCACCTGAGTTCGCTATTTTCCCCCAGTTCATGTTCCACCTGCGTCGCTCCCAGTTCTTGACCGTGTTCGGTTACTCGCCCGATGAGAGTGCGTACTACCGCCACTGCCTGCTGCGCGAGAGCACGACGAACTCGCTTGTGATGATTCAGCCGTCGCTGCTTTCGTATTCGTTCAATGGTCCGCCCGTGCCGGCACTTCTGGACGCTGCCAGCGTGCGGTCCGACACGATCCTGCTGCTGGATTCGTTCTTCTACGTTGTTGTATTCCACGGTGATACCATCGCTGCATGGCGTGATCAGAAGTTCCATGAAGACCCCGCGCACGAGAACTTTAAGAACTTGCTGGAGGCTCCGCAGGCTGACGCGCAGCTTATCATGGACTCCCGCTTCCCCGTCCCGCGTTACGTGGTGTGCGACCAGCACAAGTCACAGTCGCGTTTCCTCATGGCAAAACTCAACCCGAGCGTCACACACAACAGCATGGATGGCCAGGGCGAGGTCATCTTCACGGACGACGTGAGTTTGAAGGTGTTCATGGAACACTTGATGAATCTGGCTGTTAAATCGTAGACCAGTAGACCAGGATCATGATTCCCGACGGAAGGGTAGGTGGTGAACAGGTACATACATCACGTAAATGATTGATTGAAGCATTTTTGTCGGGCATGCTTGTGAGCTTCATTATAATACTAGTAGTACTACAGTGGTAGAACTGCAGGTCGGCAGCGCGCAATACTCCAGTTGTCTCTGCGGCGAAGAGCAATACTCTGTAGTACCGTTACTTTGATACGTGACTTCTAGTACAGTGTAGACGTGCTGAGCAATGCTAGCAAACGAAACTCTTTGTCAACAGGCTGTTGCCCCGGTCACATGAACACTTCAACTCCGGTTTGAGTCACCTAGTTGTACGTTACGAGTCGTAAGTACTAAATACTTGCTCCACGTTACACCGCCATTGCAAGTGACGGGCGTGGAGCTCTGCTACGACGATCATTGCCATTAGCAATGCTTTGGCATTCTGCGCTCGGCGGCGTGACTAGCTGCACCCCTCGTATCAACGCATTACCTTCGCTTTGATACAAGCTACATATACTCTCTGCTTAGCTCATGAGTACTGCTAAACCAGTGTGGCAAAAATTGTTAGCTCTATATGTAGCTAGATTGAAGGCACCACGTGAGAGATTTTATCACACAAGAGCGTCATTTTTTATGTCTCAGCAAGGAAGTCGCTTCGTTTGACTTGCTTACAAATTGTGACCTTCGCATCCTGCTTGGTCGGACTGTGATTTCGACAACTTGTATGCACTCTGTCGCTCAAGGCTTGAGTCAAGCTGTACGTTTTGCCTTGCGTTTGGACACTTAGGTCCGAATTGAATCTCTGGTAGCAAGTTGCTCGCGACACAGTGGCGAAAGAAGGCGCTGTAACAACACTGTAACGGATTGCAACTGGGTTGAAAGGCCAGTCTGCCGTCATTCGTAAATTACGAATCGCAATGCGCCACGCTGCACGACGACCAACGGATATTGGCTCGTTTAAGCTGCTGACAGTTCGCCGTGAAGCCAATGGTGCTGGGTGTCGAGAATCTCACTAAAGGATTTCAGACACATGGGTTCACAGGGGCTTACATGTGCTGGGATATCAAACAATCCATTGACGCGCTGGGATCTTATGCCATGGCTAAAGCAACACTTCTGAGGGAAAAAGCAGCAGCTACTGTAGTAGCTATCTTATCAGCAACTCTGTCTGCAGATGACATTGGACATCATGGTGTCAATCAAGTTGCTGTCCATCATCAGCATCAGCTCTTTCTGGTGTGGACCACAAAATTGGGTATTTTGCGTCCGCTCATCAGCGGACGGAGCGGACCGTACTGTCTCTGTGCCTCTGTGCAAACACGTGCGAATGCATTTTCACAGGTCGGTATAGAGAGAGACTGGACGGTGTAAATGACTTGAACTCAATATGTAACGACCTCGCAGGGGTTTCGTCCGGCTGGAATCCGTCGAGTGCCAGTTGCGCTTCTTCACGAGAGACCAAAGCACGCACACACACACATAGTCGCTCTATCTTCCTGCCTTGGCCTGAGCAAGGTAGACCGAGAGATCGAGAGGGCTGCTGTGTAGTACTATTACGTGTCTGTACTGTCATCGGCAACAGCGATCATGTACGGCAACGACAAGCAGTCGCTCATGAAGCACGAAGACTACGAACTGCACGGCACACCCGCCACGGGAGCCAACGACGGCGGTGCCGGCTTCTACGCGCAGGAAGGCCGTCCGGTGCCTCAGCAGGGCTACGTGGACCCACGCGGTCCTGCTCTTCCGCCCATGAACGTCTCGGATGCCGTCGGTCTCGGCGGTCAGCGTGACAACATCATCTCGGTGCACGGTTACATGCACAAGCAGGGCAAGCGCACAATCAAGGGTCCGATCCACAAAAGCTGGAAACGCCGCTACTTCGCCTTGGAGAAGGCCAAGATCTACTACTTCCACTCGCATCTGGAATGCCGTCAGTATTTCACCACCCGTAACGCTGACCTGGTCGTTGGCGCCATCGAGCTGAAGGACGCGCTGCAGCTGCGTCCATGTGCTCGTCTGGATCTGCCCCACAAGGGTTTTGAGGTGCACACTAAGCGTCGTGTGTGGGTGTTATGTCCCGAGACGGACGAGGAGTACCGCATGTGGTTTCAGGGCGTCGAGCGCGCTATTGTGGCTAACGGCGCCGGTAACATTATCGAGCGAAAGCTGCCGAACGTTCGCAAGTACCTGATGAAGGGCAACCAGACGTACCGGTTCTTCTACTTCCTCTTCTTAATCGCCGGTATCGTTGAGCTGCTGGCTATCGTTTTTTGGTTCGTGATCGGGTTGGAACCATGCGACGCCTCACGTATGGAAGTCGACTGTGCCACCATTACAAGCACGTCGTTGGAGACGCTGCGTTGCTCTGACAAGCCATTCAGTGGCTGGTTCACGCCGCCCACGTGGTATTTACAGGTGGCTGACGTCGAGAATGTTATCTGCTTCCGCGACCCACCTATTCCACAGTGGGCCTCGTACTTCGCTATGCTGTTCGCTGAGCTGCTGACGTTCGCTTTGGGTGTCCTCTACTATCTTGGTATGTGGAAGCCGGTGCGTCGTGGCGCCCACTACTTCGATGAGTTTGAGCCGCCCGTTCCGGACGAGCTGTGGCCCAAGGTGGACGTTTTGTTGTGTCACTACTCGGAGCCCGCCGAAGAGACGATCGACACACTGATGGCATGTATGAACCTGCAATACCCGCCCCACCTGTTGCAGATCTGGGTTTGTGACGATGGTTACTGCAAAACCAAGTGGACCAAGGGCAACCCGGTCCCGACGGTGGAGCTGAACAAGGGCATCTTGGAAACTGCTGGTGATCTCCGTCAGGAAGTGGCTCAGTTCATGTACGACCGTGTGTGTGACCCCAACGAGGACATGGAGGTGTACGCGTGGCGTAAGCTACACTCGTCTGCCAACTTGCCGTCTCCATCCCGTGTCAAGGTGGTTAACCGTGCCGATTGTGCCGTAGGCTCGTTCCGTGATGATTACCGCTACCCAGGCCTACCGCACGTGACCTTTATCGGTCGTGTGAAGCCAGAGACGCACTACTCGAAGGCTGGTAACATCAACAACTGTCTGTACAATGAGGGAGCCAACGGCCGCTACCTGATCATCCTCGATACCGATATGCAGCCTCACCCGAAGTTTATCCTGGCTACACTTCCGTTCTTCTTCGATGATGAGGATCGCCAGGACAAGGCCAAGTACATTTGCTGTGGTATCGGCTGCAACTCTGTCGCAAAGCTTTGCTGCGCCTCCTGCCAGATCGCCGGCGTGCCCGAGGAACAGATCAGTTACTGCTCCAAGGACTGCTTTGAAAACGCCATGCACGTCCAGAGTGCCGTCCACCGTCGCCAGGTGAATGGCACCATGAGCGATACTCGCGCTAGTAAGATCGACATGCGTTGCATGAACTGTGATGCCAAGCTGCCGAAGAACGGTGTGTGCCGCAAGTGTGGCAACAAGGGTGCGGATGGAGAGGATGTGTCATCGCTCCACACTTACTCGGACGACGTGCGTGACAACGCCGTTGCCTTCGTGCAGACGCCTCAATACTTCCGTGATTGCATTCAGCTCCAGATTGGCGATCCGATGGGACACCGGAACGCTACGTTCTACGATGCCATTCAGACTGGCCAGGATGGCTACGACTGTGCCTCTTTCGCTGGCACGAACGCTATGTTCCGTCGCGAGGCTCTAGATTCGATTGGCGGCATCCAGTACGGTAGTCTGACTGAAGATTGCTACACCGGCCAGGTGCTCTGTGCCATGGGCTGGAAGGCTCAGTACTTCCGTAAGGATTTCGAGGGCGAGCCGTCCGAGCGTATTCGTCTGGCTGAAGGACTGATTCCTGACTCGGTGGCTGGCTCGCTGGCTCAGCGTAAGCGTTGGGCCAAGGGTAATTTCCAGATCGCACTGATGAACAAGAAGACGCAGTACTTTGACCCGGAGTGGAAGATGCCGGAGGTGCAAGTCCCGACGTACCACAAGTCGAACAAGTTCATGCGCCGTGTGTTCTACTTCAACTCGACACTCTACCCGCTTGGCTCGATCACGGCTATTCTGTTCTACTACATCACGCTCTACTTCCTGTTCTCTGGCTACGCTCCAATCTACATGGCTGGTGCGCGTCTCGTGTACGCTCTGGTGCCCAAGTTGCTCGTGCAGGGCGTGCTGTCGGCGCTGAGCAACCGTACAGTGGAGAACAGCGATGTGATTCGATCGCAGGAGGTGTGGTTCGCTTACGCCTTCACCAACTGCACGGCGGTGCTGGAGGCCTTCTGGTGGAAGATCACGGGTAAGGAGCCCAAGTGGTTCAACACGGGTGGTGCGAGTCGCGGTTCGACTGCAGAGCTCCCGAATGTTATCATCTTCTTTGGAACTGTCGTGGGTGTGCTGTGGTCGGTTGTGCGTTTCCTGGCTGGCTACAACAGCATCCAGACGTCGCACGGTGCGTCACTGCTTTTCGCAAGTTTAATGATGGGTCTATTCATCGCGGTTAAGCTTGCGCCGAGCGTGCGTATGAGCATCCAGGAGTACTTTGGCTGGAGCTACGAGAGTCTGATGGACCAGGGCAACGTCGTGGGCTCGATCTCGATTGCATTCGGACTCGTTTTCATCACGCTGTGGGTCTGGATCGAGCAGCCGACGTCGAACCCCTTCTAAACAGGGAGGAAACAGCAGCGTGTAGCCTTAGGCCATCCAACCAGTGTAGTCTACGCCGCTATTCATGCTTACGTGCTTGATTTTCAATATATTTTTTTCGCTTCTAGCTTCTGCGTGCTATGTTGTGCATGCGTGCATGATGCATCCATAATTTCGGTGTTGAGCGAGCAACTTGCCGATCCCGTCACGGGATTCCCGTGAGACTCAACCTAAGTCACTCGTGAGAGTCTCAAGATGAGAGCGATGGCTCTATCGGGGTGAGTGATATATGGTAAACTGGACCCGGACGACAGCGACAGCGACGTCGCCGCGCAGAGTCCGCGACGGACTGCCCAAGGCAATTCATGTAAAACAGACATTTCAGGTAAATGTGAACTTGCTCCTGACGTATTTAGCCTGGCTAATTTAGCCACTTCGCAGTTAGCGATCCAGCAGCACATGCAGGCGCCGCCACGTAGCTATTCTGTCGTTGCTGATGCGCACCCAACGCTAAATTAGGCGCTAACCCAACCGGCACGGTGCACACAAATGAGGTCTGGCATATGAGCCTTGATTCCTGCGGTAGGAATCAAGGCTCATATGCGAGGAATCATTCGTGGCAGGTATCTTGACTGATATCGCACACGACAATCCACCGCTCCATTATGCAACAAATTCGTAATTATCTCAAAATTTTCGGCATCGAATCACAGGTCGCACTTAAGCGAATAAGAGTGGATAGAGCGGATGGAATGGCTATCCAGTCCACCGAATGGGTTGTTTCTGAGACGGTGTGAGCTATATGGCGAAGAGCTATTCCGTTCCGCTTGGATACTGCAAAAACACAATTCATGCTGTGAAGGGGGTTGATCTGGCATTTGAACTTCTTCAGTACCGCCACCACCAATTGTTACATTCCAGAAAGTGCCCTGTGCTCGTTTAAAATGAAAAAAACATGCAGAGCAGCTATACGTTGCGTTGGCAAAACAATTTGGGTCCCGCATCTACAATAAGGGTGCCCAAATTGCCTATTCCGTCCGCCGTCCGTCCGCCTGCCCTACCCTCTGTAGCAAGAAATGCAGATGCTCCATCTCTCCGCTTATGTACGATTTCCGTTTTCCTGACCGCACTGGCTGCTTTTGCGATAGAGATCACACTCGGAGTTTCGCGAGAGAGCAGTAACCAACGCGGTCTCTTGCGGGGCACAAGGCCATTCGAGAGAAGCACGAGTGAGCAAGAAACGGAGCGGGTGATCGATCGGATACTCGACTGCCTCGGTCTGTTCGAGCGGTACGTCGCGTCCGCCGTGTTATTCCCCCGACTACACTAACCTTTTTATCCATTATTCCAGCCTCATTCGTACCTGACAGTTCCGAAGCGAACATGTTCAACAAGGACCAATCGGCTGCAGCCGTCCCGCCGACGGACGACTATGAGATGTACGCGACACCTTCGGCCATGGACGTGCAGCCCGGCGAGGCTGAGATCGTGCGACGCGGCGGGTCCCCAGATCCCCCAGAACGTCGGCCCGTTAACTCGGATGAGAACGGGAGCTTCCAGGAGAATGTCATCACGGTGCACGGCTACATGCACAAGCAGGGAAAGCGCACTATTAAGGGCCCCATGCACAAGAGCTGGAAGCGTCGCTACTTTGCGCTGGAAAAGGCCAAGATCTACTACTTCCACTCGCACTTGGAGTGCCGTCAGTATTTCACTACGCGTAACACGGATCTTGTGGTGGGTGCCATTGAGCTGAAGGACGCGCTGCAGCTGCGTCCGTGTGCGCGTCTGGACCTGCCACACCGAGGCTTTGAGGTCATGACCAAGCGTCGTGTATGGGTGCTGTGTCCCGAGACGGACGAGGAGTACCGACTCTGGTTCGAGGGCGTCGAGGAGGCCATTGTGGCCTGTGGCTCTGGCAACATTATCGAGCGAAAACTGCCCAACGTCCGCAAGTACTACATGAAGGGCATCACCACGTACCGTACGCTGTACTTCCTCTTCCTGATCCTCAGCATCGTCGAGATCTTTGGGTTTGTCTTCTGGTTCGTCGTGGGTATCCAGCCCTGTGACTCCAGTAACCGGACGCTGGCTTGTGAAGACGTGTACGACAACAGCCCCGACGACCTCAGCTGTCTCGCCGATCCCATGAGTGGCTGGTTCACACCGCCCGATTGGTACATGACGCTGGCGGGCGTCGACGACGTGGTCTGTTTCCACGACCCGCCGATTGCCCAGTGGGTGTCGTTCTTTGCTCTCATTGCCGCTGAACTCGTGTCCATTGTGCTCGGTGCGCTGTACTACCTTGGCATGTGGAAGCCAGTGCGTCGTGGTGCCCACTACTTCGATGAGTTTGACCCCAAGGTTCCCGATGATCTATGGCCAAAGATTGATGTTCTATTGTGCCACTACTCGGAACCAGCAGAGGAGACGATCGACACTCTGATGGCCTGCATGAATTTGCAGTACCCACCCCACCTCCTGCAAATCTATGTGCTGGACGACGGCTACTGCAGTACCAAGTGGACTAAGGGCAACCCGGTCCCTGCAATTGAACTCAACAAGGTGGTGCTTGAGAAATCTGGTGATCTGCGCCAGGAAGTGGCTCAGTTCATGTACGACCGAGTGTGCGATCCGAACGAGGACATGGAGGTGTACGCGTGGCGTAAGCTGCACTCGTCGGCCAACTTGCCTTCCGCCTCTCGCCCCAAGGTTGTGAACCGTGCCGATTGTGCCGTGGGCTCGTTCCGTGATGATTACCGCTATCCAGGTCTGCCGCATGTGACGTTTATCGGTCGTGTGAAGCCCGAGACTAACTACTCGAAGGCCGGCAACATCAACAACTGCTTGTATAACGAAGGAGCCAATGGCCGCTACATGCTGTTGCTGGACTCGGACATGCAGCCCCACCCCAAGTTCATTCTTGCTACGCTTCCGTTCTTCTTCGACGACGAAGACCGCCAGTTTAAGAACAAGTACTCGTGCTCGTGCATGGGTTGCCAGAACGTGGCCAAGATGTGCTGCGCCTCATGCAAGATTGCAGGTGTACCGGAGGAGCGTATCAGCTACTGCTCGAAGGAGTGCTTCGAAAACGCCATGCACGTCCAGAGCGACTTGCACCGTCGTCAGGTGAATGGTACGCTAAGCGACGTGCGCGCGACTAAGAAGGAGCTGCGTTGCATGAACTGTGACTCGAAACTGGGCAAAAGTGGAGTGTGCCGCAAGTGCAACACGAACAACAACAACGGTGATGCGGACATGTCGATCCTTCACACGTACTCGGACGACGTTCGCGACAACGCCGTCGGCTTTGTGCAGACCCCGCAGTACTTCCGTGACTGTGTGCAGCTGCAGATTGGTGATCCGCTTGGTCACCGTAATGCTACGTTCTATGATGCTATTCAGACTGGCCAGGATGGCTACGACTGTGCTTCTTTCGCTGGCACCAACGCTTTGATTCGCCGTGAGGCGCTTGACTCTATCGGCGGCATTCAGTACGGAACCCTGACGGAGGACTGCTACACTGGTGAACGCCTTGTGTCGATGGGCTGGAAGGCACTGTACTTCCGTAAGGATTTCGAAGGTGAGGCTCAGGAGCGTATTCGTCTGGCTGAAGGACTGATCCCGGACTCGGTGGCTGGAGCCATGGCACAGCGTAAGCGTTGGGCCAAGGGTAACTTCCAGACGGCACTGATGAAGAAGAACAAGAACGTGGCCGATCCGGAGTGGAAACGTCCGCATGTGGACATTCCAAAGTACCGCAAGCCCAACAACTTCATGCGTCGTGTGTTCTACCTCAACTCGACGTTGTACCCCATCGACTCGATCCCGGTGATCCTTCTGTACTACATCACTCTGTACTTCCTGTACACGGGCTACGCTCCGATCTTCGTCAATGGCCTCCGCGTGCTTGTGGCGCTCGTGCCGAAGCTTATCGTGCAAGGTCTGCTATCGGCTATGAGCACCCGCGGCGTGGAGAACAGCGATGTGGTGCGCTCGCAGGAGACAAGGTTCGTGTACGCGTTCACGAACTTTACGGCTATGCTTGGCGCCATCGTGTGGAAGTTCACTGGCCGCAAGTCGCGGTGGCTCAACAAACGTGACGCCACGCGCGGATCGCTGGCCGAGCTGCCGAATGTGCTGGTGTTCTCTGGTGCTGTGTTCGGTATTATCTGGGCTATGGTGCGTTACATTGTTGCGTACTACAACCGAGTGTACTCGCACGGTGACTCGATGCTGTGCGCTGCCATCCTCATGGGTTTTTTCATCGCATACAACCTGGGACCGAGCGTGCGCATGAGCATTCAGGAGTATTTCGGCTGGAGCTACCAGAGTTTGATGGACCAGGGAAACTTCATGGGCTCCATCTCCATCGCTATTGGCCTCATGTTCATTGCGCTGTGGGTGCACGTCGAGAAGCCCGCCACCGGCTAGAGAAGCTATGCTTGGTGTATCTAGGTTCAAGACCAGCTGTATAGTAGTGCCGAAGAAGGCGCCACTACTTTCATTTCCATTAGTTTGCTTTTTATGCTATATCTCGGATAATGAATATGGCTATACACGTCTTATCATGTGCCAGAGTGATATTTGGGAACTACTGGAGCAGAGCATGGCCAGCGAGAATTCGCTATTCGACCAATGCTCCGCGCTCATCGGGGAGTCTACGCGCGTGCTGCTCCAGGATGGCACATACACGCACGGTGTGTTGTATTGCATCGACCCTGAAACTGATCACGTAGCGCTGTTATGTCCTTTGGGGCAAGATAACTCAGGCTACAACGTGAAGATCGTGCTTGCGCACCATGTACGAGGCATCGAAAAGGGGCTGCAAGAGAGCACCGATCTCCCCACCCTAGGTGCACTGAAGAAGGAGCTGGAAAAAGGTAGAAACTCCAGCCTGGAAGACTCGACGAGCATCCAGCGACGGCGACAGCAGCAGCTCGGTCAGGTCTTGACGAAGGTAGGTCACCTACTAGGTGATGGTTTACTGTGGCTGCGCACTAATCTAACACAACGTTTGCTGTTGGCAGAACTTCGTTCCATTTGACGTGGAAGCGGATGACAGCATCCGCGTTTTCGGGGGCGCCGCGACGGTGCGACCGCCATATCGCAGCGTGGAGTGCGCAAATGAGCAGCTCCTTCGCCGAATGCAGCAGCTCCTAGAGCAATTGTCTTAGAAGTAAAAAAAAACGAAACTTGCAGCAAGTCTCCAGCCGTGTTTGAGCCTTCCATATAAACAGCACAGTTTGCTGCTTTCGATCGCCTTCTAACGTATCAGTGATACCATCCGCCTCACCCCACGTTGTTCCATTGCCGGTCGAGGCTGCTTCAGCCTGTCCGGAAGGTCTCAACACGCAGGGATACTGTCCAGCGTGGAGTTCGGAAGGGGTCGTCGAGTCGACGAATACTCGCGCGGAGTTGTAGGGGCCCTGGGGGTTTCTTTGCTGCGAATGATGGTGTGGTGGCGTCGAGTTCAAGTGGGCTAGACGCCCGCCAAGATACATCCAGTCAATATTGTGCGGTGCCGCGCGATGTTATCGACAGCACGTCGCAGCTTATGGTCATCGCAGCAAGGGGCTACTATCGAAGGATATTGCAGACATCAAAGAATTAACGCAGTAAGTAGCTTTACAATGCGCGCGAGCTTACGTGCCTGCTGCGTGTTTGCTCCGTCGAGTCGCCAGCGCCAACCGAACTTGGCGATCGAGCCGTTTGACATACCAGGGTAGCTTTTGGTTTGCAGAGCTTCGAGAGTACGTCGTCCGCCCGTAGCGAAGTCTGCGGTTGATATTATTCTCGCCTTGCATGGGAGGTGATCTCAGTCTTGAACCCAGTTAACGAAAAAATGCCCCGTAGATACTTTGCCGCTTCAAGTAGAAGGAAGGGCTGCCGGTGCATGCGACGTGTGAGCGGAGCCCGTCTATTGCTGGTTCTGATCGTCGACCAGCATCTCCGACGGTCACACCGGGTCACTGAAACTGGAGTATGGAGCTCAGAGCCACCAAAGAGCTTCTTGACAAGAAGGCCGTTTCATCGTGCGAGACCGTAATTTGCGTTCCTGACAGAAAGCGTTACCCGCTCTGCAAGTCTTGCGTGGTTGGGCTGCTGGCGGATGGGAAGTGAAAGTCATGCATAATGGAGAGAATCCATCGCAAAACGCAGTTACAATTTGCACTCCATCAACTGTTTCATGTTAGTTTTTCCGTACTTAGAGAATGACTAAACAAATTGTGGTTGATGAAAATTTGGAGATGGCCCTTATTTCAACCTGTCAGTACAATTCCGACCGGGGCCTGGCTTTTCTGATCAACCGCCGCCTACGCTCCGCATCTCTCAGTCTCCATCTTGCTGAGCTGGAGTGTACATCGATGCGCATGCTGCGCGCCGTGCGGGAGCTACTCCGCAGCCGCCGCCGTGATGGCAACGATCGCGACTCGAGGCTGCCGCGCTCATCGACGACGCAATACAAGACGAATCCAAGTGTGCGCGCTGCTAGCAACACGACCTTGGCGTCCATTGGACCGGACGAGACAGTACGCAACGCGGTGGCGTTTCTGACGCAGGAAGACGCCGAGAGCGCGCTCATCTACGCGCTTGTACATGACCCAGAGTTCCGCTTGGCTTCAGCGCTGGCGACGGTAAGGCAGCGGCGGCAGCTATGAGGTCGCCATGACTTCAAGACTGACCATCACTCTCTATTTTTTGCACTTGCAGACGCCGTCGGGCGCCGATGTGAACGTGATCCGCGCGCTTCTGTTTGTGTTCGAGAACCACGAGGATCAACTGCGTAAACTATTGGGGCTGCTCATGTTTCGCGAGATGGTGCACACACACAACTGGAACGAGCTGTTCCGCGCCAACTCGGCCACCACAGCTGTACGTCTTCAGCTGCATAAGGACTGCCAACGTATGAACTGACCTCTTGATGTTATTTTCTACAGCTTTTGCGCGAATACACATGCGAATTGGGCGGTGGGTTTCTATCTCACGCACTGGCGGACGTGATCAGCGAGCTCTGGGTCAGCTCGGACGGCTACGAGGTGAACCCACGTTACCTCCAACCGCAGGATGATCTCCAAGCCAATCAGCAGCGACTGGAAGCGTTAGGTGAGCGCACATTGGACCGCATTTTCAGTGCAGCGTCGCTCTTTCCTTACCAGGTTGCCAAAATCTACCGCGTTCTGGAGCTTGAGATGATGCGGCTTATTGAACGAGACCGACGCAGTAACGTGTCGCTGCCTAGACTCAGCGCCATCGGAGGCAGCAGCAACAGCCTGATCTCGTCGGACGCTGGCAACGGCAACAGCAACAACAGCTTTTTGGAGCGTACATCCTTCGAGAGCGCTGGGCTTGGAGGACTACCCCGTCTCAGCTCCGTCGAAGAGAGTCTGCTCGATGAGGAACTCACTCAGTCCAACAGCTCGAACGGCACGTCTTCTACTGTTTCTGCCGCCAAGGAGGAGTTCTACATGCACCTGGGAGGACTGGTGTTCTTGCGATTCCTGTGCCCTGCGCTTGTGGTCCCACACAAGATGAACTTGACGCCAGAGAATGCCGCGCCGGACAAGCAAATGCAGCGCACCCTTGTGCTACTGGCAAAACTGATGCAGTCACTGGCGAACAACGTTGAGTACTCTACCTCGACTGAATCCTTCATGGTGCCGTTCAACTCGTTCCTCGCTCGAAATCGACCCAAGCTCACGCGTTTCTATGACCAACTGTGTCAACAAGCACAGAACGATCCCCGCCGAGAGAGTCTGGTTGCACGCTGCAACGCAGCCCCGCGATTATCACAGCTTTGGGCAAGTCGGAGCAGCAGTAGTTTGGGCAAAGACCCATCGATTGTGAACCTCACGGGAGCGCGCTTTATGGAGGCACCAGAGGCATCTTGCGCTGTCTTACGCAACTGGATGAGCTCACATCTCGAGTACCTGGCGATGGAGGTGGCGGATAATCACAAGTTCCGTCGACAACAACACATCGTGGTAAGTAACGGGAGCAGTAGCAGTGGGAACTCCACTCCTCCAACAACGACTACTTCAGCGATGTCGACCTCACCTCTGAAGCCTCGACCTAAGAGGAAACTGAAGACGTCAAAGAGCTCAACATATCCGGTAGAAATCCAGGAAGAAGACGAGGAGGAAAAGACGGATGATGCCACATCCAGGTCCTCTCAGAGGAATGATATAGCGATGCCTGTTTCGCTGGATGAGTTGGATAGAATTATGGGCAACACAAGCCACCGCGACAGCCAGTTGATGAAAGTCTACTACGCAAAGCTCTCGCAGAACGGTCTGCAGCGGCTACTGCATGTGAACGACATCGATGGAGCTGAATGGACAGTGTACAGGAGTAGAGGAGATGTTGAGGTGCTCCGCAAAACGCCAGCTCATTTCGTGTGCCCAACGGGGGGCTTTGCCTCTGAGAAGGACCGACTGGTAGAGATGAAGGGATGTGTCACCATCCAGTCTACACCCCAGCGTGTATTTGAATATTTGCGATCGCTCGAGAACGAACGCACTACAGCTCCAGGAAGCAGTACGGATGATGACAAGACAAGGGTCAGGAGAGTGGAGCCACTGGACGACTCAAAAACAGTGCTGTACAGTGAGCATTCGAAACTCTCCCTGTGGCCCGCGTGGTTGGTAAAACCTCGTGATTCCTGCGATCTCCACAGCTTTGTCGAGAAGACAGGTCGACCGGATACGTATGCAGTGCTTCAGGAGTCTATTCCGCGTCCAGACGTACCTGAGCGCAAGGGCATTGTGCGGATGGCTTACGCCACTGGTGGCTTCCTCATTGAGCCATCTGCAGGAGACGAGGAAAAGTCGGACGCACAAGCAAAGGGTAAAGCGTTTACAAGGCTTACCTGTATCGTAAGGGCCGATTTCAAGGGGCTAATGCCCCGGTACCTTGCGGAGAGCATCGTCTATCGGCAAGTACTGGAGATCGAGACCATCCGTTCGCATGTGGAGTCCATGCGACCCGAGGCGAATGCCGAGTGGGTCTAGTGCATACTAAGCCACGGTGATGACCACGACGATTTCTATCAACCATCCAGTGGAAAGATGGAATGCAGCTAGGCTTTAAAAGAGTCAGCTAGTGTAAATTTTCTTCCCTTCTAGAGGACGTAGTAAGCTAAGCAATACCACTTGTTTGAATAAATACTAACAACAACACTACACATGTTCTTTGTCTCGCTCCTTCGAACTGCTACGGCACGTACTGAGTTTCACCGAAATGAAGGTATCATTCGAGCACGAGATCTCTGTCCCATCAACCCAATGCACTTCCGAAATGAGGGAAGCACAAATGAGTTAGCAGCAATAGTCTCCAACTCTCGACCTACGCACGAGCAGCCAACATTCTCTAACTGCATTTGAACAATGTGAAGCCGTCATGAGGGCAGCACTGGAGCAAAGAGGCAGTCAGCGAGAACGTCGGCACGTGGCATCTTCCGTAATGAGGGAAAGCGCTACAAGCTCGTATCTTGAGGGTTGAAGTTGGTTCAACTGCTGCATGCTGGGTCACAGAGGCGTGGCAATTCATCGTACAACGTGACAAATGACTTAAACGCCTTATCTTCGTCTCCACACCAGATCTGTAGACACTCACGCGCAGCAGGGATCATGTCGATGCGATATCCAATGACTTCGCTGTAAGTGGAGAAGGCCTGCAGAAGACGCGTGATACTTCGAGTTTGTTGTTGAGATGCTTTTCCTTCCATCACCACATCATGAGCTATCTCCTTGTACTGTGGGCACTCGCCGCAAGTACAGAGATAATCTTCCAGGTAAATTGGACTGCGGTCGTTGGTGTCGTTGCACACGATAGCAGTCAGATGCAATAGTTGATCAGCCTGGATCTCGCAGTCGCAGTCAGTACAGCTTTCGCATGCGTCGCAGATAGCATGCAGCATGTCCTCAGCTGCTGAGTTCTCGTGTTCCCAATCAGAATCGTCATCACTGAAGTTTCGTTCATCTTCGCTTTCAGCATCGGTGAACAGCTCTGTCTCCTCGGAAGTGCAGGAGTGCTTGTCGTCGTCGTCAGTAACCTCCTTGCAGTCAACCTGGTAAGACTGCCAGTCGCGGTTCACAGTCAACTCTGTGAAGAAATATTCGTCTTCAGTCTGACACGCAGCATCAACGAGTATTGGAGCTCGCTTTGGGTGGTCTGGCGATCCAGTGAAGCTCCCCATTAGCAGTGCTGCTATCGTGGATAGCATAAGCGCCAAGTAGCGTGCGACGGTCTCCATCCAGGTGGGTGTGGTGACAACGTACACCTGCTTCTCCATCTGATCGAACAGCAAGTCGGAGGCGGTGAAATCCCAGCAGGAGTCGTCGAAACGTGAAGTAGATGTGGTGTTGCCCATGACTAAAAGAGTATCGGAGCTCTTGGAGATGTGAATTCAAGCAGGCAATTTGGAATGTGATAGCTCCAACTAATAACCACCAACACACGCCCTTGTAGCCCGTCGTAGACGAGGGATGATCATTTTCCTCGTACTGGTAGAATTTGTTGCCTTTCGGTGATCGACAGAACGCATGAACGTTCCATGAATACGCATCGCTGATTGGTTGCTTGCTTCAACTTGACGTACCACATAATCGGTACATGTCGAAGCGACGCATGTAGCCATCTTGTCCCCATTGCATGTCCAAGTGATAGATGCCTCGCCAATTGCCACCAGAGGAAGGATGCAGCCCCAATGCTGCTGGTGAGTCTGCAGAGAGGGCCCGTGAGGTATTGCATGCCCTCTCAGAAGTCGTTTTGGAAGCTCAGAAGCGCGGTCTTCCTTTGTCAGAGGCCTACGCGCATTTCGACCAGAGAGACGAAGGCGTTGTCAGTGTCGACGATTTGATGCAGGCTGTGGTAGAGCTGCGTCTGTATCCGACCAGTGAGCTGTGGAGCGAGCAGGACGCCGAAGAATGCGTGGTTGCGCTCTCACGAGGCAAATCTAGAGCCTATTTTACGAGGGAAGACTTTGTGCGCTATTTCGCAGCCACGCCTTCGAAGCTCGTAAGTGATCGAGATGTTCCTCAAGGCAAAGTAAGTTTGCACGGCCACGAACGCCGTGTACGCTTTCACAAGACATCCCCGGAGAAAAGAGATGACCTTCAACACTGGCAGGATCAAACCACTGCCGCTTTACATTCCTTGGCCAGCTCTCCACAAAAGAAGAAACAGTTGCGCGTGACGCTACCGGAGTGGGCTCATGCGCGAAGCAAACGTGCACTCAAAGAGCTGGAGACAAGACGCCGCTCCAAATCAAAATCCCAGCCGCCGCTAACTCTAAGCTCAACACCGAACTTCAATTCTGACAGCTCTCCATCGGAGCCAACTCCAGATAGCTTCAGCAAAAACAACGACGTGTTTCACGATGATGAGAACAATGGGCCAAGTGTGCAACCTTCAACAGTTCCACAGCTTGATATGAACAAGAAACTCCAGTCAGCAAAGACAGGAGAAAGCCCTGACGATTCACTCGTGTTCCCGTTATCAAATAGATGGCAGACATTCCAGGTTGATGCAGATACGATCGTCTCGTACGGAATCCTCTCACACGACACCATGCTGACGTCACCATCAAAAACCAGCACTGAGGCTTGGAAACCACAAGCACAGATGTCAGCCGAGAGTACAGCAGAAGAGGAAGCATCGGGGCTTCCGGACATGACTGCATTTCGTCTGACAGTCTTCATCGACGCTTTCCAGCGATTAGAGACACTGGAGGCTTTCTTTCATCCCTTGCTCGTCCACTTTCCAAGAGGAAAAATACTCTTGTGTGGTTTCCCGACGCGTTTAAAGCGCGTTACCACTTGGCATAACGCTCGTTTTGCCAGCATCTACTCTAGACTACTTGAGTACGTCATGGCCCGTTCTCGGGAGTGGCTTGTGCAGCCAAAGTTGGGCATTGGCGCTGTTCCGCAGTATCTCGTTGGGTTTGGTACCGGTGGCAGCACAGCTCTACAACTGCTTGGGATGGAGCTACCGATGCGGCAAACTAAAGGAGACGGTGGTGGAGTTCTTGGACTTTTTGCACGTTCACTACGTGGCCTTGTGCTTGTTAATGCAGTGGCGAGCGTCACTGACGTAGAGCGTCGAACACTGCGCTCTCTGCAGAAACTGCTGGAGACAAACTCTAAAGGCATATCAAGCACTGGCGACGCTGTGGAGCTGCACGAGGCACTAGCGTCTGCGCTGTTTAGTGACCACTATCTCTCCCAGGTTGCAACAAGCCGATCAGCAGCTCTCGAGAGTTTTTTCCGCACGCGGCGTGGTTTTCTCCAAACAATCGAGAACTTGGCCACAACTAATGATTCTACTGTCGACGATAGAACTAAAACCGGAAATCTACTTCGGGTTCTGTTGCGTGGTGCTGCCAAGAATCGAGATGTCACTGCGGCTATCGCCAACCTAGCAGCGGTGGTTCCTGCCCCATTTGCACTGATCGTAGTCCACGGGTCTCAAAATGCACTTTTCACGCCTCATCAAGTTGAATTGATGGCGGGAAACACCGGGGTATCGTCTTCTGCCGGATTCTCTCAAGTGAACAACGTGTCGGAAGCTTTAGCACTCGGTAACATCGATGCTCGACACTTGCACGTGGCTTGGCTCAAAGGTGGTCACGAACTGCTGCAAGAACGAAGTCCCTTCTTTTACGAGTTATTCAGACAACTCGCCCATGCAGAAACTTCATCCCAACAACCAAATGATCCGATCAACTTATCCACTAGTGAAACCCGTGGCCGTGCGAGTCGTGGTACCAGCGCAAATCGGAAAAGTAGTGCGATTTCTTCTACGTCGCGCCAGCCACCGAACTCTGACAACAGCTCTTCGAATCAAGACGAGACGCTGTCAGTAGATAAAGAGGATGGCGGTTCACCTAATGAACCCCCCTCAATTATCCGCCAACGCGTTCTTGAGGAGCTATCTTCACATGGGTTATCGTGGATTCAGCAAGAGCTATACGACCGAGGGATCGAAGGAGCTGGTCCAACTGAAATCATCCTCGAACGGTATGAGCGTGTGCTTGCTCAAGAAGAAGAATTTGCTCGACAAAAAGAGCGCGAGAAACAACGTATACTAGCAAAGCACGACGAGATCGAAGCTCAACGTCGAGCAAAGCAAGAGGAAGCGAACGAGCGTGAACAACGAGCACTTGAAGCACGCCGGTCCATCCAGAGACGCGAGCGAGAGTCTCAGCAACACTTTTTCAAACAAATGGAAGCAAAGAAGCTCGAAAACGCGCGAAGGATACAGGAAATCGAGAGCATGGCGCTCGAAGATCTTCGGTCGCGAAAGGTAGAGCAACTACTCCTCAATGATCTCGAACGAAGTGATCGGAATCGAGCTGTAGTTCGGCAAATGGGTGAGCTGGAGGCTGAACGTCAAGAGCAAGTCCGTCGAGAAGCTCAAGTGGAGCTCCAGGCGCTTCGTCTTGAGGAGCAGAAGGCTCATCGCGAAGCGCTTAAAGCCGCTCAACGCCAGTTCGAGCAGAGCGAGCTCGTATCAAGTCCCGTGGAGGCCTATTGGCTGGATGCTCATGCCGTCTACGAGCGCTTTGATGACATATCAAGTGGCGCACGTGTATTAGCCACCGATCTCGCACACTTTTACGAGATCAAAGCACTTCAAATGCGCGAGTCGGCTGAAAAGCGTCTTGAGTTAGACACACTGCAACATGGTCCTCTTGCTTCGAAGGAGCTCCAAGTCCGCAACTTGGAGCGTGTTCAAGCCAAGGCGCAAAGCACCGGGATGATCGCCAAAGCTGGCATGGGCACCGTTCGCATTGTGCCTATCACTCCTGTCGAGATGCAGACGCTTGGACGGGATTTGGATGTCGTGCGCGATGAACTGGAGCGATTGCAGAGCGACGCAGCACTGCGACGTAAGGATCTGACGTGGAAAGACCAGCTTCTGCAGCGTGTGAGCGTCATCATTCAGCGCAATGAACGCTTCCGTCAAGAAGTGCTGGCGAAGCTCTCGCTCTGTGCCGATATGGGCAACGAGCGGGTGTTATCTCTACGCGAGGACAACGAGGCTCTGGAATTCAAGTGTGACGGGTTCATCGAACTCCGTGACAAGCTGCAGATTCGGCAGACTGCAGTACGAGGAGAATGTGAGCGTGCTCGAGCTGCTACCACCGCGTTCTTCGATACAAATCTGCGAGTTGTAGGAGCTCTTCAAAGAGTGCAACGCACAGTCGTCATTAAAGAGCTGGAGGTTGAGGACGAAGCTCTAACCGAACGCATCAAAGCTCTTGACGAGCAGGAGAAAGCAGCACATCTGGCGTTGAAGAAGGGTAGAACCACACTGGAGGAGGTAGCAAAGCGAACATTCACCTTGGAAGAAAGTCGGCGGATATTGGAAGGCACTACAGAAGTCAAAGACGTCGATACCGACAAAAACAACCAGAATGAAGTTGCGAATGGCAAGACCCGGATGGCTAAACCACAGCAAGGTATGGCCGAGAGTGTGAGGCACAAGAAACATGCTGATCGATCACCAGAGGAGAAGAACTGGGTGGCATTGGACTTCCTCCTCAACTTCGCGTACTATTACAAGAATGTACCCCCGGAAGAAGTCGAGATCATCCAAAAGAGTCCAGACTACCAGCAATTGAGCAAAACTAAGCTGAGTGTCGATCAACTCCAGCGTCTGATGCAGCTTCCAGCTCGCAACTGTCTCGCCTTCGCGTTTTTCAAGTCGTCCGAAGAAATGGAGGCACATTATCTGCTACGTAAGTACACATTCGGCGATGGCGAAGAGTACTTTGCTCAGCTCGACCACGACTTTGAAGCTCCTAACGGCATAGCTGCTCCACGCGCGACTCAGTCTTGTAGCCTTCAAGACATGCTCTCGGTACTCGAGAAGCTTGCAACGTCTCGTCCATTGCGTTCTCGTCAGTGTCCAAGAGCACGATCTGTGTTGCTGGATGACAAAATGCCGCCTTTAACGCTGCTCCACGTGCCCCAAAGCCAAATATTCCCCCACAAAGGCACCACACACAGCTTCCAGTTGCCTAAGGACACAGAAGGAGTTGCTGTGTTATCACTCACAGTCTCCATCGTCTTCCAGGGACATTTCAAGTCTGTCGGATATCAAAACGGGCGACTAGCAGCCATGCTGTACATGTTACCTCCAGTGACCGACCCGGAGTCGACGCAGCAAAAGTTTCAAGCCCCGATTCCTATCGGAAAATGCTTGTACGTCGAGGATCTGGCCCTCTGTTCCCCTCATAGCATGGGTCGACTAGTTCTCCGACACGAGCCTCTCGCAATACCGCTCAGCGCTGCAGCAACGTATCAAATTGTAGTGGGCGCACCGGTTTTTACAGCTTATTCTCTCGAGGTGCACGGACGGACAGCCTTGTTTGCTGACGAAGCACTACGACGGAAACGCGTGGATGCTTTAAAGAAGCAAGATCTGCTGCCTCGAAAGCAGGACGAGCTGCAAAATGTCTTCGTGACGATTCAGTTGAGCGAGCGCAAGAAGAGATTAGCTCGTCGACTTGCCACTGAAGCAAAAGACCAAACACGAGTAGCGGAACTGGAGCTGCTGAGGAATAATCAAAAGCTTGAACGAGACAATGCAGAGCCATCCTTGAGCCACGAAGAGCGCAAAGAGCTGCACGCAGCAATTCGAACGGCAAACAAGACGTTCACACACTGTTGCTTCTTGTTCTCCAAGCGTGAGGAAGAAGTACGTGACATCGAACAGAGTCTCCGAGAACTCACCAGAATCCACGTCGATGTACTCGAAGAGTGCGAGAAGATGGAGCAGGTGCTTGCTGAGTACCGCACAAAGCTGCCTCAAATTGCAGCTCTACTTTCAGGCGACGCAGCAGCAGCCAAACTCGCTCGAGAACTCAACGTGGAATACGAGAACAAGAATGGCACAAAGTCATCCAAAGTACGCTGGGCCGAGTTGTCCGCCATGAGAGCCAAGCTTCCTTCCATGATGACTCCTGCTGAGCGACTGCGACGGAAATACAAGAAAGGGCGAGACACTCTGGACAAGAAAGAGCGCGAGTGGATCCTCCTTGATCGCATTCTGCATCCACGAATGTATCGATGGGAGGAAGACAAGCACGGGAGCGCAACCGACGGAGGATACACGAAAGCTCCTGGAGTTAATCTCAGGCTGCATGGCACATATCCAAAGCTCTCGAAGGAAGAGGAGCAGCGCGCAGCTTTGTCCCAAATGGAGCTTGAGCGGATCATCAAAGCTCCGTGGAATTTGCTGGAGCGTAAAGAGATCCTTATCCGTAAAATACTCACGAGATTTCGAGATGACCATGGAAGTAACTCGAAGCGCAGGGCTCCTCCCAATGACTCGATGTCGATGGTAACGCTATTACGTGCCCAGAAATCAACCGAATTGACTCACGAGGAACGTGAATGGCGCTTGTACGACCAACTGATGAATCCGATGTACTACCCGGTCAACTTCAAACGACTAGCGAAGGAGCTATCGGGAGCTACTGGTCTTGAAGACGTGACGATCTCGCCTAAAATTACGAGGGAGGATCTGCTCACGGCTATCAACACTCCAGAGGAGGAGCTGTACAAACTGCCGAGCGATTTGCTACGAGGACGTACGCTGTTACTCAAGTATGACCCTCACCTCTCTGTGAACCTCATCACTGCTGCACGGCTCCAGCAGAGTCAGGACTCCCTAGTAATGGATAGCGTCGAGGTAGACGTCGATGCACGATGTCGCCTTGTATTTCAGGAGCTTCAGCGCGCTATCGCCAATACGCGGAACGAGTTCATGGACTCGCATGTGCTGCACTCGACATTACAGCGCTTCCCGACTAAAGTATTGAGACTCGAGCTTGAGAAAGACTTGGACCGCTTGTTGATCTCGCAGATCAAAGAAAAAGAAGACTTCGAGCTGGCCAATTTCCTCTCCAACAAAGATACCGCTGACAACAACAGAGATGTTGTGTCTGACTCTGATAGTGATGAAGAAGCTGTGATTGCTCGCGAGATGGAAGCCCGGCGCAAGGCGAAAGACGGCACCAAACAAGGATTGAAAGTCCGTGGTAAGGCACTGAAGCAGAAGTCACTGCAGAAGCAACGCCGTGAGATCAAGAACGCTCTCCAAGGACGCAGTCTTGAGGAGCAGCGTACGCTCCTGCGTGAGCAGGAACTAGGTCCAGGTGGATGTACTGCTTGCTGGACGAATCCTTGTGAATGGAAACCCTTTTTGGAGGAGTCGTACGTGACAATTCAAGAGCGTATCGATGTCATCCACGAGGAGCTGGAGCGCGTCAAGCATTGCTCAGATCTCACGATTACATCAAACGTCTGCATGGCTGCGATCAAGTCCGGAAACCAGGCTATCAGGCTGCGTAAGAGCGACTTGTTTGACGAGCTGACTCTGGAGGTGAAAATTTGGGAGAAGAACTTGCGCTTGAAAGCCGTCGACGAGGAGTTCCACGAAACGTTCCGCTCCAAGAACGAGTTCTTTGAGACGCAAGCATTGCACGGGTTTCGGCAGATCCAGCACAAGAACAAAGTGCAGATAGCACTACAACGTGAGCATAACGTGCTGGTAGCACATCTCACGGCGTACGAAGTGGTCGAAGACGTGCTTGAATCGATGCTGGAAGGCTGGGTCTTTGGTGAACGCGAGTCCGAGCGACAAGTGCTCGGATAC